GAAAACGACAAGTTATGTGGGTGGCATATAGATAGATAGCATGTGTCTCTGTGAGGTAGGATTAAACTATACTGCCGAGCCAATCAGAAGCTTTCGCGGGTTTTCAAGGTCACGGCGCTATGTTCGGTACCTGATGCTTACGTACGGTCGGTTTACAGCCGATTTTAGAGAAGACGTGATAATTCAGCGTCTACAAGAGAAGTGGTCATAAGATTTTGGCTTGAAATTCAATTATCCATTTGGATAAATAGAGTTTTGGCATTATAGCTGATGTCAGTTCGTGATGAAAACCCCAAGAATAATTCCTAGCCTTAACCATGAACTGTAAATCATAGTTTGAATTCTTCACACAGATTTATATCCCTCATTTGGTTTTAGTTATTATTTGACACTCTCAGAGTCACTCTAGTGTCGCTCAAAGGTCATTCATAAATTACAGTCTCACCCTTAACCCGAAACTTTAACTCTAACCCTAAATCGTAAACCATACCAATATACTAACATTATTGAAGCTATGTGGTCGAGGCTAAAAGAATTTTTGAGACACTGTCATGGTTTCAGAGGTCGGCTACTATGAAGCCATATGGATGTGCTCCTGTGCCGTATGCACCATGATTTTAGAACTTCTGAACCTATATCTGACCTTCAGAAGTTTTTGACTCATGTAAAAGAAGTGTTTCCACTTTAATTCTTTGGTTTTGTATAATAAATTTTTACTGCATACAAACTGTCCTCTGATTGACTAATATTCCTCAAGGTCATTTAAGATTAGTTCGAAGGTCGGCAGTATAGTTTAATCCTACCAGAAAATGAAGTCTACCTTAACAATTAGAGATCGACATTTGGAGGTTAGATATTTAGTAATCAACGTATGGTTGGTATTAAATCTCTTCAAAACATGTAAGTCACTATGATTTCTCTGATTGTACTTTCCTGAGCTGTGTAGAGCGGTAGGTCATGACATTTTCATATTTGTGTTTGAATAAGTTAAACGAGTACTTAGCACAACTGGCGTGTTAAAACAATATTTGCTAAGAAGCTTAGTGACTTGAACTGCATCTAAGGACTACTGAAATCTATATCAACTGATACACTACATTGGTATAAAAGAACTGTGTTGAGTTTGTAGGGAATACTGTAACGTTATTCGCTGTGTCAAACCCATATAGTCTATTCTAGACTTGGGATAAACCAATCTACTCATTCTTCTTAAACCACATTATGACCTCGTCACTTATTGGCCTATTGATTCAGACAGTTTTCAGATGAAAGTATGTGTGCACACATTATCCTATTCAACACTTATTTTTATCTGGCTATAAATGTCGATTATTGTTTGATTAAATCAAGTTGGTTCATTGGCATTCTTCACTCGGCCTCGCTCTTCCCACTTTGTTCCGTCTCCCCGATTGTTTAATCAAATCAATGTGTGCATGAAACATACATATTCAAAATTCATTCTCGCATCTAGCTTATTTAATTCCGTTATCCACTAACTCAAGTTTAGTCGGTAATTATATTTGAGGATAGGCGACATGTATATTTCAATGACGATCAACCATACAATCTAAATGGAGTCAGAGTTCTGGCCTGTGTCTTTGATGGAACGCGAACGAGTATTGTCCAAATGCATCATATAGAATTCGTGGTTTTCGAAGAATAGTCAGGCTGAAATGTTGCTTTACAAGTGTTGATCGGACTATCATATGCTCATAGGCCTTTGATTACCGAAATGCCATGGAGTAATTAGCAACTTGGCTCCTTTTAACTATGGTGGGTAATCCTCTCTTCAGGTAACGAATTGCGTATTTTACTTACTTGACCACTGCATGCCTAATTTCCAATTGCTGACTTCCATGGCGAAACATAGGATACAAATGCTAGAAATTTACGGTGAATTTGATTTATAAATTTCCTGCAATGTTAGATCTTGTTTAGACTGTTCGTCAGACAATTCTTCGTGTTCGGCTTAAATTAAAATTGGACCTATACAAATTCAGTCTACAATGCTTCGTTAATCTACGAATTTAATCAACAAATTTCAATTACTTGGGAGCAATAGCAACCCAGGCGAGTTTCATAACTGCGTTAGATAGTTTCGTATAATGTTTATGATGTCTAATATCATTTCGCGGCTACTTTCACGCAGAGTAGTTATATATTCAATAGCTGTCGTCAAGTTCCAGTTGAAACCATGTACATTTATGACTCGTAGGTCGTAATACTCTGGAAAAACGTATTACATGTACACGATAAATCTTAGTCCATATCCTTATTAGACAATTCGTCGTACTTATTATGTCACTCAACGCTAGATAATAAGCTCTTTTACGAAACGATCACGCTATCTAAACATAGACGTTAGTTACAAGTGTGGTTACCATTCTAATTAATGTTTACTATGAGCTTTGTATTTGTTGTTATCGCAGACGGTAAATCATGGCTCGATTTCCTTATTGCACGAAAGTCAAATGGTTCAAATGGTTAAGGACGGAATAGAAGAAGCTTTCGCTTAACGGGCTTCCGTGTCTGGTAGCAGTGGATCACCAATACCTCCAGGCAAGAACCTAGGTATATTAACGATAATAGAGGAAAAGAAAAGAATTTTGTGAATCATAATAATATGTTATCCTTAGTCCTTAAGAATAAGTCAAGTTTCTTCTTAAAGGACTCCTGAGAGGTCGCTTGGACTAGCTCAACGGCAGTGAATTCCAGCACTTGACAACTCTAATGGAGTAGAAGTTGTGTCTGCAGTCTGTTCTGCTATGTAGGGTCTCCAATTTCTGTGTGTTACTTCTTAGGTTAGTGTTATGACTAAGCTTAAGAAGATGTTTAAGGGGATGACCAGAAGTATTAAGGATGCTGTAAGTCATAAGAAGGTCACCTCTAAGACGCCTGTACTCTAACGGGTAAAGGTTAAGTGATTGGAGGCGCTCTTCGTAAGGTTTGAATTTGAGTCCCCGAACTGATTTCGTGGCTCCATCTTCGGTTTACTCACATGCAATACGGGTTTGGAAAATATCTAAACATCTGAAATTCTCCACGAACCTCACGATAGTTTTCGTGTATGTTTGCTATTACACAGCCAATTGCTACATTAACAATGCCCAAACGAATGTTCAGTAGAATTGTCAGTATACGAAAGGATGTTACTTTGATGTGGCGCTACAACACATTCGAACTATTGTAGTTATTCAAATTCGACGTCGTATTTTTATCTTATGAAGTATTGTTTCCACATGGCTGTTATCTAACAGATGATTGCGGTACATCAATCGGCGTTCAACGAAATCACGACTTGTCTTCATGGTTACACTTCCTTACTTACAGTTAGTCTGTTAAATATAGATATAACTAGAGATCGACACTTACTGACTTTATACTTTATGTCATTTTCCTCTATTAATCTATGGTTGATCACTTAACATTCAACCAACGTCCTAAATACGTGTCATTACTCGTTGTTTCTCGATCAGTTTCTGTCGAATACTCCCAACATGTTTGGTACCGATCCAACCGCCGCTGAATCCGGTGGGGGGTATTGTAGGGCCAGTGAAATGTCACCGAACCCTAGCCAAATCATCCGGCAGTTGGGTCACTAAATATCGAACACATCATCGAAATGGTCAAGGACAATCAACACACATCAGTTAATCATACGCTATAGACTGGTTCATGCGGCAGTGGCTTTACTTTCGCCTGTATCTACCTAATATATTCCTGTAATAACATCCTTTGTGTTGTACATTCTCCAGAGCATCCATGGTCCCTTGATACGTCGATGGGGCAATCCACGTAAGGCGCTGTTCGTGAGGTGTTGCTTCGAAGTTAACTTGTTCGTTACACCGTTCCCGTCTAACTCGAGTAGGCCTCCAATCATTCGACATAGATCGTCAACGTTGATGGTCTACGGGTTGATTGGAAAAGTTTGAAGTGTAATGTTCTTCAACAGGATAATGTATATGTAACTCCCACCATTTTAAAGAGCCTACTCATTTCAAATGGCAACCATTGAGACAGTGTGCTCAAAACTGACGACTGCCATTATATTCTGCAGTGTTTACAATTCACGAAAGTAAGAAGTATGATATGGAGGTCTGTTCTCATACAGACTGTAGGTTTACTGACCATGAATGCATTCTTCTCTAAGCGCTGGGACGCCTGCAAACTAATCAATGCTCACGAAACAATATTGAATCTTCATAGACTCACGTTCTAAATAATGTGACTTTGTGAACCTGTACAATCTTAATACTTGCATCTTCCCTATATATGATCCCTTGAGTGTGAAGGTTAATGATACCATAAGCATTTATGACAAGACCCGAAGAGTTTTCTTCACAACGCTTATGAGTGAGCCTTACATTATAATAATTAATATTATAAGCATGTAATAAACGCACTCTCACAACATTTCAATGACGGCAATTCTCTATTTGTATTGATGTGGGGTCAAGTTTTGAAGATATACTCTTTGAGTGTGATTGAATAGCGAATTAGTTTACTTTTTATCCTAGCTGCCCTATTGAACACTGGGTTTCAAGATCTTGTTTAACGTTTATTAATCATTAAACAATATGATGAAAGGAGTCGCCGGTCTTAAAGCCAGTATAGACAAATCCATCAATCATAAAACTAGATAGTACAACTACAACTGTAACAGCCCCATGATCACACACACACACCAACACAAATCAAGAACATTTTTTGGAAGCACAACAGAATCGGAAGTCAGAAATGCGATACATTAAGTGCCAACTGACAAAATACAGTTCTTGAACAATACAGTACTTGCAAATACATTAAGTATTAAACGGCTTGAGTAACTTGACACAAATGAGTGACATTAAAACAAAGGTATAACATTATGTTTTTGATTAATTGGCTGATAAAATTAAGAACTAAAATTTTGAACATCTGAAAGTATTGTATATTGAAACAATATATTAAAATACAATATATATGGGCATTTATTTTCAAAGCTTACATATCACTGTTTGTTAAGATGAACAAGAAACACGTAGTTTACGAGACCAATTAGGAGGACGATATTTAATCCGGGATACCAGACGACAACACTACAAGAAAAAGAAGATTTTTTCCGAAAGTGTATATTTGTAAATGATTTTGTAATATTTGTAGACTTTTAAATGATATCGCCAGTGAATTAATGTACTTAGCTATGGGATAACAGAGATAATTTCGTAGGCTGTGAAGTCCAGGTTGAAGTAGTTTAATTGCAGAACTTTAGTTATAATTTAGGATAATCAACGACCGCTTTAAACAGAAAAAAACACCTAAATATTATTCTGAAAGTGCAAAATCAGCCTTTCTGGACGACGAAAACAATTTTGATGGAGTTTTGTTCTCTGAGTTCATCCACCTGAACTACAAATCTTCTCCACCATGACAAAAACAAATAGTAAACAAATGCAAAAATAGTGCGAACAAAAGTATATATGTAATCAAATCACGCAGATTAATTAATAAAAGTAACAACTCAAAGGAATATGAAACGTTGTATATATAATCTATTTAAGAGAGCGGCAGACTAATCACAGCACTACCATCTTTCGTAAAAGTAGCTACACTTGCATCTTCATCAAAAGTGTCTAGTAAATATACGTAGAAAAAAAATAGCATTACAAACTGCATATAAACTAAGGCAACTTCAATAGACAATCTGTACTGTGACCAATCAAAGGAGCTGTGATGTAAAAACTCAGTGATAGTCCGATCGAAAACCAGAACGAAGATTTGAGTACGCCATATTGTTAGATCGGCTTACAATAAACTCTATCAGAGCCTCCAGAGAGGCTCATAAAGAGACCAACCAATCAGCGATTAGTTAGAAGCTATGCTACTAAAATAACAAGGTCCTGATTGGCTGTTAAACATATTGCTACTATGGAATCTTAACGTCTTTTTAATTACTATAAAACCTGTTTTTTCTGTACATAATTGAACCTTGTAGTAAAGTGCTTCTCTGATACTCGTGTCTTCTTACTGGTCTTTCAAGTCGCTGAGTAGTGCTAGCCTGGGGTTATCCGAATAGCTAGGATCCGAATAAAGAGTTCAACCTACACGACATATCACATATATAGAACAGATTTAGTAGTCTTAAAAGAGATCAACTTATAAATACTCATACGTTGATCGAAAACATCTTTGACAACATCAAATCCCATGTGACAATTTTGTTCACTGGAAACTGATAAAACCTACTAGGACGGCTAGTGCTTTAAGGGTAATACAGTATGCAATATAAACAATCAAGAACGAATTAATTAAAAGTAGGAAATCCTAGACAAATCAAAAGTGGAAAGGCGGCAGGACCTGACAATATACCAGCAGAAGCACTGAAGTCAGACATTGAAATATCTGCAAACATGCTTCACCTTCTATTGAAGAAGATTTGGGAAGAGGAACAAGTGCCAACGGACTGGAAAGAAGGATATCTCATCAAAATACCAAAGAAAGGAGATCTGAGCCTATGTGAGAACTACAGAGGCATCAATTTGTTATTAGTACCAGGAAAAGTTTTCAACAGAGTGCTGCTGAATCGGGTGAAAGACGCAGTAGACGCCGAACTTCAGGATCAACAGGCTGGATTCCGTAAGGATAGGTCGTGCACAGACCAGATTGCTACACGACGGATCATCGTTGAACAATCAGTTGAGTGGAACTCATCACTATACGTCAACTTCATCGACTATGAGAAGGCGTTTGACAGCGTGGACAGGAGAACATTATGGAAACTTCTTCGACACTATGGAGTTCCTCAGAAGATCGTCAACATTATCCAAGACTCATACGATGGATTACAGTGCAAAGTGGTGCATGGAGGACAGCTGACAGATGCATTTCCAGTAAGGACTGGAGTCAGACAAGGCTGTCTACTCTCCCCATTCCTCTTCCTTCTAGTGATTGACTGGATTATGAAGAATTCGACATCTGAAAGGAAATACGGAATACAATGGACTTCTCAGAATCAATCAGATGATTTGGACTTCGCAGATGACCTAGCCCTCCTCTCTCATACACACGAACAAATGCAGATGAAGACAGCAAATGTAGCAGCAGCCTCTGCATCGATAGGCCTCCACATTCACAAAGGAAAAAGCAAGATTCTCAAATGCAACACGGAGAACAATCCAATCACACTTGATGGTGAAACTCTGGAAGAGGTGGAAACATTCACGTACCTGGGGAGCATCGTTGATAAACAAGGAGGATCGGATGCAGATGTAAAGGCGAGGATTGGCAAAGCAAGGGCAGCATTTCTACAATTGCAGAACATATGGAACTCAAAACAACTGTAAACTAATTTCAAGGTCAGAATCTTTAACACGAACGTCAAGACAGTCAGTCTTACTGTACGGAGCTGAAATGTGGAGAACTACTTTGCCATCATCAGGAAGGTACAAGTATTTATAAACAGTTGTCTATGCAAAATACTCAACATCCATTGGCCGGATACTATCAGCAACAGCGTTTTATGGGAGAGGACAAACCAGCTTCCAGCTGAAGAGGAAATTAGGAAAAGACGTTGGAAAAGGATCGGACATACATTAAGGAAATCACCAATGTACATTACGACTCAATCCCTAACTTGGAATCCGGAGGGGAGGCGGAAAAGAGGAAGGCCAAAGAACTCACTACGCCGGGAAATAGAAGCAGATATGAAAAGGATGAATAGCAACTGGAAAGAACTGGAAAGGAAGGCTCAGGACAGAGTTGGATGGAAAATGCTGGTGAGCGGCCTATGCTCCTCGACGAGGGGTAACGGGCGTAAGTAAGTAAGTAAGTAAGGAAATCCTAGAAACGACTTTAATTTGCATTTTTAGGTACTGGTAGCTCTTAATTTTCGTCTTATGTAACGACCTTAACCTTGAGTGACAGTTTCGAACCATATGGAAAGCACCAGTTCCCTTAGAGATTACACATATACCACATATAAAAAATATTAGAATATTGGTTCACGCCCAGTATGTCTTCACGTTTAAGTTAGTGGTACGGATAAATGTAGTTGAGCGCGTATTAGTTTGTCAAGTCACTGACTGTTAGCCTGACCTATACTGACAGATGCAGACTATTTGGTTGAGGTCCGTGCGATTGTCGTAACAAATTAAGACATCAGGTGACATAGCCTATAACTAATAGCAACAATGTAGATAGATTCACTACTTCCCCTTCTCTTAGATCCAGAGTCTGGAAACAATTTTATACCTCTTACTTAGTGAATTTATTATTACCTCTCGCAACACATTCTCTATGTACAATGTATTTTTACTTTTACAGACACTACAACTACTATTGCCCTAATATTATTCGTGATGCAGAGTTACATGCAGGCTACTCATAAACATACAACGTCAACATACAGAATAAATAACATCAAATCATTTAAACTAGTGACCACATTGCGAACTGGTCTAAAAATAACTTGATTAGCATTAAGAACCAGGGAAAAATGACAATGGTTTTCACTGTGATCAAATGAATGCAATCTGAATAGATGAATGGGTATAAACGTCGGTTAAAAACAAGTAAACGTAAATTAACGTCTTTACTGCTCACCTCGTTATTCAAAGACGTATCAGGATTTTTAAAAGGCGTGGTCAATGAGTCGAATAATTGTTGTGCAACTGTATAATCTCCTTTGTCAGCTGATTTAATAGCTTCTTCCGCAAGATAATTACGTAGAACTACTCGAGGATTTACAGACTGCATTAAATTCAAACGTTCGGAGATTTGTGTTTTGGTATTGTCATTATTCCTTTCGAAATCAATTTTTAAACGCGTTTTGTATGCTCGTAACCAAATAGACCATAGACGTTTATTTCTCTCTTGGTATTCTTCTTCTGTCATATGCTGAATAGAAGATGGAAAGATACTTTTTCTCCATGTATTACAAAATGATTGTGTACAGTTCACGTCAACACTAAGTAGTGTGTATCACAGTCGGCGGATATCTAATTTTATTTACTTAAATACATAAATATTGGTACAAAAGGTGAACCAGATATACATGCGCCGCACAAATCTCATTTGATTTGTGTGAGGGCTGTGGCACTGCCCAGTTGTCCAAACTGAAGAAGGTGGTTTTCTTAGGGGACCACAACCGGAGCCTTTGACTTAAAGGTCTAACCCACAAGGCAGTGGAGCGGCGTAAGGAGATGCAGTCCCATGGTAGCCGGTCACCAACGATTGATTCATATGCCCTGTGTTCCTTTAGGATACCCGAGCCCATGTACACCATTGGTTTAGAATCGGGGTTTTCCAACTCTCCTAGGTGAACATTCCGTGTCCACCGACCCGGTTAAAGCGTCAGACATTCGCTTTTCGTCCTCTCAATTTTGTAAACAACAGTAATGCCATAAGAAGGCAGTGAGTAGGACTTCCCTGGCAGAGGTTATATACGCCTGGCCATGAGAGAGCATTTCGAGAGGGAGAGAGGACTATCCTCACTCTCGGCTTTACCAGGGCATTCGCGGCTGGTTTTTTGAAACAACCATATTTTAAATGACGTAAAATATTTACTGATAGTTAGATAATTGCACATAATATTTTACTATACAAGGGTAAAAGTAGATATGCTGTCAAATTGGTGCTTACCTTACCTGATCGTAAAAGAACAAAATAATGAAGATACACTGTGCATTCTATCATGACTGTATATTTTTTAAACTTATGAATGAGATATTATCGATTTCTATTGTTCTGAATTTCCATGGTTGATTTGAATAACTATTTTAACCTACTCTACATAGGAGTGTAAAAACTTTAACTTAACGTTGAACAGTTTATTTTATTTATTTCTACATTTGGCAACTATATTTTATGTCAACAGTAAAGACTTCAACATGATCTACAACTCAGTTTGTAAATCAATTTATCAGTCTTAGATAGCTGTATTGTTTATTAACATTAATTGTAATAATTACTATATACACTATATTTCTGTTGAGTTGGCTTTCGGAGAACTTCAATGGAGCCTCCAGAGGCCTAAAAAGGAGCCGAAGAGCCCTAGCCAATCTGGGTATGATGGGACATTCTAGAGTTCCAACGTGGCGTGCTACTATTGATCGGTAGCATAATATGTCGTTAATGAATTGGCTGAAATAGGATATTGATTTAAGATACGCTAACATCTATAAATACCTATGATTTTCTGTACAAGATTGAACCTTGCAGTAAAGTGTTTCTCTCATACTCGTGTCTTCTCTCTGGTGTTCAAGTCGCTGAGTAGTTCTAGCCTGTGGGTTACCAGAATAGCTTAGGAAGCGAATATATCGTTCAATCGACAAGACTTATCAATTTCCACTATCGATACTAAAAGTCCCTCTTCTTTCATGAACGAACCATAGAACTAGGCTGAACAAATGTGTAAACTTTTGTCTAAGTATGAAAGGTATGTTTTTATAATAGAAAAGGTTCGAGGAAAAATTTACGAAATGCAGGTAAAGTTTTATAATGAACACAATAATTTATTTGATAAGCCGGTTTTCAATTCAGTTGTTGACTAGCAATAAGAGTGATAAGACTTATTTGATGAGCTTATGTTAGCTGATAGTCACTTAAATCTGTGCGGGTCAGAATAGAGTATCACAAGGATGCAAGATTACTTAGATAATGAGTTGTAGATAGGGAGTTCAGTGCTGAAAGAAAGATCTACTCTCCATTTCAAGTGTATTCTAAATATTCTATAGTAATTAGTGCTCGCTTCCTTCTTCAAAATGATTCCTATCTTTTCATTTTTCACACAATACTGTATTTTTATTTTGTGTAGCGAAATGTATTAAATAATTGAGTAGGTATTCTATTATTTCTCCCAAAGTTGGAAAACATACTTATCTATCAAATTTTAAAAATAAACTCCGAACCAATCAAAAGTAAGGAAACTAAAATGATGTTTTAGTGATGCAAAGTACTCAACTTTTAACTAATAGGCCACAAATTCAAATCACACTCATTCTCGTTTGAGTTGAACTGGTCCTCAAAACAAACAGTTTGATTCAATCAGTTGTAGATATATAGGTGTTGGGGATGTCAAATCCCCAGAACTTACTTGGTAAATGGCTTAGTTTTGTAATTTTATTTTGAAAATTTGAATTTAGCCGTTTTCGCGCCAAAAGCGCTCTTTTTACCTTCACGTCATATTTCCCACTTGTAAACTATCTTAAACGCTATTGGTCCATTGTTTCTTTGTGTGTGCTATTTACTAATGATGCTCAAGGACAAATTGTTGCTGTATAAATGCGCTTGACTTTTTCCCTTATTCGATTGCTTGTACTCGGCTGCTTACGGAATACATACATATTCCCCTACTTGCCTTGGACTTCTTCATCTAGTTAGCGGGGCCTGGGACAACCGATTAGAATAGCTTATCGTGTAATTGGTTTTCGTTCGTTACAGCGGAATCGATTTAGTTCAAGCATAAGAATAGGTTCTACAGGTCAGTTGAGGCCACGAAAGCTGAGAGACACAGAATCGAATCTATCAGGTACACCGTGCTGATGAGTGCCAGGTAGCACGAAAATGAAGTTCAGGGTTTCTTCTACACTACCTCCAACCACCTCACACTTTGATTTAAAGTCAAGTAAGTAAACTCATAATTGGTAAATGTGTTATAAAATACCTCGCTCTATCCCCATCAGCTTATCAATGTGCTTTTGCTTACCTCTAGTTCTTTATACAGTTTTTCTTTCTCTTTACTTTTCAAAATCTTCGTTTCTTCTAGTTGATCTATGATATTTTCACGTATACCAGTAAATCTTGCAGATAGTTGACGATGTCTAGGATAAGTGTAAGAGAGAAAGAGCTAGAAATAACTAGTAGATGTAGGTCGAAATACAAGTAGGAATAATCTAATTCGTATATATATTCCATTTAGACACTTAATTGAAACTGTTGAGAATATGATCAGTGTGAGGCTGCAATCAAAAAACGTACATCATGAATCTGTCAACTTTTGGTGTATGGTATATTCAAACGGTAAGATTAGTAATTATTAGGTTCAAGTTGCATGGTGTTACTAAAACTTGGGAACTGCTGAACATCGAATACGTACGTTTCTAATATAAACCTATGGATTCATATCAACAGTGCAAAATGACAATCATTACCGATGATTTGTACGATGAAAAAGATGGAATACGGCTAACAGTGGAATCCAAGACAGGCGTTTCGTTTTATTTGCGGCCTGTCAGTCGCATGCACCTGAGCAGGAAGTACGTACATATACCAACCAAGACTGATCAAATTTCACTTCAAATATCAACGAGGTGATTCAAATCGTTTTAATTTTATTTGTGTCTTTTGTTCGATAAGTACACGAACTGAGATCATAGGAATTAGGATAGATACATTTCGCCAAGCTCGAAATATCCCTCGTTTGTATTAACACATTTGTAGTAACTCTGTTTAAAGGATCTATGAAAATCTTCAGAAGTCAAATTTTTCAGTTATCTCACCATTACAAAAACTGTTCACAGTGCCTAATACTTTGCTATAGTATGGAGGTGTGATTTAAAGAAACACATAAATCATCTAAATAGTGCATTAGGAAATCAGAAATAAGGGGGAACACATATATTTATTATTTTGAATAATGATGGAGATGAGTGGATTTCTGCGACATGTATTGCACTGATAGACTCTCGTAAACTCATCTTATCAGGCTCTAAACACAATGAAGAGAGAAAACCAAACTTTAAGGAGCAGCTTAGCTGCCCTTCAGCTACTATACAACTACCCACCATTCCCAAACAACCGAAATGGAACATTGATATAGGCTCCTAACTCTTATTAAAGTTCAAAAAAACTATAGCTAATCTGAAACGAGGAAAGCGAGCCGATCTAGACGGATTAATTTCACAGGTCTTTAAAGATGGTGGTCCAGTTTTAGCAATTAGGTTGACTAGTATTTTAAATAAAATCTGGGAACTGAATGTAATCCCATGTGAATAGTTTAAATCACTGATCGTCCGAATATATAATCAGGGGTCAAAATCATCCTATGATAACCATAGAGGGATTAGTTTGACTAACATAGCATCTAAAATACTGGCCTCAGTAATTATTGGTCGCTTAACAAAGATTTGTAAACTGAAAACATGAGAAAATCAGGCTGGCTTTAGACCACATATTCACTATTCGTAGGGTTTTAGAACACAGCTTATCGGCGTCCGACAATGGTGGTCTTTCTTGATTTAAAAGTAGCATTCCACTCTGTTGACCGAGAGGCTCTGTGGCAGTGTCTGTCATTCGAGGGTGTACCTCAGAAATATATAAACCTTGTGAATGCTCTTTACTCGAACACTGCCAATCGAGTATGAGCTTATGGCAAACTGTCATCTGATTAAGTGACCCCAAGTGGTGTCTGGGGTTTAATTTCACCATAGACCTACTGCTAGAAATCACATTCTCATTGAATGAATTTTCAGGCATTGACCTTCTACCAAAAGGTCCCTATATTGACTTGGAATACGCAGATGACATAGTCCTAATTGGTGAAGACGCTGATAAAATGCAGCGTCTTTTGATAGTACTGAGCAATAATGCATTATTTATTTATTTAAACACATAAATATTGGTACAAGGGGGCACCAGATACATTTGCGCCACACAAATCTCATTCGATTTGTGTGAGGGCTGTGATACTGCTCAGGTGCCCAAAACGAAGCAGGTGGTTTTCTCAGGGGGCCACACCCGGATCCTTTGACCTGAAGGTCTGATCCACAAGGCAGTGGAGCATCGTGAGGAGATGCAGTCTCATGGTAGCAGGTGACCAACGATTGATTCATACGCCTTTTGTTCCTTCAGGATACTGGAGCCCATGTGCACCATTTGTTTGGAATCAGGGTTTTCCAACTCACTACGTGGATCCTCCATATCCAAAAACCTGGTTAAAGCGCCAGACATTCGCTTTTCGACCTCTCAACTCTGGTAAACAACACCCCCGCAACGAGAAGGCAGTGAGTAGAACTTCCCTGGCAGAGGCTATATACGCGTGGCCATGTGAGAGCATTACGAAAGAGAGGATGGACTCTCCCCACTCTCGACCGTACCAGGACATTTGGGGGTCAGATAATTCATATGGCATGATAATACAAAGAAGGCTGTAGAAAAGCTGAATTTATCCAAGTGTATTAACGTTAGGCTTCATGATGTTTTATTAAAAACTAAAATTTAAAAAAAGAAAGAAAAGAGAAAGAAAAACAAATTAGTTAAAACACTTACAATTCTATATTAATAGGTTCAAATGTTTCTTGTAGTTGACTTAAACTACAACATTCATTAACTATCAGATCAGGTTTTAATAAATCTGAATCATTTTCATTAAATAATTGAAATAAAGTATCTTCTAATGCTAAAAATGTATTTGTAAAATCAGCTCCAGTTTTTTCCATTGTATTAAATAAATTTTCAATTAGATCAGTATCTATTTCATCTTTAGGATAAAATAAACCTAACTAGAAAATGAAAATAATGAATAGCATATAATTTTACATAAGTAACTAATAATATCGTGTAAGCAAAGATGGAAAGCGGCTAGCAGTGAAATCCAAGAAGCGCGTTTCATGGCCGAGTGGATAACGCGATGGCGCTTGAAGCGAAAGGTACTGGGTTCGAGTCCTAGAATGAACATCAACTCTGAGATGCAGGCACATCCATCTGAAGAGTCCCAAATAGGACGAAACACGCGTCCTGGATTCCACTGCTAGCCTAGCCACTATCCATATTTGCTTACAATGCTTGTGAATTAAGGCTATATCGGGGCAATACGCACAGTATGCACAAATGACAATTAGAGACTAACCAGTTGCATTACTAACACATCGATGAGAAGATTCAAACAAACAATACTAAATAATAATATCATTGTTTAAATTGATAATTTCAAGTAAATTGAGCATTGAATAGAATGATTAATTTAAATTTCTGATGTTTCGTGACTGAGTGTAAACCATTTATTTAAAGTAAATGAATAAATAACCAAGTTAAATGAACACAAGTTTGAAAAGCATATAGGAACCAAGTAGAGTACTTAACATTCACTGGCCGGATACTATCAGCAATAGCCTTCTGTGGGAGAGGACAAACCAGCTTCCAGCTGGTTGTTTATATGAATGGTGAGAATGATCCACCAGGGTGCTTGGTACCTGTGTGGTAGCGTCACAGGACTGAGCTATGCTGTTCGGATTGTAACGCTGAAGCCCATATAGTGTCTGGTTCTCCTATGGGGCGAGATTGAGCTGTACTGCTTGGGTTAGGCCTGGGCACCTTTGCCTCCCCTGTTACACAGGATTGAGCTGTGCTGTTTGGGTTGTCACGTGAAAGTCTAGACTATAGTTCACAATAAAAACGTACAACTATTAGACGATTATGTGGTAAATCATAAGTTTAGTTGGTTCAGTTGTAAGAGATTATCATAATCAGTGGTTGAAGACATTGACTGACATGATTCAGAAACGATCACATTGGCTCAGATAAACTCACAACCTAACTTCTCATAAATTCTCAGTTTTCAAATCACTTTAAACCTGCTATTCTACGAACTTATTCTTTTTTCTAGAATTATATTTTCAATGAGAAGCCCTTTTTTAATCCCAAGAATGCTAGTAAAAATATACTACTACTATTCAAAAAAGTAGCATGTCAGTTGAATAAGTTTAAATGAATAGTATTTCAAAAAAGAAGGATCTATATTAATAATTATTTTAGAAAAATGGAATATGATAGTATGATCGTATATAGGATCAAGACAATAGTCAAATGAGTAATATTGAGTAATATAATCTGCCTGTAAAACTGTTTATCGAATTGCTTGAAAAAGTAGGAATATAAATCAATGAACAGTAAACGGATATTGGAAAAGAAATATATCAAAGTAGAATCTCGCATACACGTTTATTAATACGTTGATCAAGGTTTTCAGAAGTTGTATACTACAATCAAATATGAACATGATTGTACCAATAGAGGTAGAACACAGAAATGAAATAAAATTTACAATTATAAAGCCTTTCTAATTTATTCACACCAAAGAAAATGCGAAAATTCGACCACACATACTAACAATGACTTTATGAACTAGAACCATTTGTTAGTTCAACAAACATGTTGCATCCTAAATTCCTACTCAAGTTAATATCACACATTGAAACAAGGAGTAACTTGCCATGGTGAGACGAATCACTTCATTATGATATGTAACACCTATTCATAACTCAGCCTACTGGACACGTTGCTACTATAACAAAAATTCCAAGTTTTAATAGCTGAACTGATAACCAACAACCTAATGGAATCTTGATTGCAGAGAGTACAATACGTGTGTATATAAGGAAATAATGATAGGAATATCAGTCAGTCAGTCAGCTATTACGTAGGACCAGGCACATATATGCACTGGTCCAAGTTGCCATACCTCGTTAGCACAACAAGATCAGCACCGGATTCATAGAAGTAGTTAATTTAGTGGTGGTAGTATATAAAAGATAGGTTGTATATAAGGATCTAGTATAGTTAGGAAGAACGTTATGAAGCAATTTTAATCTTACAGTCTAAGGGAAGACAGAGAGTGTATACACCTACGCCATTGTGATCGATTCTGAGCCATGTCACCCAGAGTCTCCAACCATTGGTTACGATAGTCACGCGGACCCCAACCAGGTAGTCTGCATCTACCAACATGGCTCAGGCTAGAAGTTAGTGACTTCAAGCTCTGATGCCACGTTTTGGTTTGGCCGCCCCTAACTCTCTTCCAACCATCCCCTACACTAGTCAACATTGCGCGTCGTTGTAATCAGTGTTCAGGCATACGTATCACGTGGCCTAACCATCTCAGTCGATGAAGATTCATGACCTCATCAACTGATTTACTATCATTCCATAATACCCTGTGTCAGGAATATCAGTAACTTAAGATAATTTAATTCACAGTTTATTTGCAATATATGTTCGAAACTTGGACCATATATTTCAAGTTCAGCATTCAAGTGACAAATCAAGCGCAACACTTAGATTATTAAAGAGTTCTATTGTGTTAACACATAAAAAGAAATTGAAAACAAATTACTTTTTATGTATAGTTACATACTTATCAACTTACCTTTTTACGCATTCTTTCCAAATAGACACTTTTAAAATAGGACACATATGTAGTATCTAAAACATTAGTGAATTTTTTTGTAAGATTATTAACAAATTCTTTATCGATTGTTTTATCAGATGAATATTTCTGTTGATCAATTAATGCTTGAATTAAACATTCAGCTAGACGAGCACAATTCCATGCACAAATATTTGGTTGTTGAGCATATGAATAACGTCCATCTGGATCTGATGTATTCGATATATGATCCCAAGTGAATTGATCCATAAAACCAAATGGTCCATAATCAATTGTTAAACCAATAATACTCATATTATCTGTATTTAATACACTGACCATTTTTATAGAAAGAAACCAAATAAATTGAAAAGGTAATTTTCTATGAATAGAGTTGAAAAAAAATTTGAAAATCACCAGCCGATGGATAGTAACTTAGCTCCAGTTAGAGAATTTGTCAATAGTATGTGCACCTACAACACCATACGGAAAAGTACACCATTTAATCCCATCAAAATGGTTTGTATGTAACCTACCCTTCCCCAAACATGATAATACCGGGTTACGTTCTGTATATAATCGTGGAGGTGCAATGATAAAGAGTTGAAATTAAAGGCGGAATGACTGCCTGGTACATCTCCCGATTTCAAGGATGTTCAAGTTAATATCAAGAGACTGGTAGGTCCTGGGTTCGAATCTCGTGAGTGCGGGATCATGGATGCGCACTGTTGAGGAGTCCCATAATAGGACGAAACGGCCGTCCAGTACTTCCAGGTTTTCCATGGTGGTCTAGCTTTAATTGACTCATGATTTCAACTATGAAAAGTTTATATTAATCTGTGATGGAAACTAAAATTGCTTTTCTTGAGTTGAATGTTTTCATGTGAATTCTTCATTTTCTTTACAGAAAATACCATCAGCACAAAATTCAAAAAGAAATGAGGCATGAAAATTTTTCTGGAAGTGGCTAACAGCTCATTTGACTGATTGCAACTAAAGTTGTCCTGTCATGGTCTGAACATTTATTTTGAATGTAAAGCATTGTTTCTTTGTCTTTAACCAATGATCAACTAAGTAAACTGTTTGTGTGAATGTATACACTGACGCCATGGCTATTTAGAATATTTTTGATATCTTATAGTGTTTGAAACTTTCATTATGGAGTGAATAAAGGGTTGGAGCTTTTTGGTGTCAAAGGAAATCGATTTCGCCTGTTTTATCAATGATTATTACAGAAGTGAATTCGTCCAATATGGCTACAGATACTGGTTCTTTCATTTTTACACTGAGTTCATTTTGAATGTAACTGCTCTATTGAGTTAACTTAGGGTTGGTGAAAATGTATCCCTTACATCATTTGCTTTTTCATTTCAAAAGTATTTTAAAGCAAGTTCAATATTAAAGACACAATCATGATCTTTTCATGTCAAAATTAAAAGCTTTTTTAACTAGAAAACGTTTATGCTCGTTTAGGCTTCTATATGACAGGATCATGACTACTTTGTTAAAATCAAGGTTTAGTTACAAGTCTTTATCTTAATAAAATTTACGGTTTGACGTGCATTAAGTGAGTTTTTTTTAAACGTTATTATGTTACGTACTTCAGAGAGATCATTAAACCGATACATTCTTTGATGTAATTAAAGAAAACCCTTTTAATATTACGTTGGAACCACGAACCAATCTGATTCCAATGAAATATTGATAAGGCCTGTAGCCCTTCTAGGGTAACTGCCGGTTCCAAGCCCGAATAAAGGGAGAGGGGTTGGTGATGGGGTCAACAATCCCATTCAGTATATTTTAGTGAGATAGTCTGTAATTTGTGCTTAAATACATTCGATTATCCCCACTTGTGTTCTTGTTTACTACATCTTTGAATGGAACATGAGTGAATAGTGATTTGACACCGTGTGTGTATATATATAAGTTTATCATTTACATTCACCTCTTTCATGTATTCGATGAATTCAAAGGTATCGTGTAAGGGGTGTATACAATTACGTTTTCTTACGGGATCTAGGAGATCTGCCAGCCACGTTGTTAAAGAGTGGTAAGGGGATCCGGACATATCAAGAATCAGCCGAAGATGTAGGCCATGTTTGCGTATTTTGGGAAAACCATATAGTCGTGGTATTATTGGTCATGTTGGTTTTATGAGAGAAATTTTCCCAAGTTTAACCTGTGACTTGAAGTAGTCATGTGGTGTGGTCTACTTATATCCTCATAAGTAGTATATGATGATGGTCAGAGACAGAATGTATTTTGGCAGAAGACCGATAAGGAAAGGGCCGAAATGAAGCGCAATTGATAAGAAAATGCATAAACAATGAAATTAGAAAAGATGGACTAATATTTACAGAAGGAACAGTGAAGATTGAGATAATTGATTGTTATTTTGCATATTAACTGTTTCCTGTATGGTTATCAGAATTCAGTGAGATAGTCTGTAATTTGTGCTTAAATACATTCGATTGTCCCCAGTCGTGTTCTTCTTCACTACAGTCATAGTTCGTATATGTATCGAATACACATCTTCGGCTACATTCTCTGTGATCTTATAATACTAATCAAAATATATATAGTTCAACAACTTAAAAGTAGTATAATTATTCAGAATGGAAATTATAATTATTATTGTATTTTTACTTTCGAATCTTACCCATGACAAAATCCAACAGTTTGCCAAAGAGCAACTAGGTTAGCTGTACGTTTTACTACTTCTTTAAAGAATTCCAAATAACAATGAATAATATCATTTGAATAGTCTGACCAAATCTTCATTGACGAATAGATTATAAACAACAGGAAATCCGAAAAAAAACAAGGATAAAATGAAGATTTGATCCACTTTAATAAGGTGAAACAATTACAAAATTATTCCAACAGATCATTTATAGTTTCTTGTTCTATTTAGATAGATAGAATCACTGAAAACTGGGAAATAGCAGACATTAGTACGAGAATGGTATAGAAATTAACGAATTTTTATAGTATACATCACAGATTGAACTTCGACAATCATTGAAAAATTAGGAAGCACTGGATAGCTTGCTTAGTATTTATTTATTTACTTGAACACATAAATATTGGTACAAAGAAGCACCAGATATTTATGCTGCACACAAGAAACTATCATTTCATTTAATTGTGTGAGGGCTATGATACTGCCCGGGTGCCCAGACCGAATCAGGTGGTTTTATTAGGGGGCCATTCCCCGAGCCTTTGACCTAAAGGTCTAACCGACAAGGCAGTGGAGCAACGTACGGAGATACAGTCCCATGGTATCCCGTGACCAAAGATTGATTCATACGCCATTTGTTCCTTCAGGATACTGAAGCCCATGTACACCATTGTATGGAATCAGGGTTTTCTAACTCCCCTAGGTGAACTTTCCGTGTCCACAAACCCAGTTAAAGGGCCGGACATTCGCTTTTCGTCCTCTCAATTTCGGTAAACAACACCCCCGCCGCGAGGTGGTGAATAGGACTTCCTTGGCAGAGGCTGTATACGCGTGGCTGTGAAAGCATTTCGAGAGAGAAGGCTAGCCTTCCCCACTCTTGGCCGTACCAGGGCATTTAGGGACCTATGAACTAGTATAGGATTTCCTAAAAGTGTGCACCCGCAACCATATCCGGGACCAAATTCTGGACCATTAAGCATTTTAGCGAGCAAATAAACCTTCATACTACAGAGTTAGCATTCAACATGAATCAAATCAAACTCTAATGCAGTTAATGGTGTTGAACTCAACTGATATCTGTTTCTCATCAGAACTCTAGTGGGCACACTGATTAGGTCTAAAAACTAGGAATGGAAACTGTTGGATGCCGACCCCAGGGTTAAGAGCTTAATGTCACATCATAAAGCCTGAAGGTCCTCGATTCGGTTCTTGGTGAAGTCATGGATGAGCACTGGGAAGTCAGCCATTCATAAGTAACGTAGAACATGGTCCATATGTCTGTCGGTTCAAACTGTTACAACAAATTAGTACAATGAAATGAAATTTTTGAGAAAGATCCCAGAGTGATAGAGGTAGTAACAATATAAATGGTAATAGGGAAAAATAGGGATGGGAGATACGACTCAAGAAAAAATAGAGATTTGTCGGAAAAGAAAGCTTTTCAAGATAATTTTAAGACTCAAGAAAACGGAGTGAATGCACCTGCACCATTGCGAACGACCCTGGGTTGTCACCCTGATTCTATAACCACTGATTACGATAGTCACACAGACCTCAACCAGGTAGTCCGCATCTGCCAATAAGGCTTAGTACAACAGCCAACGACTTCGTGGCTTGATGCCACATTCTGGTATGGTCAATCTCAGCTTCCTTCCAACCTACTCCTATACCAGCCATGATAGCGCCGTGAGGTATGCAGCACATGGGCACACGCAATACATTTCCCAACCACCTTGGTTGATGAAGATTCACTACCTTATCAACCGATTTGCCATCCCTAATACTGAGTCCCATATTTGGACGTAACAGCTATCAGGTTTTCGTTGACCTTTGATCGTTTTGTAACTAATGTCAGTTTGTGATGCAAATTATGAACTATTCGATAGTCGTTAAGTCCTAGTAAGTACTCAAGTTTTAATAATGACTACTATCTTTAAACTCAAAAGTCCTCCACAAACCGCTTAACAGAAAAATAATCATGTGTATGCATTAATGACTAGTCCTGAAATCGACTAGCTCGGAGCAAACCTGACTACGCTAAAGTTTCCCGGTTAACACTTATCCTCTCGACATCATATGTTTATCTGACTTTGGAGCAGTATGTGACCTGTTTGAACTTACCCAGTCTATGATCCCTTCTATTTTCAAAAGTAGGTTAACCTTTTCCGCTCCACTTGAGGTGAGGGGATAACAATTACATTAGATTATTATAGTCATTTTGATGAAACAAAAAACAACTACATATAAACAATACTAGTGTAACTTAAAGATATCATTAAGAAAATTTATTTCTGAAACATTTAATATTATGAAACAGAAATACTTACATGAGGATAAAATTGCTGTATTACGTAATTAGTAAGTTGTGACACAATTGTCAAATTACCAACACTTGGTCCAAAACGCCCAGTAATTGGATCTGGGGACTTAGATATTTCAAAAGATCCAAACCTTTGAAAGAAACAATAAAAATATAGTGAGGACTTTATTTTAACAATTTTTCATCAACTGTCAGGTTATTACATAACTTCTCTTCTATATTCAACTTTCCAAACAATTTGCATTGCAATACTATTCTATGGTCACAACATATTAATATGCTTCGAGTTGTCAATTACATACTTGTAACCTATTTCACTACGACCTATTACGTAACTAATAATATAAATAAACAGTAAATAGAAATAAGATGTGAAAGATTACGATTGATTGATCACTGGGTGGTGATCAATGTCATGCGTGTCAAGTCCTTCTTAGTGCTGATCGAACGCTATCGATCAAGTTGCAATGCGGCCACTAGTCTAGGTGGCTCGACACTGTGTGTACTATATATTGAGATAAGATGGTGGTTGGAGGTGGTCAACAGGAAACCCTGGACCCGGGTTTCGTGCTACTTGGCACTCGTCAGCAAGGTGTACCTGTAATCTGGAGGGAACTGGTGCTCCCTGACGGATTCGATCCCGTGTCACTCAGCTTCACAGTCAGAGACGTTACCACTGAGCTATTCGGGCCGCTACCGACCTCCTGTAGGACTGAGATGTAATTACGATTGATTGAAAGATTTCCTACTTGACAATTGTAAGGAAGATAGAGATTAAAAAACAAACATACGTCAGGAAACGAATAGTGAAGTAAGAAGGGGCCTTGTACCATATTAAACCAAGGGAAAGCATAAATCACTTTTGAAGCCAAATATCAGGCCTCCACTACGTGTAAGTCGTTTTGGTTTTGAATGGAGACTCTGGTGAAAAGAGATGGTCAGAGTTGACCACCTGTTCAACAATCGAGCTACTGCCACAATAAGGCATAAATGAAAAAGCAAGTTACGCGATGCTCACTGATTTGACATTAATCTATTTATATCTCATTTGGGCCGTTTTAATACAACAATTAAGGATTAGTAACTGTATAGCTTAATGATAAAATTATTCACAACAATCGTTTGCACGAATACATCAGATTTTTGAATGCTGTTTGGGGATTTTTAAGCTATGAAATACAAACCCTTGTAATTAATAATCGTTTACAAGAAAATAATAATTACCTGATGAATGTCTTAGCTACTCTGCTAGTTATACTGGCTTTTTCAGTGATACTATCACCTGTATAAAACATATCACGTTCAACCAGAGTGTCAGATGTGATAATTGATGCAGCTCGAGTAGTTGGAATGCCTAAATAATACATTGCCTAAAAAAGATGGGATTACATAAGGCATGATATGAGAATTATAAGAAAACAACAATCAACAATACATCATTACTAATTAAGCATATAATGTTAGCACGATAGGATACAGGCTATTGGATTCTTTGACCAGGCTCGAATTGAAATGCGGTAATTGGTCAATTTTTCAAACAATCAGGGCTTTTGGATGCTAAAATATTGTCAGATAGCGCTAAAGCATATTAACGAATGACCTTGAAACAGTGAGTTCATAGTCATTAAAATTTGTCTACGTGAAAACGCGTCCCCACAGAAATTTACTAATGAGCATGCCAAGACCAATGAATGCGTTAAGCATCATACGATTCAAAAGGAAATGTGCTCCCTGTACCTAATTTTGAAACGAAACAACTGTCGAAATGAAGCTTACTTATCCAGAATTAAAGCTGTTCACCTTAAGTCAAAAGAACCACCTCTTATAACAAACAAAAATAGGAAAGTTATCTGTCCACACTACCTCCAACTGTATTTGCTGACTTACATACATGTTCCAAAGCACATGAATAGGAAAAACAGAGAAAAGTATATATCCGTATTTCCGAGAATGCTTTAAAGATTTTGAGATGAAAAGGTGCAACAACCCTGAACGCTGCAACAGCTTAGTATTTAGTAATTATTAATCTTGCAAAATTACCATCAGACAAGAATACGCAAGTTCTTTACGCCTCTCCAAAACAATAGCGACTAAAAAAACTCAGAAAGGATATACGTGTCCAAAACCAGGCAGTAATCAATCTACCACTACCTAATTTGGACTGAGACCTCTAACTATCACTGTATTTTTATAGCTTTTATATAACAAACTCCGATCAATTCACGATGATGAAATCAAACACTAACACGGTTAGATGCTGGCTTGGTGGTCTAGAAGTTAAGCGTTTGCGTGTGGAACCGAAGGTCCTGAGTCCGCACTGCTGACGGGTCCCATACTAAAACAAGACGGACGTTCAGTACTTTCACGTTTCTAGCGTTGGTCTAACTAATTTCAGTTCGTGATTTAAAAACTATGGAAATCCTACAATCACAAAACTTTATACTAATATTATCATATGAAGTCTTTGCCAAGTCAATTATTTCACCATGAAATAAGATGAATCTATATTACACAGCCGTAATTTATATTTTGGTTTTATTCAAAATCAGAAAACAGCAGATTTGGTTGTAATTGAGTTATACTGATATCGGTCAACGGTGAAAACCTTAAACTTAAACTCCAACTAGAAATAATGTATAAACACTCAAATATCTATTAGGTACCATTTCAACGGTTTGAGAAGATGAGGAATCCATATTCATAAGTATGAATTTGTATAATGATATTTTCACGATTTCCAAACAGATTAACTTGTAGAAGACAATAGTGGGTTTGATGATTATGTAAATTCTTTTTACGCTTTGTAATATTATTACTTTTACCCAAAAATTATCGATATACGAGAGCTGTTCTCTGTTTGATTTAAAAACTAGTTGGAAGTTTGTTCCGGTTGTTATATGCTCGTCTTGATGCTATGCTTTTATCGGATAGCCCAGATCTAAATTAGAGCTATTTCTAAATTCGCTGATTATATGTTCAGCATCCTAGGCATGACTGAATGCATAGTCAAGGGTGTTTGAGTGAACAAGAGTTATTTTTCCACTCAAGTTTTAACTTAAACAACATGCTATTATAATTTATGGGTGTAGCAATCATACTTTAGATAGCACATCTCGAATCTTCAGGCGAAGTTTATTCGTTTTTATTGGAATAAATCATTTTTATATGACATCGGTCAGTGATGAAACCCTTAATCTTAGTTACAAACCTCAAATTCTGACCGTATCCGAACTTTTAATTCCTAGCCTTATCTACTTTTTATTCATAAATAATATTGAAGGTGCTGATCCATCTTTACTTTTTTTTATAGATTACTTTATAACTAAACACTGTTCTTTAATTGACTGAATCTACTTAAGGTTGTTGATATAATACAGTATTTTACTTATGTTTGCAGATATAAGTGGTATGTAACACCAGTCGGAAGTAGTGTCTGAGAGTCAAAGGTTGAGAAGATTAAAATGAAGAGAAGGGAGAATGAAATTGAAAGCAATCAAGATAACACGAATGAAGGAACGATGAAACTTGTAAGAGACAATTTAAAGATATGCAATTGATGTATTTAATGTGTGGTTTTCATATTTTATGAAAGCACTCTGTAATTTTGCAGTCAGTCAGTCAGCTATAACGTAGGACTAAACAACGTAGCACTAAACAATACACTGGTTATCCTCACCAGCTTTACGATCACAAGAGTTTCATCTTAATTATTTATAATAGAAAATAAAAGAATTTGAAGAGTATAGTTTTATATTAGCAATGAACTTTACAAGGTTTTACTGACGTCCATTTAGTAAATATGCGGTAGAAAAATTCATCCATATGGTTCCATAGCAATTTTGCTTTTGAGCCTCTATATAGTCTTAAATGAATCTACAATGCCTGCAATAGTTTAAATGATGCAAAGACATTTACCCTAAAAAGCTAATACGATTCAGTAATTTATTTAAATTCCCAATATTTTGATTGACTGAAACCGGTCGAAATCTCAAAGCTATTCTTTAGTATACTTTAGTTTTGTTCTGCTTCAATTAAATTGTCTAGTTCGAAGGAACACGTACAAAGACTTTAACCAAGAAGTTGCAGATTCAAACTCTTTATCCGTCTAATTTTGTTTGAGCAATCAAGTCGTGTTATTAATCTCTAAATAAAACAGTATGCTTTCAAAGCTGAGTACTTTGTAAATGAGTTCAATAATCAGAATTAGTCACAACGTAGAACTTCGTACGTACGTACATCAGTTCGAGTTGCCATACCACATTAGCACAGAGATGCAGTTGTCGATTCAAATCCCATAGTGGTAGAAGTAGTAGGAGTATAATCAGAAATCCAAAAGATTAAGGTTTGAAGAAATTATTGAAGGAGTATAGTACAGTGAAATAAATTTGGAAAGAGAAAAAGACAAAGACATGAGGAATTCAGAAGATTAGAATTTGGTAGAACACAAAGAGTGGATGCACCTTCGCCATTGCAAACGATTTTGAGCCATGTCATTCAAGGTCTCTAACCATCGGTTGCTATCATCTCGCGAATCTCAACCAGTTAGTCTACACCTACCAACATGGCCCAGTCCACTTGTCAGTGACTTCATTGATTTGTGCCACGTTTTGGTCTGGCCGCCCCTAGCTTTCTTCCAACCTGCTCCTACACCATAAAGCATTGCACGTCGGAGCAGTCGGTGGTTGGGCATACGTAACACATGTCCCAGCCATCTCAACTGATGAAGTTTCACTACTTCATCAATCGATTTGCCATCCCTACCTAGTACTCGTTTCTAACAACTGTATTACTTACCCGGTGGTCCCAGGATATACGAGCAATGCGTCGAAGACACCTATGATCGAACACTAGTAGCCTACGAATATCCTCTACTAATATTGGCCATGTTTCACTGCCATAAATTAGGACGGAGCGAACTGCTGCACAGTAAACCCGTCCTTTGGTTGCTAGACGGATATCTCGCCTACGCCATAAATGACGCACGTTGGCGAAAGCTAGACGAGACTTCTGTATCCGTGCTGAGATTTCGTCAAACACCAGACCACAAGGGCTGATGAGACTCCCAAGATAAGTGAAGTGGTCTACACGATCAACTACTTCACTCCCTATCATTAGTTCAGGTGTCGATGCAACCCAATCCTGAAGTAACATTTTGCACTTCGAGGGAGAGAATCGCATCCCGAACATGCCTGCATAGTTGCTTATAGTGGTCAGAAGACTCTGCATGTTGTCAGCGTCTTCACCGAGTAAAACTATGTCGTCGGCGTATTCTAAGTCAACAAGTGAGCCTCCCGGTAAAGGTTCAACTCTTGGAGGTTTAGCTGATGAAAGTACTATCTCTAAAAGTATGTCAATGACAAAGTTAAACAAGAATGGGGAGAGTGGACAGCCCTGACGAACGCCACTTGAGGTAATCATTTCTGATGACAGTTCGCCATAGGCTCTAACTCGACCAGTTGTGTTCGAGTAGAGAGCCTTTATGAGGTTAATGTACTTCTTTGGTACTCCTTCCAGTGACAAACATTGCCATAGAACCTCACGATCAACGGAGTCAAATGCCGCCTTAAGGTCAAGAAATACTACTATTGTGGGACGTCTGAATTTGTGTCTATGTTCTAGAACCTGACGTAGGGTGAATATCTGGTCTATGCAACCACGTCCAGGTTGAAAACCAGCCTGGTTTTCTCTAGTCTGCTCTTCACGAGCTTTGGTTAGGCGACCTAGTATTATTGAAGCTAATATTTTAGACACTATATTAGTCAAACTGATCCCTATGTGATTGTCACAGAAGGACTTTTGTCCTTTCTTATAGACTGGCACAATCAGTGATTGGGACCAGTCAGATGGGATTACCTCCAGTTCCCAGATTCTACCTAAGACCTCAGTCAATCTCACTGCTAGTACTGGACCACCATCCTTAAAAATCTCAGGGGTCAACCTGTCAGGGCCTGCTGCTCTCCCTCACTTCAGATTTCCTATAGCTTTTTCAACCTCACAGAGGGTTGGAGGACTTACATCAATTTGCCATTCAGGACGACTGGGGATCTTGGGTAATTGATGCGTGGCTGAAGGCCAGTTGAACTGATCCCTAAAGTGTTCTGCCCATCGATCCAATCTCCTGGATTGAGAATGAATAATATGCCCATCTTTATCTGAGATGGTTTCACTGATATTCGGGTTCCTAATACCGGTTTCTTTAACGAGTCTGAATAACTGCCTACTGTTACCTATTGCCGCTGCCTTTTCCATCTCTCTTGCTTTCGCTACCCACCACTGTTCACGATCATTGCATAGGCTTCTTATTAGCCTTCGCTTAAGCTGACTCCGCTCTTCGTTAAGTTCAGAGCCAGGTGGGATGAGTTTACGAGCATCTATCAGTGCGGTAGATGCTGCCGAGATCCATTGTTTCTCCCTAACGTTATGGTTTACCTTACTAGTGGATATCACTGCTGTTTCCACAGCTTTTCGGATGTCATTCCACGCTGTCTCGGGGTGGACACAACTTACATGGCTGCCTAACTGTTTTTCTAGTTGTCCCTGAAATATATTCTTAGCTTGCCTATCATTAAGTAGAACCCTTAGAGGCTTCCCTGCAGTGTCTTTCCTACTTCCAGTAAGACGCAGACAGATACGTGCTCGCACTAGAGCATGATCTGAATCTAAACATGTGCTCCAGAATGAGCGACAGTCTTCTATCGAGCCCCTCCATCGGTGGCTGATAGCAATGTGATCTAATTGGGTCCAACGTTGAGACGAATTCGGAGGTCGCCATGTCAAAAGATGATTTTCCCTATGCTTAAAGTTAGTATTTGCAAGAAATAGGCGGTTATCTGATCATAGCTGCAACAGACGGTCGCCATTATCTGTTCTTTTCTCCATGACACCATAAGATCCACCCAGGTATCTTTCCCTTCCACTTAGTTTACCTACTTGAGCATTAAAGTCACCTGCTACTATTACTACATCAGAACGCCTAGCTTCTCGGAGAAGGTTAGAAAGTTTCCTGTAGAACTCATCTTTTATATCGTCTGAGCTGCAGTCAGTGGGAGAGTAGGCAGAGACGACGAAGAGGCAAAGACGAGTTTCCCTATCTTTCCGGGTCCTTACTGATCCGTTTAGTCGGACAGCGCATAGACGACTGTCTACTGGGATCCAGTCTAAAAGAGCTAGTTCTGCCCTAGGACTTAATGCTATACCTACTCCAGCGAGGCCACGGGAAGCAGCATCAGGGCTTCCAGATACACGAAGCGTGTATCGAGATGAATCTTTATTTTGATTAGGTGCGGTCAAATGAATGACACTACTCAGATCTTGTATGTGCGTTTCGGAGACGCAGCACACATCGATGGTGTAAGATTCTAGAGTCCTAGCTAAGGAAGCCTGTTGTTCTATTTGGCGCAATGTTCGGACATTATAAGTTCCTACATGTAGTTTAGAGCGTGGTTTCAGGAGACCAGGAATAACGTTCTGTGTACTCGAATCGTTTGCCCTAGCGGTGCGAAGTGATAAAAGGACGTGGGAAGGGTTAGTCGTGGAGATAAGAGAGTTGTTAGGAGGTGTAGGAAGGATTTGAAAGTGACCAACTTGGTCTCGTGTGCAGTTAAGGGTATGAGGGCTAGTATCACTTCCCGGCTGCCCACACCGTGGAAGGGTATTTCTTGAGGGACCTGAAAAAGAAGTTGGATTAGTGTTGGTCTTAACGACCTGGGAGCGCGACTGCAGTGCCCAAGGGACAACTGCTTGAGGCCGATCACGCACGGCCTTTTTGTGGGGGATTTTTGACGTGTTAGCTCCGTTCTTCAAAAGTCCTTACCGCCGGAGACGGAAATCCGTGGGATAAGGCGAGGTGTGCATTTTTAGGGTCGACCTTTTCTAACCTCACCCCTCCTTGTGGGAAGGCAGCATCGCTGTCATGCTGGTTGTCTGAAGGAAACACCTTACTGCTTTCACACCTCTGTACAGTCAGCAGTACGACTTCGCCTTTGGACCTTGGGATTGCTGCTTTTAGTCTCACCGCTCTTCAAGAGACCTGTCTGGCATGGTAGTACCTTGAGGAACGATTGTTCCAGCCAGCATAGCTCAATTGGATCATCACGATAGGCAAGCCCGACCACCACGTCAAGGTAGCAGCAACGGTCGGGAATGTAAATGCAAATGAGTTGCGACAAAATTACTTCTATTAGGTTGCATATCTCGACAATTTTAAAATTACAAATGACTAGTGTTAATACACTTTAACAGCAACAAGTGTTGTGGTGATATTATTCGAAATAGAATAGAAAAGAGATTTTGAAGAACGATCAGTTCATACTCAAAATCAGGTCATTCATTTCATTACTATTGTTGGATTAAATGGAATAAAGATGGGTCAGATCTATCACATGGAAACAATGAAATGTTGCGTGATTTGCCCGGTATTACTTTGTAGAAAAAGTCGGTTTTTAGATCTCAGAAATGGATAGGTTGCTAGTTTTCAATCATAGAAAACTTCAAAGTATTATTCACATACAGTAGAATCACCAAGTGAGTAATGTTGCGGTTAGGTATTGGGTACTAGTTGAAGATGATAAAATAATTGGTGTGCCAGTGAACCGTCTTCAATTGAGATGTCATGGACGCCAAAGAACTGGTATAAGAGTAGGTTAAAAAAGGTCAAGGGCTATCAGAATACGATATTTTATTAGTCCATGAAGTTACTAGCTAATGGTCAAAACCGAGTAAACAGTATGCAGTTTATTGTTGAGAACCATATATATTTTGATATTCTGACAAATTGTTGTACAGATATTTCTATAATCTAACCTCAGAGCATAGAAATTCTCGTAAACTGGAACGTAATACTTTTCTTCCATCACCTTGCCGAGAAAATGGTGTTAAACCTGCGCCTTTCAATTGTAATTCCCAACGTTCACCTTGTTCATTGACCACTTCACCAAGTGAACTAGAAGAAACAAATAACTCCAGTGACTGAGTAATATACAATAACAAGGTCAACGAAAATTTTTTTCATTTCTGATATATATATATATATATCGTGAATTGATTCAAGATAGAAATGTGAGTCATTGGGTGGTAAATTAATGAAATGAAAGCTTGTGACGAAGCATGAATTTCGTGAGTTTAAACCCAGTTGGTGTTATGGTTGCGCATTGATGACGAGTTGGGTGTTGGAATGAAACAGTTGCAAAAATCCAATTCAGCTAAGTTTTCAACAACTCACTACCAAAGTTCAGTCTATAAGATACAGAATGGAGAATCAGAAACATCCTAAGTGCTCTACACAGAACAAAACTGCAAGCAATAGCTTCAACCTTGAGTTGGGGGATGTGACAGCATGCGAGTGTAAGTCTCCTATCTTCTTTATAATTTACCTATTCACAGAATTCTTCGGCATAGACTACTGCTTTCAATTTGATTGTAAAAATTGTTATCTGTATCACAAAAACATAGGAATATTGAGTATTTTTTGGTATCGGTTATCTTGATTGCAATCTGAAATATTGTAGAGACATAGGCGTATATTTTTTCTCGGATAACTCGAAATGTAAAAAAAAATATAAGAACATTAGAAAAAACGTTATAAGTTAAACCTTGAGTGGCATTTAGGCTACTGATTTATGCATCACCGAACAGTATAACGCATCAGCTGAATCCTTAAATTAAGTATTTATTTCCACCCTAAATGAAGACGTTGAGAATCCCGTGAACATACACACATTTGGAGCTGAGAACGGACTGAGAAACAACATTAGTTATCACTAAGCCATTCAATCAATGCATAGACACCTCGGTCTTACAGCGGACCAGTAAAGAAAAGAATAACCAGTCAGATGAGTTGACAGTAAGTAAAATTTGTGGAGATATTAGTTCGCTTAATTCAATAACCACACTGGAACTTATATGGTCGATAGAATGACATCAACGCTCAGGACTGGATAACATGACATTGGTTACCACTTGATTATTAATTAACCTGTGAACAACATAGTCACAGGTTACTTAATTGGGGTCCACGCGATTATCATAACCAAGGGTTGCAGATTCTAGGTGACATGTCTCAAAATCAATTACAATTGAGTAGGTGTATACACTCTTTACTTTCTCTTAAACTATGAGACTAAAATTACTTAATACCTTTCTTTCCTTATATGCAATCATTCTTTTATACATCATTAACACTGAATTGACTACTATGAATTCAGTGTTGATCTAGTTGTGCTAATGAGGTATGGCAACTTGGACCGATGCATACATGTGCCTGGTCCTACGTTGTAGCTAACTGACTAACTGAGAAGTCAGTTATGACCTCCATCTCTTTAATATGAGAACACTGGAGCTTTCTTTGAATTGTTTATAATAATCTAACACTTAATTATATTAACCAAGTCGCTTACTATAACCAACTAGTATAGTGTAGTAACATTTAATAAGTGATTATAAAAATTCTAAAATGATGTTACTTTTTATAGTTAAGTAAGCTTAGAAAAATAACAATCCGAAGGCCTACATACATTGCTGCACCATCGCCAAGTTGACCAGCAAAACTACCAAATTGATACCCACAATAACAATGAGCTGTGGGATCACTACCAGGCCACAATTTATTTCCTGATAAATATTCAACTAGACAATTTGTTTCTTCTGTTTTCTCTTTACAGTTTTGTTCATCAAGATGGTTAACTTTATGACAAATATTTAGCAAAGCAAGTGCATCAGGAGAAAACAAAACTAAGCGGGGGTTGTCTATTTTGGTTGTACTGACACGTGTGAAACAAGCATTCGGTACAGATCGTATACTATTGGATCCATTGTCGATTGGTAGAGATTTTAACTGGATATTATCGAATTGTGGATAATGGTTTGAACACGATGATCCCTCGGACAAGGAACATGTATTAAATAGCATATGAGTTTTTTTATGAACAGTATTTGAAAAAAGACCAATATATGATACGTTAAAACATTGTTCCACCAACTTCTGAAACACCATATAGAATATCAACAGAATAATTGCTTTCGTAAAGATAAATAGTAATATATATTTCGTGATGCAAAAAATGAATGAAACAAATAACAGGTTTACATAAGTGTCCCAGTCTAATTTATCAAGTTCTGCATCAAGGTGAGATAAATATAAGGCAAAAAAGTGATGAAAAAAGCTAACAGGAACGTGAGTGGATATAAAACGAAGCTTTAATAACTGTCCACCATCGAATGTCAACGGTTTGTCGTGTATTAAATCACGATACTGCAAAGATATCCAGACCAAGTTAGAAAAACGATATTTTCGGACAAAAATCCGTTGATTAAATTGCAGGACTATAACCCATAAAATAGTAATATGGTTTGATGCGATTGATGTGCTTCCTCTAATTAATTAGTGCAGTGTGAAACTTAATGTAAACAATAATGGAGCCTAATAAACCAAGTAAGCATTCATATACTTCATTTTACGTCACAATTTGTGTGAGAACTGATTATTGTTTGACTACCCTATTACGGATAAAGTTAGAACCATAGATATTTGAAAATTCAGTGGATTACCTAGCAAGCCGTCGATATAAAATCAATTATTTTGGAATATTGAAACTTAAAAAAATAGCTGCTATTTAGTATCTTTATGAATATTTCAAAACAAATAGGTCTTACTACAAAATTAGGACATAATTTATCAGCCACTTAAGATGAAGTGTTAACCTGCCTAAAAAAGATAGTGAGCTGTTGGGAAGGGTCCAAGAAGCAGGGGCTGAACTGACTCCAGAAAACTCAAACATGGTCTGTGATTAGACTGGCCAAACTAATTAGATGATTCTATATTATATGTCGGCTTCCCTAAAAAATATCCCTAAAACAGACAAAATTTTCGCCAAAATCGAGAGAGTAGGTTGAGAGTAGGATTAGGTTTTGTGATCAAGCAAACTTGTTGATTTATTTTCGGAGCAATCCTACTACACTACAAATGGACAAGGCCTGGTATTATTGTTTCCAAGTAGTGTGATCGAACACTCGTCGACAAAGGATAACCCCTACTTTATAAACGGACAAGTGATTTGAGTGTATTTTTGGTGGGCACAAGCCTTGTATTCTGTTATGAACACAGTAACTGTATTTCACCTAGTCGTCCATAAATTACAACACTACAGTACTTACCTTCTGGGTATAGACACAAAAGAGAAGTCTGGCTTTCCGGATTGGACTCCTAGCACGGTATGTTATGTGATGCATTCATCTGTACATCCTTCGAAGCCAGTGCACGTAGACCCAACTAACGACCTTCAACAGCTCTCAGTCACTCAGTTACAAAAGTATACTGCGAAAATTGAATAGTTCTGACATGATCAGAGGACGGGTAAATTACCAAGTCCACTCAAAATCTCCCAACATTTGGTCCCAGCGACCTTGAACGAACCAGGCGGCCATTCGAATAGTGTAAATGGACGAATTGGAAGAGCTTCCGTATCTAATGTCAGTGGACCACAATAGATCTCAGTAGACTCATCCAACTCAGCGATCAGAGGAGTCTTTAAAACAATAGGTTAACCACTCTAATGGTTGAGGACGGAATAGAAGAAGCTTTCGCTTAACGGGCTTCAGTGTCTAGTAGCAGTGGATCACCAATACCTCCAGGCAAGAACCTAGGTATATTAACGATAATATAGGAAAAAAGAATTGGCAAATCAAAATAAGTCACTTGGACTAGCTAAGTCGGCAGAGAATTGCAGCTTTTGATAACTTTTACAGAGTAGAAGTTGTGTCTACAGTCTGTTATGCTATGTTGGATCTCCAGTTTCTGGATGTTACCTCTTAGGTTAGCGTTGTAACCAAGCTTAAGAGGATGTTTAAAGGGGTGATCAGCGCTTCAATGTTACCAGTGCGAGGTTTGCTTGAAAGGTGTTTTTGTCGCAGTTAGCATGCGACTTCAGGTCGTAGGGTACCAACACTCTTAAATCTTTTTCGACTTGAGAGACTTCTAGAGACTCCGACTTCCTGGAGAATTCGTGGATCCTTCATCTTCTTCAATGTACGTGGATCTAAACTCCTACACGGGCAGGCTTACAAACGCAATGCGTTCGGTTAAACCTGTTTACACTCACCCGCGATCAACTGATGTTTTCGTTCAACCTGACTTACGACATAGTACACATGTCTTCGTTCGTCGAGACTCACAACGACGACCTCTCGAATCAGCATACGAGGGACCCTTTAAAGTTCTTCAGCGTGAACCTAAGTACTATATTGTCGATAATAACAGCACTAACGATAGCATCAGCATCGATCGAATCACAGCAGCGTGCTTAGAAGGAAATTCTATCTACGTCGATTTTCCTCCTCTACTATCGAACGACACGGCACCTACACTTGTAATTCCTCATCCGACAGCCAACAAGCACGTTGATACTTCGTTAGTATCTAAAATAAACTTAGAAGAACGCGTTCTGGAAGAAGAGTAAGATTTCCAGGACAGTTGAACGACGATTGCACGTAAGACACCAGTTAACATTTCTCCTTATCTCGATTTTCCTTTGAATTACATACAATCCTTACTTGTGTGCAAGTGTATTTCGAAATGGACTTTTATTTTATTTTTTCTCTTCCTGGACGGCTGGAAAAGACGATAAAATAGTGATGAATTGTACGAGAAACTGAAATTTTGTTTGTACTTTGTTTCCTTATTACTACAGCGTCCTTCATGGCCCCTTTTAGTAAGGAAAGACGACCAAACGCTTTACTCATGCTACGCGATGCTGTTTGTGCAGTTGTCCAGTGCCTGGTTAGCTTCAGTTTCATTTTAGCAACAACTAGGAAGATGGTGATCTGAAGCTATATCTGATCTTCTCCCGATTCTTACGACTTCTTCTGACCTTAATTTTTTACTGATGCAAATACTATAGATCTGGTTCTCCTTGGTGTGACCTGGCGAGACCCATGTAGCTATGTGTATGTGTGAGTGCACATAAATTAGCGCATCTGTCACCATTCTTGTTGCATTCCCTCAGTTAGTACATATCGACCCATGATATCCTCATGACCGATGTCGTCCAACCCGAGTTTGGCGTGTAGATCTCCTATCAGGATGATAAGATTCTCTCTTCCATCTCCTAATGCTACACGTTGAATGTAAATCTTTTCAGTAATTGTGTACTCAACTTCGAAGATCGTGCGCCTTCAGGAACCGATACTACTGTAAACTACTACAACCATCATTAAAAATGTATAAGCATTTCTAAACCATTTTCTACAGATGACACTCAACATCCATTGACCAAACACCATCAGTAACAGTCTACTATGAGACAGAACAAACTAACTTCCATCAAAAGAAGAAATTTGGAAGGGACGTTTGAAGTGAACAGAACATGCATTACGTAAATCATCAAACTGCATCACGGGACAAGCCCAACTTTTAATCCTGAAGGTAAGTGAAAAAGAGGAAAATCGAAGAACACACTGCGTCGAGAATTGAAAGCAGACATGAAAAGAAAGAATAGCAACTGAAGAAGGCAGGAAATGATTGTCCAGGACAGATTGGGTTAATAAATCCTTGTGGACGGCTTGTTCTCTTTGTTGAGGGTTAACATGTTTAAACAAATTACGAGGAATGTATTTTTTTGTTGTATCTCCGTATTTTGCACCGTTTCTTTCGTACTATTTAAACTTGTGTTCATGTTTTTCTTTTATTCATTTACTGAGAAGAATCAGCTTACACTAAATCACAAAATGTCAGATTTTCAATTTTGGCTCATTGCTTTCATTCCAATTCACATTTTCAATAGTACGGGAGAATACACAGCAGTAGGCATTGGAGACACTGAAGTCTTTCTTGGTTAATAATGTTTCTTAGGTAAATATTTTTGACTTTTCTTCCAATTAGCACCTCGAAGCGCTTACCATATACTTCAGCATTCTTTTGTTCGTTCCGTTTTGGCTCCGTTGAATCTATACATAATGTTCGCTTCGCCTGTGAAATAAAACTTTCATGTTATTGGAGAATTCCCTGAGACATACTTATATAAATGGATAGTTGAGCTTATTTTTCACAATAACAGCAGTGACCAGCTTACTAGTTCAATCCCTAATATTTTCTATTACTTCATCTATTTGTGGTGATTGTAGCAGCAGCGACTGATAATTTTCCCTATATTCTGAGGACGATCTTCTAGTTCATAAATCACAAACAATACAAGAGCTACTACAAGGATGATTGTGAAGCCTCTAGAATGACTTTATGATATATTCTTCACCGTCCAAAGTTTCACAGAACATTGATTCGCAGTTCAGCAACTGAGACCCTAAATACCACATGTCATTTAATGTTCTCAAGGTTTTTGACTCGTTGTTAGACCTTGTGATTTACGCTTATGACGAAATGTGCACTGAAACATCATAAGCATGAATTGAAACCTAATGTTCTTCAATTATTTACTTTCTGCATCAGTGTAGTGATTATGGATTTTCTGAAAAGGAATGACATTATATTTCTACTCTCAGGAACTCATTTAGCACACTATCAAATCCAGTCTAGCTTCCGAAACGTCTGTTCAGCATTGTACATCTAAACGCCCCGCTTATGTAGACTGAAATATAGGAAATGTTAATACTTCCTTGGGAGGTTAAATATATTGTTGTTTCAGCCAATCAGGAATGCTTGTACCTGCTCGTTGCAAAGTATACAGTTGAATGCACACTGATTAGTCTTCAAGAAAAGGATAGATAAGGCTGAATCAAAGACTTATCTGGTACTAAGTGATAATTCATTCTCCTGACGTCACCTCTTTACGAGTAGTCAGGCGTTGAAACTTGCTGCCAAGTTGTTGATCATTACCGATGATGATCTCTGTTGAATGGCTAGAGGACTTCTAGAGTTAGACGGGAACTGTGTGACGAACCAGATAACTTCGAAGTCACATTTAACGGTTTTCATTTAACGGTGATTGCCCTTACTTACTTACTTACCTGTTACCCCTCGTCGAGGAGCATAGGCCGCTCACCAGCATTCTCCATCCAACTCTGTCCTGAGCCTACCATTCCATTTCCTTCCCGTTAACATTCATCCTTTTCATATCTGCTTCTATTTATAGATGTAATTTGTTCTTTGGCCTTCCTCTTTTCCGCTTCCCTTCCGGATTCCAAGTTAAGGATTTAGTCGTGATGTACATTGGTGATTTCCTTAATTCGTGTCCGATCCACTTCCAACGTCTTTTCCTTATTTCCTCTTCGGCTGGAAGCTGGTTTGTCCTCTCCCACAAAACGCTGTTGCTGATAGTATCCGGCCAGTGAATGTTTAGTATTTTGCGTAGTCAACTGTTTATAAATACTTATACCCTCTTGACAACGGATGTAGTAGTTCTCCACATTTCAGCTCCGTACAGTAGAACTGACTGTCTTGAGGTTCATATTGGAGACTCTGACTTTGAAATTAGTTAACAGTTGCTTTGAGTTCCATATGTTCTGCAATTGTAGAAATGCTGCCCTTGCTTTGCCAATCCTCGCCTTTACATCTGCATCCGATCCTCCTTGTTTATCAACGATGCTTCCCAGGTACTTGAATGTTTCCACCTCTTCCAGAGTTTCGCCATCAAGTGTGATTGGGTTGGTGTTCTCCGTGTTGCATTTGAGAATCTTGCTTTTTCCTTTGTGAATGTGGAGGCCTATCGATGCGGAGGCTGCTGCTACATTTGCTGTCTTCATCTGCATTTGTTCGTGTGTATGAGAGAGGAGGGCTAGGTCATCTGCGAAGTCCAAATCATCTAATTGATTCTGAGAAGTCCATTGTATTCCGTATTTCCCTTCAGATGTCGAATTCTTCATAATCCAGTCAATCACTAGAAGGAAGAGGAATGGGGAGAGTAGACAGCCTTGTCTGACTCCGGTCCTTACTGGAAATGCACGACTTTGCACTGTAATTCATCGTATAAGTCTTGGGTAATATTACCAGGTCCTGCCGCCTTCCCACTTTTGATTTGTCTGATGGCCATCTTGACTTCTTCGATCGTTGGTGGAGTGACATCTATAGGAATGTCAGTGCGTGCTGCTTCGATGTTCGGTGGATTCAATGGGGCTGGTCTATTCAGCAGTTCCTCAAAGTATTCTGCCCATCTTTTCCTCCGTTCTTGAATCTCAGTGATTGTCTTTCCTTCTTTGTCTTTGACTGGTTTCTCTGGTTTGCTATATCTCCCTGCCAATTTCTTCGTTGTATCATATAGTTGTTTCATGTTCCCTTCTCTTGCAGCTTTTTCCGCCGTCGTTGCCAGTTCTCCCATGTATTTCTGCTTGTCGGCTTTAATGCTTTTCTTCACTCCCCTGTTTGCTTCTGCGTAGTCTGCTTGTGCTTTGACTTTCTCTGCTCGTGTTCGGCTGTTGTTAATTGCTAGTTTCTTGTTCTTCCTTTCTTGAATTTTGTCCAGGGTTCCCATAGAAATCCATTCTTTGTGATGATGCTTCTTAAGATCAAGAACCTCCTGACACGTTGAAGTTAGTGCTTCTTTTATCCCTTTCCAGTTGTCCTCCAAAGTAGTTTCTTGTTCTTTCAGTAGATCCTGTAGAGCTTGGAACCTATTGTTGAGAGTTATCTTGAATTCATGGAGCTTGTCAGCATCTCGAAGGAAGGTTGTATTAAACCTTTGTAGTGCTGTTTGTCCAGTTGTCCGATGTTTCTTTAGCTTCAGTCTCATCTTGGCCACAACCAGGTGGTGATCTGAAGCTATGTCAGCTCCTCTCCGGATTCTCACATCTTCCATTGATCTTCGGAATTTTTTGTTGATACAGATGTGATCTATCTGGTTCTCTGTGGTGTGATCCGGTGAGATCCATGTAGCTTTGTATATGCGTTTGTGTGGGAATATTGTGCCGCCTATAACCAGTTTGTTGAAAGCACATAGGTTTGCAAGTCTCTCCCCATTTTCATTTCTTTCTCCTAGTCCATATCGTCCGATTATATCTTCATATCTTGTGTTGTCCACTGCAACTTTAGCATTTAGATCTGCCATCAGGATTGTGAGGTCCTTTCGTGAGCACTTCTCTATAATTTATTGCAGCCTTTCATAGAACTGATCTTTATCATCGTCGTTGCTATCATTGGTGGGTGCATAACACTGGATAACATTCATTGCGATCCCTTGCTTCTTTGTTCTGAATGATGCTTTGATTATCCTGGGTCCATGAGATTCCCATCCCACAAGTGCATTTCGTGCTTCTTTGGGCAGCATTAGAGCAACTCCCTGAGTGTGTGGCGCATTTTCCCCTTCGTGACCGGAGTACAGCAGCATCTCTCCTGTACCTAGCCTTTGTTGTCCAGTTTGTGTCCAATGGGTTTCGCTGATTCCGAGTACTGCCAAGTTGTATCTCCTCATTTCCATTGCTATTTGGCTGGTTTTTACTGTCTCCCACATTGTCCGGACGTTCCATGTACCTATAAAGAGTGTTGCTCTGGTTGTTAGAAGGTGCATCGGTCTCGTGACTTCCGAAGAATTTCGGCTTTCATCATGAGACGTCATTATTCCTTCAACTCCCAGGGCAGAGTTTAAATGGTTTGGATTATTTTTTCTGGTTAGCGTTTTTTTAGCGAGTTAGCTTTTCTACGGGATGGGGTCGCTAACCCCATGCCCAACCCTCCTCCTTTACCCGGGCTTGGGACCGGCAGTAACTCTAGAAGAGCTACAGGAGAAGTTGCTGATTACCCTTCGGACCTATCAAATTGCTATGGCAGTTTCAAAACCCTCTGGCACAAAGGACGTTATAAATGAAATATATTAGTGAGAATGAGTGCAGATAAGATAGCGATACCACTGACTCATCCGCTAGTTCATAGCTTACGATCATGTGATGCGCGTTGGTTACCTTTGACTTTGTCAGAGATCGATGATCTGTTCGATACTTAGTGACCGAAATGCCGGACTTCAGCCCAGTGACATTCAAAGCTGCCACTCAAAGTTGATATTCTTGAAGTGACTTTCCTGAAGTTCTTCCTGATTAAACTTGATACCCTCTTAAGTACACAAAACAGAAATTCGCACTAACCTAGCAGTATTCTTGCTTGTTTTATATACCTTGTTCCCTTCCTTCAGTTATAAGTAATCTATTGATACTAGCGGCGGAAACTCATCAAGAAAAGCAATAATTACTTTCGTCTACTACCGTTTGTACATTTGTAATATCTGATGTTATACATAATATAGTCGGTTACATAACTTCCTACAATCAAATTTCCATGTTCTTGCTTGTATGAAATGATTACATTAACGGATAACTACAAGAAAATGAAATTAAGTCACTCTGACAATTAGAACAATGAGCTATTGGGGTAAGCTTTCAAACAGGATGAGGTTTGGTGTCAAGCATTTCAGACTGCATTATTTGTTATGTTTGCTAGACCGGAGCTTACTAAATAAGCTACCGGAACTAGGTGTACAGGTTGACTCAACCTGGCCAGACATAATCGCAGTCACAGAAACATGGCTGACGCCGTCTATTGATAGTAGGGAACTTGATTTCGAGGGTTTTACATTAGTAAGGGCCGATAGAACACAAACGCGTAAAGGAGGAGGAGTAGCTCTATTCATTAGGAATGCTATTCCATTCACCATTATCGACAGTGTATCCCATGAGAGTGGGACGTATGAATTAGTTTGCTGCCGCCTGAAATGCAGGGGACAAGAGTTGCTACTTAGTTTGATCTATCGCAGTCCAAGCTGTGAGGCAAACGAGGTCCTGCTAAGCAGTCTCAACACTTTATCACGAAGTGATCAATGTCTAATCCTAGGGGACTTTAATGCACCCATGGTGGACTGGGGAAATCTGCGGACTGAATCGTCAGCAAATTCTTCCGAACAGGAGCTGGTTGATGCGGTAATCACATGTGCCCTAGTGCAACACGTGAAGGAAGCAACTAGGTACGACCCGGGTTCTGCATCATCCTTACTAGATCTTATATTGACTCATTATGAGGATGATGTTGCAAACCTGGATTACATGTCACCCCTAGGCAAAAGTGATCATGCAGTTTTAAGCTTTGACTTCCATATAACTGTCGATCACGAGCACGCCTCAGCTCAATCCAGACCTAACGTCTGGAAAGCAAACATACCAGACATCATGAAATCAGCATCATCAGTAGATCGGAAAATAGACCCAGAGTCATCAATAGAAACGGCTTGAGTCGTATTCGGAATTTATACTTAAAAGTTACCGCCCCCCACATCCCTTTGACTACACCTAAGAGACCGAGAAACTCCCCACCGTGGTTCAGTAGGGAGGTTCGCATCCTTCTCCGTAAAAGAAGGAAAATGTGAGACAGATTTAGGTTACTGGGGACTGACGAGGCAAAATCTCAGTATCAAAAGACTCGAAATACCTGTGCCTCGACCCTCCGTAAGGCCAGAAAACTGTACGAAGAGAAAATCGTTAGGGAATCCATAGAATGCCCTAAACGCTTGTATTCGTATATAAACCAAAGGACAAAAAGAAGAAGAAATGTTCCTTCACTATGGGGAGACAGTACTGCCTCATCACTAGTGGAGGACGACTTTGGCAAAGCTCAAGTATTCTCTAAATACTTTAGCGATGTATACACCATAGAAACACCCTTCTCACCAGTCCATGAAAATCCCCCACACAAGCATTGAACAGCGTAACCATTAAAGAACTCTATGTCTTTGGTCTGCTAATTAAGCTTGACATAGGTAAATCCACTTAACCCGATGAACTGCATCTAAGGTTACTAAAGGAATTAGCTAACTTTGTTGCGAACCCTTTACGTGTATGTTTTAATCTATCCGTAACCCAGGGTCGTCTACCAAAAGACTGGAAGAACGCCATAGTAAGTCCAGTCTTCAAAGCAGATACAAAACATAAGCCTGAGAATTACCGACCAATTAGCCTAACTAGTGTGGTTGTTAAAATGTTAGGAAATATTATTCGGAAGGAGCTGTTAAAGTATCTCGATGAAAACCGGATCCTCTCCGAAAAGCAGCATGGTTTTAGAACAGGTTACTCTTGTCTCACAAACTTATTAGTCGCTCGTGAAAGCTGGTGCGCTCTTAAGGACCAAAAATTACCTATAGACGTAGCTTACATCGATTTCAGCAAAGCTTTCGACAAAGTACCGCATAACCGGCTGCTATATAAGCTAAGAAATGTCGGGATTGGAGGCAATCTATTGATGTGGATAAAAGACTTCCTAGTTGGGCGTCAACAAAGAGTAAGTGTGAACTCCAAGTTGTCTAGCTGGGAAACTGTGCTTAGTGGAGTCCCTCAGGGTACAGTTTTGGGGCCAGTGTTATTCCTCCTGTACGTAAATGATCTCCCTCGTCTACTACCATCATCAGTATTGCTCTATGCTGACAATGTCAAGATGTGGAGAGTGATACAAAGCAAGGGCGATAGCTTAGAACTTCAAAATGACCTGGAGAGATCATCTGAATGGTCCCAAACCTGGCAATTGCCGATAAACACTTCCAAGTGTGTTGTGATGCATATTGGCCACCAGGGTACAGATACATACACGATGAATAACACTGAGTTACCTATTGTTCAGGCACACAATGATTTAGGCGTCATCGTTAGTCAAGACTTAAAGACTACTGCACACTGCCGTACAATAGCCGCCAAATGTTTTAGGACTTTATGGTCCATACGCAGGGCTTTTAGTCATCTTGACGCTAAAACGTTTCTGACTTTGTATACAGTGTTCGTAAGCCCTAAACTTGAGTACTGCATACAAGCAGCTAACCCCTGCCTAAAAGAAGACAGTGAACTCTTAGAAAGGGTTCAGAGAACGGCAACTAGGCTGATTCCCGGAATAGCGAAGCTCCCGTATGGTACTAGACTGACCAAGCTAAACCTATTCCCGCTGTCATATCGAAGAATCAGAGGTGACTTGATTACAGTTTTCGAATTGCTTAATGACAAATTTGCACCTGATATGCTCTCATTTTTCTTGTCTTCCAAAACAGAAAATCTACGAGGACACTCCGAAAAAGTTCACAAGCCCAGAACGAATTACTTGTCAGCTGACTATGGACTTTCCCATCGAATAATCAACGAGTGGAATTCATTATCTCAGCACGTGGTTGAGGCTCCATCAGCGGACTCCTTCAAAAGAAAGTTGGATCAGCTAAGAGACCATCATTGCCAAGACTAACGCAGACCATCAAACCTCCTGTTCTTTCCAAACTGAAACTGAAACTGAAAATCACTAGTTTCGTGTGTGTTTTAAAATACGTTAGGTGTAAACGCGTTCTCCACTTCATGATGAGGTATGGCGCCACTAACTTATAAACGTATCTGTATAGCAATCCCGAAGCCCCTGGAGAATGTAAAAACGATTTTTATACGACTATGTTTGTACAAATAGAAGAAATGAAATCAAATTTAAGAAAAATAGAAGAAAAACTTTTCGAAATAAGTGGTACGTTGTGCAATTATTAATTAAAATGGGAAGATGATCTTTTTAGTATGTTTCTTAAAAATATGGAACGATCAAATCCTAAGCTTTTGGAGACAGCCATTGATGCTTCTTCACAGTTTGAGATTGTGAGGAAAATATGTAGTGAACATCACAAAGTTGTCAGTGAAAATAAATAGTGCAGTAATTAGAGCTTAAAATGGTTCAGAGAAAAGTTTAATATGGATGACCGGCGTTATTAGAATTTACTTTTCTCATTCTTCGTATGCAGTCAATTGTATTGTTCCCTCCTACTAAAATTCTGTTTGTTCATTTTTAATTTGCCGAGTGAGAGTCTTTTGAATACAACATTTGAAAGATTTTGGTATCTTTGCTACATAAAAAAGTTTTAGGAAATATCAGGAGATCTGAATTTGTCTCTCATATCCTCACTATGATTCATTCAATAAGTAACATAAGGAAATACATTTTTACGGTAATTTCCCATAGAGTTTTACATCTACAAATATCTATCCACAACGTTTAAAATGTTGTTGTTGTTGGCAAATTGAAAATAAATGTACGCAGGCTATTTTGTAAACTGGTGATAAAATTTATGTTAGATTCATGAAAATATGTACATAGAATTTCGGAAAATTGTCCATCTAGGAGGAAAAGTAGTACTGAAACGAGCAAACTATTGAAATTTTCTGCAAAAAATATTAAAAGCAAGGCTAGTAATAAGAGTAATGCAAGCCGAATAATGAGGAAACACACGTATGAGTAAGTTTGGTTGGGGGATACTTGCGCCCACTGATCTTAATATGATTGTTAACTAGAAGTGGGTGAACCACACGTGCGAAAGGAACAGTAAACTTGTAGAGGCAAATAGGTCTCAAATATCAATAGTGCTGTAAGCGTTTGACACTGGTAGTGACCTCACAGTTTTAACAGGACGCACCCTATCTCAAGGCAGTCAGTCACACATCTGCACTACATTACAAATGGATGCTCCTCACTACGAGCCCTTGCAACTTAAAACCAGCTTGGTTCAGACGCTTTCCAACATAAGGACAAGTCTGCAAATGTAACTATAAACTCAATTATCCCTGACGTTTAAGTTGACTGGGTTGAGATCGTTCATTTACTAGGGTGTTTCAGTTAAAATCGTTGTCAAACTCGGAATATTTATCATATTTAATCTTGTCCTGTTGTTTGGTCTATTTAGCATTTTTGGCGTAGTCGATTTAGAAAATGAATGTCGAAATGGTCAAACCTTAATTCTTGCTTGTATTCGCAGTACGCAGCATGTCTTTACATGAAACAAAGCGTCAATTTAAATATTGATTTGCTAGTAATTCTCCTTGGTTTAGCTATTCAATAATTGTCTGCTTTAAAGCAGCAGTCAAATATGGACTTTACTTAACTAAAAGTTTGAAATGATTTCCAAATATGATTTTAATTGTAAAAACCACATACATTCTTTGAGATAACCGCTTTTTATAATGTGTTCTGTGTTTCTGTTAGTGTCACTTCAATAATAACGTCCACGCAAATATTCTTTGATTAGAGAAATTCTTTTTGTATCAAGTGATAAAACGAATGACAATAGATGAATTGGCCAGCCCATGAATTTTCCAGTGAGCTATATGCTTAAAATTACCTGTTGTTTTTCTATCGGTAGGAAATCAACTGATGAACTACAGTGATATTCTTGTCTTTCACAAGTAAATTTGATTCGTGAGTGACATTAAACATTTTAAGGAGAAAATTGACATTAACATCTTCCATACTTAAATTAAATGCGTTAATAATGCATTTACAATATAAACACAGCTTATTAATAGAGTTAGGCGATAACCGATTTTCTAATTTTGCCAGAAAGTGTTTCAACGAGAATTCTGTTTTGACTAATAAGTGATGATGAATTTCACTGTTCAGCTGGTATCCTACTTTTGTTAATCAATAGATTAGTAGCATTGTGGGAGTTTTAATGTTATATTCATCGCTAGGTTGCTGTCTGTGAACGGCTCACAAAAGTAGTCGACAGTATATATGAAGAGAATACTATGTAGTGGCATCCATTATTTGGCTGCTAATGTTTTGCCTTTAACTCTTCCAATAAATGCGTATATATCTTCCAAGCTTTACGTGGTGACTTTCTGTAGAAATAATTTAGGCATATGCTCAAGTCATCTAACTACTCCATCGTATAAGCAGTTGAACATCTTTGTAATTGTAAAATCAATAGAATGGTGAGCTTGGGTTAAGAATAACAACTTTAGATGTTAAACAGCGATGCTGATCTGATTTATAAGGCCTTTGAACATGCTTATGGAAATTGATACACAGTTTTTGGTGGAAAAACTCAATTCAAAGAACACTACTTAGATTCTAATGGTTGAGACATCACATCATAGTGAACCACTGTTTTTCATTGAGAGTAAATTCCTGAGATTTACTCGTAGCAGATTTGATGTTAAGAAAAGTCGTGTTTTCATTTTTAACTGAATGGTTACAGAAAACTGTGAAACAAATGTAATATTAGGCCGGTAAAGAGTTGACGTAATAAGTCTTGTCTTCTGTTGATGAGACCGAAAATATGCATAACGAAAAGTAAGTTTAACTGGCAGTGATACATTCGACCGACGAATCCCAAATGAGACGGGACGAGTTTTAGATTCCACCGCTAGACATATTCAATTTTTTCTATATAAAGGAGTAGTAGATCTTTTATTCACAGTTAGATCTAAATAAATGTATTTAGGAATGTCACGCAACATCATTCAATGATAGGTACCATAAAATCTGCTTTACATAGTTAGTAATACTACTTTCAACATCATTTGATCAGTTTACTAGAATTAATTTATGTAAAAAAAGCCTAGTAACAACACACAAAACGAAAACTGGTACAATTTACGAGTAATAGCAGTATCTTAGTAACTCATTACTATAGGGTGAAAACGAACTAGCATTTGTGCCATGAGTGATACTTCTTATTTTCAGTCCCGTGTAGCTGTTTTCGTTACCTCTTTGTTTCTTCCTACACTTCAGTTGAGGTTCTACGTAGACATTTTTATGGTATAGTAAATATGCAAGAAGCCAATATTCTTTATAAAATTTCCATAAGGCAAAACGTCAAAAGGTTTAGTGCATCAAACGAATTACATACCAGCTAGCAAGCATTAAATAGCTGTGCATCGGCATGTGAAAAACTTAACATTTAGTGTGACAGCTAACTTTGACAGGTTTTAAAAGTTTCACTTAATGAACTTTGATAGGCCGTTCAAATTTGCAGCACTCAAGTTTGAATACTTTATTTTATTACAGTCGTATAACGACGGTATTTGTGACTTAAAATAGATGAAGTCAATTTTGAAATCAAAAAGGTTTCTACCTATTTAAATATACATAAAAGTAACCTTTTATGAATTTGAGAGACCAATACAAAAATGATAGACCAGTAGGAAAGTTTCTTAAATTCCATAATCGATGGTTTACCAGTAACTATGGATTAGAGTTAAATGAAAGAAATTAGAATTTCCAGTTATATGCTTATGTATCCTAAGCCTAGTAGTCTCTCTTTGAGAACTGAGTTAAATAGTTCTGTCCAATCATAGATATTATGCAATTCAATAAAAACTTATTCTAACAGTGCCCATATATTCTGGTGTTGTGCCCTATGAGCTATATAGTCTAATAAATGAGCTTCCTTGAATGTAGTTCTGGATAACCTCATCGTCTCCCATCTCTTCATATCGAAGTATTCAAGTGAGCTGTAAATATTCTTCAACATCTTAAAAAATATAATAATAAATCATGTTACCTCATTGAATAAGCTTTAAAATTAGAAAACAAAATCTAAAAACATTGTAGCTGTAAATAATTCCCCTAAATCAATAGCTTTCTAAGTGTTCGACATTGGATGCTGACCACGTTGTTTAAGTGGACTTGTTTAACTGAAGGCTTTCGATCATGCATCCGTACCAGGTCACGTTTCGACTCAGCGTCGGACACTGCTCCTACGTTCACTAGCCAGCTTAGAATAAACGCTTCGCCATATATTGGTAAGGTATCAAACATTATCTTTCCCATCTCTTCTCGTCTGACTTCTGATTTTCATTGGTCGGGAAAAAGCTTCGCATATAGAAGGTGCTACTGGTAGCAGGTTGTAAAATCAGAATACTAGTCGTATCTTCACCATCATAAAGGATATAATTTTTTCAACCAATACTTAACTTTATTCGCACTTAAAGTGAATGCAGATAAAAGAAATTATAAACCGAAATCATTCAAAATAAAATTAGAACTTGATAACACACCGTAAAGTAAAACTCAAAAACAAAATGTCTTGTTTTTATTTTAAAAAAGAAGAAAAAACAAACAAACAAAGGAAGTAAATATTAACAAAGTTATAATGTTATGATCAAGATTCAATGAATTAAATTACTGCTGATCACGTGAAGTAAACTATGAAGAAAGATTTTAATACTACTTAATACTAATTCAGTAGGTAGATAAACAACAACAACAAAAAAGAGCAGTAACATCATTAAGATGGCTATATTATGTACAGAGAAATGCAATAGAATGACAAATTCTGATTAGAGATTATAGTTTACTGGGGGTGGGGTTCTGTTTGTTGAAAAAAGGAGTATTTCATCACATATTTGATTAACCCTACAAAATGACAAAGTTTCCTTTGATTTTTTTTAAAGAAAAATAAACAGTAAAAAAGACAATAATATAAATACTGTGAGGTATCCAAACAACACAGTCAAAAGTTGAAGTATGAATAGGAGAGACAAAAAAGGGATTAATAGTCTGAAAACTCTACACTTATCATAGAAACAATAAAAGAACAATAGCAGAAGTGTAAATGTTCAAAATCAGATGTCACTGAATGGAGACGCCGAAAACACAATAGAAGAATTGAAGTAGAAAACACCATATTCTATGTGACGAAGCCAGCTCATTGATATAGGGGAATAATTAGAAGTTTAAAAGAAAATCATCCATCTAGTTGTAACATTATTCATATCAAATGTAATAATCATCATTATTCAATGAATCATATTTAATAGACCCATGTAACTGGTATCCATTGTGGTGTAATTTGAAATTCATCTATAATACGTTTAAGTTGAATAATTGTTTCTTCAATATCATTATTAATAATTTTTAAATCAAAAAAATGACTATAATGTTGTTCTAATAATGCACTTTCACGTGTTAATCTTTCAAGACTTTCATCCTATTAGGAAAAGGAGAACAAATTAAGAAATATAAATGTTTCTAAGGAAAAAATCAATGTCTATTATTATTATTATCATCAGTATAATGTTGCGGAGATTATTGTGTTTTTGATTTGGATCATGAATCGATTGATGTTAGAATACCGGATCAGTAGTCTAGAGGTTAAACGTTCGTGAATGAGACTGAAAGTTCTAGTTTCGAATCCCACGAGCGGGAACGTTGATGTGTACTGCTAGGGAGTCCCACAATAGGACGAAATGGCCATCCAGTCTTTCTATGTTTTCTATAGTTGTCTAATATCAATCACTTCATGATCTCTAATACTGCTGTTAGTGGTACTACACTAATAGTTTACAAAATTTTCTAAATCAGAGTAGAACATGTATTATAAGCAAAGATAAATAATAGCTAGCAGTGGAATGCAGGATGCGCGTTTCGTTCTATTTGGGACTCTTCAGCTGGATGTACCTGCATCTCAGAGTTGATGTTCACGTTGGGACTCAAACCCAGTACCTTCCGTTTCAAACGCCATGGCGTTATCCACTCAGCTACTGAGTCCTGACAGCCACTTGCTTGTGCAACGAGGCGAAGTTTAAATTCACTTGAATCAATGGGAAGACTCAAAAAAACAATACCAGGTGAATTTAGCGTATAACATGGATTTGTAGCTTATGATGGTAATTATAGTTAATTTGCACTTTATGATTTGAGTGGTTTAGTTTTAAATTTCGCACCGTCTTTTTAAACAACATCTTTATCACTATATACCTCAAAAGGAAATGAGGCTTCAGAATTCCTCCACTTTTAACAAAAATCATATTCTGTCCACATTACATTTAATAGGCTACTTTCATTGGACGTGATGTAATTATTTGTGTATTTAATTTGATTGTTTGGGACCAGGTTGAAGGAAAAGAGAATTCTGGATAAATTATGTTAAGTTTTTTCTCTTCGAACACATAAGTTAATTCACTTAGTACTGTTTGTTTGAATCTTCCCGTTGATGTTTTTGGACTGCAACTGGTCAGTCTCTAATCGGCATATGTGCATACTGTGCGTGTTGCCTCGATATAACCTAAATTCACAAGCATGGTAAACAAAGATGGATAGTGACTAGCAGTGGAATCCAGGAGGCGCGTTTCGTGGCCGAGTGGATAACGCGATGGCGCTTGAAGTTAAAGGTACTGGGTTCGAGTCCTAGAGTGAAAATCAACTCTGAGATGCAGGTACATCCAGGTGATGAGTCCCAAATAGGACGAAGTGGCGCGCGTTCTGGATTCCACTGCTAGCCACTATCCATGTTTACATTAATTAATTATTTTTAAATATCCGCCCTCTCTAACCTCTTCTACTCAAAAAGTCAAAGATTACCTAAATAGAAATGAATGAAATTAATTGAAGCCTAATTAGAGTGTATATAACATTACAATTTTTAGTTGACAGAAATCATGATCTTCAAAGGAATGGACAATGAATAGCTTGCTTCGCAAACAAATCAAGCATATTCATAGGAAACAATATTGTATAGTATGCAAGTTAATTAATTGAAATTTATAAATTGCAAGAATTATTAGTATAGAGTTGTGGAGACGGACGGTTGAACTTTCATTGAGATCATGAACTGATCAATGTTTGAGAGAAACTGAAGGTCCTGATTTCGAATCCCACGTGCGGTATCGTGAGTGACCATTGCTGGGGAGATATATACTAGAAAGAAACGACCGTTCAGTATGAAAGGAGGGATTTGAAAGTGACCAACTTGGTCTCGTGGCAGCTCGAACTGATGTACGTACGTATAAAGTTCTACGCTGTGACTGACTGACCATTCAGTATTTCCATGTTATCAATAGTGGTATAACATTAGTCGATTCATGATCTCAGACAAATTCAAAGAACCCTAAACAGATCGCTTGTTAGTGAAGACATAAAAACAGTGTCGAATTGTACAGAAGGTATCAATGAAAAAAAAAATTATAAATTCGATTCCAAAAAGAATATTGCTCAACTCACATTATTATTACTATTATTATTGTTATTATTAGTAATAGTATTATTATGCTGTCCATTAGTGATATTAGGTATAGTTGGCGCTGCAATAAATACAACACATGGAGCAAATTCAGCAGTACGTAATATTTTCAATGCTTGTGGTTCAACATCTAATATAGCAATTAAACTAGTTGCATGTATTTGTCTTATTGTATCTAATTTTGTACCATACATTGCACCTTCATGTGAACCATATTCTAAATATTCATTATTAGCAATATCACGTATCATTTCATCATGGGATATAAAGTAATAATTTTTCCCATTCACTTCATCTTTACGTGGTGTACGTGTTGTATCTAAATGTTAAAATAAAAATATGGCAAATATTTTAGATGAGATAAAACCATGACAATTTATTGCTAAGGAGTTAACTATCAAAGTTTATAATATTATAGTCAATCATCTACAATGTAAAACCAGGGACATATATGCATCGATCTTAGTTGACATACCTCATTAGCACAACAAGATGAACACTAAATTCATAGGAGTAATCATTTCAATGATAGTAATATATAAAAGACACTATCAGCAACAAGCTACTGTGGGAGACAACAAACCAGATTCCAGTGGAGGAAGAAATCAGGAAGAAGAGCTGAAAGTGGATACGAAACACATTGAGGAAGTCACCCAACTGCGTCATATAACAAGCCCTCACATAGAATCCTGAAGGCCAAAGGAGAACAGGAAGACCAAAGAACACATTACGTCGATAAATGGAGACATAGATGAGAAGAATGAACAAAAACTGGACAGAACTAGAAAGGATGGTTCAGGACAGAGTGGGTTGGAGAGTGCTGGTCGGCGGCCTATGCTCCATCGGGAGTAACAGGCGTAAGTAAGTAATATATAAAAGAAAGATTGCAAATAAGGATATGATACAGGGAGAAAGAATGAGTTCATAGAAAGAAACGTATAAATTAATTCTAATCTCATGAATTGAGGAAAGACAAAGATTATATGTACCTAAACCATTGTAATTCATTTTGAGATATGTCACCTGGAATCTCTAAGCATTGATTATAACAGTTGCGTGCACCCGAACCAAGTACCGTGCATCATACTATTATAAAAACAACCTTTATACGTTTTACTAAAATGACGATTATATTATTATTGATAGTACAAAAGTCATTTGGAATGCTTAAAACAATTGTTTAATATTTGGATTTAGTAGATCAATGGGTAATACGTTGATATTTACAGTGAAGGTTTGAATCTGAGTGACACATCATCAATTTAATGTACATATATCCATCTAATGAGTCATAAGTCGAATGAAACTCGCCATCAGATAACTTTAAGTTTTAAAACTATGATTTCATATGGTGGAAGTTAATTTTTAATCGGTTGTGATATCAATTAATTTAATCCCATCTTAAAAATACAGACCGCTCGAGTCCACTCATACCATATTTCATCAATGGCAATTGAGGATTCTAATGCAGTACAATTAGCTGACTAAAGCTGAAAATATAGAATGTTTGATTATCGATTCAATGATCTAATGATCACAAAAACCTGAGAATTTCAGGTTTAACCCCTAACGAAGCCATCAACCTCATATTAGCCTAACTCATATACCTCGATTAACTGGGATAATAATTAAAGCAGCCAACTTACAAACAATAAGCGTTACGTTAGACCCCACATTATCTACATTTCAGGCAATAAAACAGTATGATTAGTCCTAATGATTTAGTTTGAAGCCGATTACATTGACCAAAGCTTGATCAAACATAATTTTCATGATCACTAAAGTCTAATAATTCGTGATAAATCTATGAATTTTTGAGGTGAAATCATAAATCTTTGAATTGAATAACGACGGAGACGAAACTTCTTTTCATAGTTGAAATAATTAGGCAATTGAAGCTAGAACACCATGGAAAATCTAGAAGCACTAGACGGCCGTTTCGTCCTAATATAGGACTCCTCATCAGTGCGCATCCACGATCCCGCACTCGCGAGATTCGAATTCAAGACCTACAAGTCTCGCACCAGAGCACTTAACCGATAGATCAATGAGCGGGCATCCAACGGCGTTAATGTCTAACTTCAACAAATCCTTGATTTTGAGCAACCATTCACCAATTGTCTTCGGTGAGTTGATATCTCTACAACAAACTTGGTAGAACTCCACTGGTCACTGCTTCCCACTAGAACTCAAGGAATTATCTCTTGAAGTCAGTCACTAGTGAGCATATGATTATAGATCAGAAGAGGTTTTGTGGAGAATTTAGTATTTTCATAGTTGAAATCATGAGTTGATTGAAGCTAGACCACTATGGAAAACCTAGAAGCACTGGACGGCCGTTTCGTCCTATTATGGGACTCCTCAGCAGTGCTCATCCACGAATCTTTTTTAACATATGACTTTTTTTCAAGAGTAACAACAACAATCGGAAGTATTTTCAGAGTGTTGTAGTAAGGCAGAATACGATTTGATGGTAACATTCTACACACAAGTCAATGACATGAATTTAATTAATTAATTTTTCTATCATTATTATCATTGATGTATTTATTACTTACGAGGAATAGGATATGCAAATTTATCAGGTGATGATTGAATTAAACAATTTTTAATATGACGTCGTCCAACACCATGTGCACCAAGTAATACTAATGTTCTACGACGAAATTGTGGTAATCTAACAACTTCTTCATAAGTAACTAAATCTAATTGATCATAAATTGCTGAATGTTTATTTTTATATTTATCTTTAAAATGACGTTTACGACGTTTAAACCATGCACCACAATGTGTAATACCCATTTCATGTGATAATTCAGCTGCTTTATTTGCCATACGCCATTCTTGAAGTTCCGGACTAGGAATTAATCCAGCTGGTGCTTGACAATCTGAACCCCATAAACGAGCCTAAATCAATGAACAAAAAAACGGTAATAATAAACATTCAGAACATTATTCGATATGGATTTCAAGAGGGAATTGTAAAACAAAAACCAATAGCTCAATGCAGGAGTAACTCATCAACTCTGAGAACGTTTCTCCAAGGCAATCTTTCAAAATAATCTACGTGTCAAAGCAATGCCTAGAACCTCTCATCTTTCTATTAGTTCTAATCCCTTTTCTCAGCAATAATTGAAAGTGTGCCATGGTAGAATGATAGAAATAATAAGTACTTGCCTAATTTTATAAAGTCACTAGTCACGAAAGGTTTCAAATGGGATTTCTATAGACTATGACCTACTTTTTGTACTTGTTAGGATTTATTTGCAAAATATATGTAATGAATCCCAAAGAATCGAGGGGTAATTCAAACGTTCAAAACTGTATCAGTTAGAATCTTGTTCTGAAACTTAGTATCACTAAATTCATTTAGTATTGTTTGTTTGAAACTTCCCATTGATGCTTAGGACTGCAACTGGTCAGTCTCTAATCGGCATATGTGCACACTGTGCGTATTGCGTCGATATAACCTTAATTCACAAGCATTTTAAGCAAAGATGGATGGTGGCTAGCAGTGGAATCCAGGACGCGCGCCACTTCGTCCTACTTGGAACTCGTCAGCTGGATGTACCTTCATCTCAGAGTTGATTTTCACTCTGGGACTCGAACCTAGTACCCAGCACAAACAAATGGCCATCAGGACTCAGTAACTGAGTGGATTACATGATGGCGTTTGAAGCGAAAGGTACTAGGTTCGAGTTCCAGAGTGAACATCAACTCTGAGATGAAGGTACATCCAGCTGACGAGTCCCAAATAGGACGGAGTGGCGCGCGTCCTGGATTCCACTGCTAGTCACTATCCATCTTTATTAGTATCACTAAGTTATATAAGGTTCAAGATTTTAAGTTCAGTAGACTATTTAGACGTTAAATGATAACATTATTCAGCATCAAACACAAAAGGATGACTTTTCTCAACGAGAATACCAAATTAAGTGAATCATCAATGTAGGCAAGTGAAACTAAGTCACAATGCTCATGCAAAAAAAAGATTATCTAAAACAGCTTCGAAAATTTGAACAACAGAGGTAGTTATTAACTGATCTGAAATAGTAAACTATTCGACAGTAAATACAATGTAGTAGTAAAGTGCCTCTGCAACTTAGCTTAGTAGCCCCACGCTGAACACTTGTTAATTAAACCAAGTGATATGATAGACAAATTACTCATCGTCTGTCTAAATTTAATAACTCCGTAACTATTGGTAGGGGTTTGTGTTACCTTACTGCTGACAATAATCTAAACACACTATAAGCTTGTGATTTACAGGTTAAATCGAGGTTTTCAAATCAAATACAAAAATTTCAACAGCAACTGGTCTATTCCAGTCCAAAATATCAAATGAACTAATAGTATAAAGTTTTACAAATAAGTTTATATGCCGGTTCAGTGGTTTAGATGTTAAGCGGTCGCACGCGAAACTAATAGGTCCAGGGTAAGAATTTCGCGAGGCACGATCGTGGATGCGCACTGCTGAGGAGTCCCATAATAGGACGAAACGGCCGTTCAGTGCTTCCATGTTTTCCATGGTGGTCTAGCTTCAACTGATTCATGATTTCAACTATTAAAATTTACATTCATTGAACGAATTAGTGAGTACCATGAATCAATAATTTAATGGTCTAATTTAAAGAAATAAGTACCGCGGTTTAAAATATGAATGTGAATATCAATATGGATATCAAAAATACATCCACATGACAAATCTTTCAAATAAAGAGAAACGAGTGTTTAGGATCTCCATCGTAAATCACAATTTAATTATACGAAAGATCATAATGAAACTATTTGCACATAAAGACAAATGAGTTGGTACATATTAATCAACATAAATGCATAGAATAGAAAATACTTATATATTTTTCAAAAATAGAAACATATATTATTAGTAGTATGGGGGATTGTGGAGATTGTAGATAAGATGGTGTTTTGAGATGGTCAACAGGAAACCCTAAACCCGGGTTTAGTGCTACTTGGCACTCGTCAGCAAGGTGTAACCTTGAGGGAACTGATGATCCCTGACGGATTCGATCCCGTGTCACTCAACTTCACAGTCAGAGACGTTACCACTGAGCTACTTGGGCCACGACCGACCTCCTGTAGGACTGAGATGTAATCACAATTGATTGATCACTGGGTGGTGATCAATGTCATGCGTGTCAAGTCCTTCTTAGTGCTGATCGAATGCTATCGATCGAGTTGCAATGTGGAGATTTTAGTATTTTAACAGTTGGATTCATGAGTCAATCTAAGCTAGACCATCATTGAAAAATAATCCGTCTCGGGTGTGAGACAGTTATCTACTTCAGACCAGAGGTGAAGGGTTGAGTAAGATCGTGGATCGATAAAAGTTAGACATTGACACATTTGAATGCAGGATCAATGGTCCAAAGGTTAAGTGTACGCGCGCAATACCGAAGTTCCTGTATTCGAGTTATGAGTGTGGGATCGTGGATGAGCACTGTTGAAGAGTCTCATACTAGAACGAAAAAAGCCTTCCAGTTCTTCCAGGTTTTCAATGATAATCTAGCTTAGATTGACTCGTGAATCCAACTGTTAAAAATATATTAACCAAAGATTCAATCACTAACAAAGAATGTAGATAGGAGTTTCCTTAGAATCATTAAAAGCAGTTAAATTATATGATAAATTTAATGACAGATACATATATTATCATTGTAGGACATGGTAGATAAATGTATTAGACTAGATGCTGTTTATGCCGTAGACATAACATATTACAAAAAGAGAATTTAACAAGATACAGTATTGAAATCAAGGAACTGTGAACATAATGGTAATATGATAGCGATTAGTTTTGAGCCATATTATCTGAATCCATCATTAAACAAAAAAATGGTCAACAATCTGGTGCACAAAAATGTATCAGATCAAGTTAACAGATCATTTTAACACAGTAAGAAGTCAACAATATGACAATTACCAGAGTAATAAAAATAGAAACATTATCAGTAGTATTGTTGTGTGGGTTACTTATATCCACATAAGTAGTATATTATGATAGTCGGACATTGAATGTATTTCAGTAGAAGATCGATAAAGAAAGAACGGGAACGAAGCGCAATTGATATGAAAATACATGAACAATAATAATCGGAGATGATGAACTGATATTTGCAGAAGTAATGGTCAAGATTGAGACAATTGATTTATAGTTTGCAAATTAACTAATTACTATATGGTTTATCAGAATATAATGAGATAGTCTGTAATTTGCGCTTAGATACATTCAATTGTTCCGACTCGTGTTCTCATTCACTACAGTATAAGTCACAACAATGACACTCGGTTAATATAATTCCAGGAGAATATGCAAAGTGAAAAATATAAGTATTTTCTGATAATAATAAATTTCATCTCTGTTATTGTAACTGATTCTAAGTCATATCATATAAAGTCTTTGACAACTGGTTATGATAATCACTTGAAAAATTAACAACTTAATCTGCACCTACCAAAATGACAAAATGCAATAGTGGATGATATCATAGACTGATTCCACTTGTTTAATTTGATCGTTCCTAGCTTTTTTTTCTAACCTATGTCTACACTAAGAAATATCACTTATCAAGATAGATTGTGATTAGAGAAACATACTACTTGTGTTAACTATTTCAGTAGGTGGTGAGTGACAGCCTCTGAAACCAATTTTTCATCTTTTTCAAATACCCTGAAGTTTAACCTCAACATTGTTTACATTAATGTCCAAGATTTTTAATTACAGATTATTATTGTTTTGTGAAACCTAATCACATAATGGACATCTAGATACAAATTAATCATCAATGACTTTGTAAACTAATAAACATTCCTTCAGAATTATGGATTCAATTGCGTTCCGTTCCAGTTTTTTCCTTAACGATGTTTTACAGAAATACATTCAATGCCCAACCATCATAATATGCTACTTATGCGGATATAAGTAACCCACACCACAATCCTATTGATAATGTTACTATTTTTATTACTCTGGTAATTATCATATAAATCACTTCTTACTGTGTTAAAATGATCTGTTAACTTGATCTGATACATTGCTTTGTAAAACATAATCAGATAATGGACATCTAGATACAAATTAATCATCAATTACTTTGTAATCTAATAAACATTCTTTCAGAATTATGGATTAAATTCAATCATAGTAGTATAGATATCACTTTATATGTTAAGCTGATTTGAAATTTTCTTACTGAGTTGCATATTATTTACATTTTAATTCATTTCAAACAACCATATAATAAATGGTTGGCGTTTGAAGCGAAAGGTACTGGGTTCGAGTTTCAGAGTGAACATCAACTCTGAGATGCAGGTACATTCAGCTGAAGAGTCCCAAATAGGACGAAAAGCGTGTCCTGAATTCCCCTGCTAGCCACTATCCATCTTTGCTTACATATAATAAATAGTTATAATTGAAGTCTATAATAAAACTATTTCTTACTTGCCACCAATTATGATCATCTTTACTAATAATTTGTAATATATCTCCAATATGAAACTGTATACCAGCTTGTGTACATGGTATTAAATCATCATTTTCAGGATTATAATCAAACATTGCACGAACATATATCTAAAAGAAAAAAGGAAAACCATAAAAAATCAATAATCTCTTCATGATTCGTTTTAACTGATATGATTTGAAGCATTAAAGTTTATTGTAAGCAAAGATGGATAGTGGCTAGCAGTGAAATTCAGGACGCGTGTTTCGTCCTATTTGGGACTCGTCAGATGGATGTATTTGCATCTCAGAGTTGACAATTACTCTTTGCTTACAACGCTTGTGAAATAAGGCTATATCCAGGTAATACGCACAGTATGCACATATGCAAATTAAAGACTGATCAGTTGCAGTCGTAAACATCAATAGGAAGATTCAAACAAACAATACTAAGTGAATTTAAAATTTGTTTTTCAAGTAAATTTTATTCATAAGTTGAAGTTCATTTTCATTACAGACTGAAGTACTAAAATCTAAGGAGTGCATATGACTAACTTCAGGGAATTTTTACGTCTTGAAATATAAAGGGATTGATATTCTATGATATTGATCAGTTATTCACTATCGTCACCGATGGTTAGAGACTCTAGGTGACATGGCTCAGAATCGATCACAATAGCGCATGTGTATACACTCTTTATCTTCTCTTAAACCTTGAAATTGAAGTTGCTTCATGACTTTCTTCCTTCCTATACTATATCCTTATATACAACCTTTCTTTATATACTACTACCACTACATTAATTACTTCTATGAATTCGGTGTTCATCATGTTGTGCTAACGAGGTATGGCAACTTGGACCGATGCATATATGTGCGTGGTCCTACGTTCTAGATGACTTACTTTGCAATGAAAAGAACACCGGTTGGGGACAATCGAATGTATTTAAGCAACAATTACAGACTATCTCACTAAATTCTGATAACCATACAACAAACAGTAAATTTGCAAATTAATAACCAATTGTCTCAATCCTCACTGCTCCTTCCGTAAATATCAGTTCATCTTCTCTAATTCCATTGTTCATGCATTTTCCTATTAATTGCGCTTCATTCCAGTTTTTTCCTTGTCGGTCTTCTGCCAAAATGCATTCTATGTCTGACCATCACCATATACTACTTATATGGATATAAGTAGACCACACCACAACTTGACTGACTTATTCACTCATTTATGATATAGTTATTATTACAACTTATAACTTCATAGGTCCTGTCTTTTAATGTGAAGTTGTGAGTTTAAAGGTTTTCTATGATCTCAGAAAACAAGAAGTACGACTATTAAAAGTGTTCCTCAGTTTTCATTTGTTATACACAGAATTCCAGTATATTAACCATTTCATTTTTTTCAACTAAATTCTCCATATCTGAAGGTTATCAGAAGAATAGTTTGAATTTAAGTATCATTCTGTAGTTCTTTTTTAAGTACGAACCTATTATGTCCGTTATCTCATTTGACAACATTATTACTGGGATATTCGAGTTGTAATTGACCTCCGATAAAAATCGGTCAATATTAGAGACTAGATATGATATTAATTGTTACTCAATGATTAATCACTATCAATTTATTAATTTGTTCTGAGAAAAAAACAGAATTAAAGTAATCAATTCTCAAGATTAAAAGATGTCTCATACAAATTTATTGCATAATATGGTTCACTTCTATGTATTTGATTATTATTATTATTATTTAAACACATAAATATTGGTACAAGGAAGCATCAGATAAATATGAGCCTCACAAATCTCATTCGATTTGTGTGAGGGCTGTGATACTGCCCAGGTGCCCAAACTGAAGCAGGTGGTTTTTTTAGGGGGCCATACCCGGAGCCTTTGATCTGAATGTCTGATCCACAAGGCAGTGGAGCATCGTAAGGAGATGCAGTCCCATTGTAGTCGGTGATCAACGGTTGATTCGTACGCCATTTGTTTCCTCAGGATACTGGAGCCCATGTGCACCACTGGTTTGGAATCAGGGTTTTCCAACTCTGCTAGGTGGACGCGCAGTGTTCACTAACCCTGTTAAATCGCCGGACATTCGCTTTTCATCCTCTCAATTTCGTATGTTACATCCCCCTCCGTGAGAAGACAGTGAATAATACATTTATTATTAGGCTTCTATTCAATGCTCAATTTATTTAAAATTATCATATTCAATCTTAACAATGATGTTGATCAACTACTTTTCATTCATAGTTAACATTTGTAATTTTATAGAGTCTACTGAATTACTTTTTGATTATATGTAATTTGTATAGTTGAAATCATGAGTTGATTGAAACTAGACCATCATGGAAAACCTAGAAGCAATGGACGGCCATTTCGTCCTATAGTGGGACTCATCAGCAGTGTGCATCCACAATCTTACCTCTCAAGATTTGAACCCAGGACCTATCAGTCTCACATGCGAGCACTTAACAGATAGATCACTGTGCCGGCATCCATGGTGGTCTAACTTCAATTGATTCATGGTTTCAACTATATAAAATTACTAAAATCTCCATAAAATCCCCTTCTGATATGTGTAATATGCTTTAATAAGGAAATAACACAATAGTCTAAATAATGAATTCATTTTCAAAATTATACTGCGTTTTGAGTAGTCTATAAAACATAAAAGAACAGATTAACAGATTATATACACTTATCATGTATTGAGTTGTTGAACAGTTGGAATAAGTTGACAGAAAATCCTCGGCTTATATTTCGTACTAGATGACACTCTTTAGCAAAACGTATCTAAAATCTTAGATAATTGATACTTTCTAACATCTCAACACATTGTACATGATTTTGAATCACTTAAATCAGTGGAGGCATTGGAGCTTGATCATAAGAATCTGATCAGTACTATAGAGCACGGGACAAACATGATATGGTTTTCACTCAACTATATATTCATATTACTTGTAATTTTAAATAGGTAAGATTCAAGGAATTGTAAATATACAAAAAATACCGTCATCAAAATCAAACTGATATTGTTTATAAAGATGGGAAAAATAGTAAATTATTATACACAATTCATTTTATTATGCTTCAGTTGTCATACATTCCGAAATGGTAAAAATGTTTATAGCATCTTATGTACAATTGCGTTTGTTTAAATCTAATTTGATTCAGCCCGTTTGTTAACTTATTTAACGGACAGAATTATCCGTACAATAAAAAACTATCTATGATATTATACCTTCATTATGAGCATTGTCTACTGCCTATGCATATATTCATTCTGTTAGCCTTACTATTATTCGCTTAATTCATTTGATGATCAATTCCTTTCACTACGTAAATATATGCACATTTTAATTCTGTTCACCGACTCGCTCACTCGTTGTTTCTCATACTCGTTCATCGACTCGATCACTCGCTTGCTTTATGACACTACTCTTTCATGCTTACTTAACGTGCTTGTAATTTTGGATATATGTGAGTGGCTCAATAATAAACACAATCAACATTTCTTATACGTCTTCTGATTTATGCACCGTTGGGGCGTTATCGAGTAACGCTTATCAGGATGAACAAATTATGAAGTTTAAGGATAATATCGAATATCAACCACCACAAGTTCATTTTTTAAAGTCTCTACGTATAACCTTTCATTTTTGCTGACGATAAGAAAGATAAAACTTTAAAATTCACTTATTCATATTGAGGAACAAAAGCTGTAAGCTTGACCGTTCTACGTACGACAACTTATATCATTGTCAAAAATATTATTATAACAAATCAATCATTATAAGCAACGATGAATAGTGGCTGGCGGTGGAATCCAGTTTGACGCGCGTTTCGTCCTATTTTGGACTCGTCAGCTGGATTTACCTGCATTTCATAGTTGATCTCCACTCTGTGACTCAAACCCAGTACCTTTTGCTTCAAACGCCATTGCTTTATCCACTCAGCTACTGAGTCCTGATAGCTACTTGCTTGTGCAATGGGGTGAAGTTTAAATTCAAACAATAGAATAGAGTTTTGATAATAAAAATATACTTTACAATGTTTAACTAGTATTTTAAACATTATCACTTACTTCACATTGTAATGGATGTGTTCTATAACTAGGAATAATTTTCAAACTCACATTTCCGCGAGCATTACGCTTTAAGTACGTAAGGTAGGTAAAATAAAACATAGAAAATTTACTATAAAATATTTTGTTACTCATAAGTAAATTAAATTGATTTAACAAAAAAATATGCGGTTACTGAATGCAGATAACTATAGCATTAGATAATATGCCTTGACAGAGTTTTCCGAATTATAAATGGAAATGCTGTAAACATTTTGACTAAATAATGCTTATTAAAAATCTAGCAAACGATTGGTTATGGTTCTTTTTGTCCCCATAGGAACACTATTTTTTTACCGTTGATTTTATCTTAGAATTAAGCAGATTCCAGTGGAGGAAAAAATCAGGAAGAAGAGCTGAAATAGGATAGGAAACACATTGAGGAAATCACCCGATTGCGTCACAAGGCAAGCCCTCACATAGAGTTTTGAAGTCCAAAGGAAAAGTGGAAGACCGAAGAACACATTACTACGTGAAATGGAGACAGACATGAGAAGAATGAACAAAAATTGGATATAACTAGAAAGGAAGGCTCAGGACAAAGTGGGTTGGAGAATACTAGTAAGCGGTCCATCCTCCATTGGGAGTAACAGGCGTAAGTAAGTAAGTTATCCTAGAATTCTAGATTCTATAATTTCAGGGTCACAAATAAATTCTATACAGACCCTCATTTTCTGTACATGTACATGATCCTAAATAAAGATTTTTATAAGCTTCCTAGCTTCTGTTATCTTTTCGCACCTTGAGAGTAAAAGTCTACTAGAGAAGAGAATGTTTTTATTTGAGCGCAAATGTATGTACACTTCTTATCTTATTCATTACATGTCTGTAGCTTATTTTTGTGTGACTATAAATATCGACTAAAGCTTGATTAGATGGAGTTCGCTCATACGCCTTCTCCACCGCGCGTCATTTTGCTCCACTCTCTTCCATTCGCCTCTTCCCTCTGATTGTCTGTCCAGATAAATGATTGTACAGAATATACGTATTCGAAATTCAGTACCGTATTTGACTTATTTAATTCCGTTATACACTAAAGCAGATTAAGTCGACGAGATACATGAGGATAGCCGACATACATATTTTGACAGCAATCATTTAATAACGATCATTTGTTCGATCTCACTGGAGTCAGATCCCGGGTCACAAAAGGATCAAATATCTACAGACAAGTGGTTACGTGATGAATAAACACTCATAATCAGTAAGAATAAATCGAGTAAACATTAGTTAGGTAAAATAAAATTACCAATCTAGAAAACAGCAGAATTAAGAAGTAATGATGTAATTTATTGAAGGAGTAGGACAAAATTATACGAAGTATTGAAGAAAAGTTTGTTTCATCAAGGCAGAAAAAGATTGATGAAAGTCTGCGTTTGAACACCTAAATCAGGTCTTTGACGTCTTATACCTACGGCTTCAGAAAATCTCAAAAAGCTGGAGCTTGGATGTTCATCAATAATCTTGAAAGAATTAAATGCGTCCAAGTGATGTATAGTAACTTCGACATTAAAGTATTTTTCTATTGGTTTAGGGCTTTTCAGAACATGTTCTGTATTTTTTAACGCCATATATTACCCAAGTCATAGGATGTTCCTAAGTTGTATACTTGAAGAAGTACAAGCTTTCCATTCGTAATTCAAATAAAAACGGCAGAATATCTTTAAAATTTGATTATATGGCAAGAAAACTGGCTGAAAACGTACACGTTAAAGTAAAAACTCAGTAGGAATTTAAACTGAAACAGTAGGATCCGGAAATCTGTGGGAATCTTACGGAATTAAAACTGCTATTATAGTTATCGTCTAATTCATATTTATGCAACTGTCGTCAATTTTGAACTTATGATTGTCTTTCATCAACATACACCAGGATGATTGCATTAATTAAGAAAACTAATATGTGAAGAATATTAAGAAATGAGTCAAAATTTAAGTTGGGGGGGGGATAACCAAATACTCATACATATTACTCCATGTATAATATATATGGTTTAATTAAAGTGGTTTTGGTTATTTACCAGATGATAAGGTCATTTGTTGATCTCTTATTACAGATTAAACAATATCAAGCTAAAACCATAGTTTTGTTAGTAAACATAAGGAGATTGTTATGCCTCCATAAGGATAATGAATGGTAACTTTGGGATCTATTTATGAACTACTATTATGCATATATTTTTGTATTGTATAATCGCTAAATAACTTAACTATTCATATTCGTTTCCTCCTTATTATAAGCTTTATTTTGAACTGTAAACTATTGTTATATGATTGACTATTCCTGAATTATGCCCTTTCTATTATTTACTATCACCCCTATTCACAGCCACATTTGGTTGAATCTTGTACACATGTGATTTTCTATTTTATGGTATGACGTGGTCAGTTTGATTGGTATATAAACTCAGTGTGTTTGAAATATAATAATTCATACCACAGAGGCTGTTCTGGACTGAACTGATTGAGTTAGGCAGAAGTAGGATCGACAAGTACTCTAGACTGCTCGTACGGTTTCCGTGTGTCACTGTTCCAAACGATAATTCGCTGCTCTCTGATTGGTGGTCTTATCACGTTCATACGTTGACAAGGCATCCACTCGGCCACAAGTTATAACAGAGATAATATCGAATGATTATATATTCAGTCCTAAATGCTACGAAGTTAGTTATTATGAAGCTAGAATTGGTGTTTATCATCCACAAGCTAATTGATAAGATACAGGCACGAACATTTTTAGGTGTTGTTCTTGAACACAAATTATTTCTCAAAGTACAAAAAAAACAGTTTTCGTAAACTAACCAATAAAAGTTGTAAATGTTCAACAGATCGACCCGCTACCGGTTCATTATTAATTTCACGTAGCTCATCTCCAACATGTAAAGTACCTATATTTGATGAAAGATAGATAAATTACAATTCAGTGTAATATTGTGTAAATTAAATAGATTTTGAAGACTGTACATCAAAACTGTATTTTAGAGTATTAAAAATAAAATTTCCGAGGTTAGGTTGCATTTCATTAAATACTTCATGTCAAGTCAGGTAGACTAAGAGTCACATTAAAGCTTCACCGATACAATTAAGTTAGCACTAAGGACTTAATAAACATAACAATGGTTACTAATCAATGATTGATCAGAAGAAATAAACGGATTATTCATTCTGATATTCTCCGATTGCATACATTCATCATTTTTGATAAGTAAGATCTAAGACTATCAGGATTTCTAACAAAGCTGGAGACCATAATCTCACCTAGTTCCATCAAAATATCTACAAAGAATCAACTTAAAGCAACTTATTAACCAGCGGTGGTGCCATAAGACGATAAACTTGAATGATTGATAAACCTATCGACGAAACAGAATTTATAATCGATTAATCACTGGATGGTGATCAATGCCATGTACGTCAGATCCTTCTTAGTTCACATTGAATCCTATCAACCAAGTTGAAATATGGTCACTAGTCTATGTAACTCGGCATTGAGGGCACTATGTTGAAGGTAGTCAACAGGTAATACTGGATCTAGATTTCGTGCTACTTGGCACACGTCAGCAAGGTGTATCTAAACTACTGTTACAGATCATACAAAAATAATTATATGGCTAACCAAATCATCACGCAGCTTGTTATTCTATACTAACGAAAATGCTTTTTTTTCTAGTATAGAATTAATCAGGTCAAACTGTATTCAGTTTATACCATGAATAAAACTATAAAATATTCCAGCTTGTAATGAGAATAATTGATGTTGATGACGTCTATACAATTATGAAGATAACTCTTAGCCATAAGAAATTAATTTCACAGAATAAACCATTCAAAATTTATAATAATTAGTTAATTTGAAACAAATACACGATTCCTGATAAAAATTGAATAGATGTACAATTTTATAAATATAGTTGAGATCATGAGTCAATCGACGCTAGACAACCATGGAAAACCTGGAAGCACTGGACGGCCGTTTCGTCCTATTTTTGGATTCCTCAGCAGTGCATATCCACAATCTCGCCTCGCGAGATTCGAACCCAGTGACCAGTGGAGTTCAAACAGGTTTGTTGTGAGCTATCAACTCACTGAAGACATTGGTGAATGGTTGCTAAATTCCGTGGATTGGTTGAAGTTAGATATTAACACCATCGGATGCCGGCCAGCTCAGAGGTCTAGTGGTTAAGCGCTCGCGCACGAGACTGATAGGTCCTGGGTTCGAATCCTACGACGCGGGATCGTGAATGTGCATTGCTGAGGAGTCGCATAATAAGACGAAACGGCCTTCCAATGCTTCCAGGTGGTCTAGCTTTAATTGACTCATGATTTCAACTATATAAAATTACTAAAATCTCCACAAAACCCCCTCCTGATAATTTTATGAATAGTTGAAGTGAACATATATTTATAAAGTAATAACATTTCTTACCTTGTCGGTGTATCATTCCACCGTGTAGAATCCTTGCAACAATACATTTATTCTCTTCATTTAATTTTAAAGTAATACCCTGTAGTATTAATCAAAATATACACATAGAGACATATGAAATTTATACTTAATCAACAAGAATTACAAATTAATTAAAAAAGATTTATGATTCAGTTGGATACTACTGCTGTTGATAGTAATAATAATATTATTATTATGATTTTTGATAGCATTATTCAATATTATATTCTTGGTACAATATAGAATTCTCAGAATAAAGTATTTCAATAAGTTTCTGTTTAATATTTCTTCACCGATCCTGACGATAAATATTGAATGATCGCCAGTTGGATGTTAGAATTTCAGGATTCCACATCTTAATAATGTTCATTCTTTTGTTAAAATGCATACTGCCTGCCACCACGATGTTTCTGATTGTACTTTTTTGTAACTTGTACAGAGAAAAGTCGTAAACCTTTCATAAACACAGCTGAATAGGTTCTGCAATTAGTAGGCATAATGATATGATTAAACAAACAAAGACTGATAACTTGTTGAAATATCTAGATGGCAGGAACAGGTAAGCCAGGTATTCAAACAGTCCACCAGCGTTGTTTCTAAGTTTTCATCATTTCCATATCTTTGGATTTTCAAATAACTGTTGATCTAGTGAACATTCGAGATAAAAGTCAGTGGAAAATGTAAAGATATTCGACATTTCCTTAAAGATCGATTGACTAAGTTATACACTTGATTTGTCGAATCGTACGAAGCTTCGTGGATTAACTCAAGTTCCCATATCACATCTATATAACGACATAAAATTAAGAAGATGAGCAACAAAAATGATCAAAGTGATGTAGTAAGAATAATAGTCGTAAAGACTGTACATTGAGACTATGTTTCCGGAAGTAGGAACGACACGGTATACATCAAGAAATACTGAAACTCAAGATTGAGAGGAAGATAAAAAGTAAATGAATGTAAGCAATTGTGGCTAATTTGTAACCATTTCAACAAACGTCTCCAACCATTGTAGTTATTAAAAAGAAGCCAACCAGATGGTTTATACCTACCAACACGACTAGGATTAACAGTCTATAACTTCATGGATTAATGTTATGTTTTAATTTACTGTTTTTTGTTCAACATACCGTCATTTCAGTCAAAAATTCATATAAACGCCGATAAGGGGTGTGGATTCATTTTCAGGGGGTTGTATGAATAAACGACTAGCGCTACTTCTACTACAGATCGAATACAATTATAAAATTTAGAGAAGTAATAAACAATTCCAAAATGCTCATTGGTATACACAGAAAAAAATATGGACTAGTTTCGGTACGAAAACGTTTACTGTCTCTCTCTCTCTCTCGACAGAAAAACAATTGTAGGGACAAACATTACTGATCAAATATTGTTCACATAACTTTGAAACACAGCAAAACAAATTCTTGACAAAAAAAACCAACTGACCTTAAATAATCAATGGAAAAGTTGTGGTAGACGGGATTCAAAGAATTTTATTTCAATCATAATATGAAATAGTAATAATTTTAGTAGGGTAACTGTAACAATTGGCAACTAGGCAAAGTAGATGTGTGTGTATTTTAGTCCTTCAATGATAAAAAGATAATATGAATGAATGTCGGGGTGTTGATATGATTTGATCCAAAACTATATCATTATTATTACTTTTGTTATATCCCGAAGAGAATTGTGAATTGTAACTTTTGAGGACTATTTATGGACCAATGTAATATATGTATTTCCTATTGTATAATTGTTAGGTAACTAAACCATTCATATTCGCGTCCCTCTTATTATAAGCTTTATTTTGACCCATAAACTATTACTGTACGCTTTACCATCCCTGAGTTATAGCCAGTCTATTAATTACTGTTCCCTACATTCACAGCCACATTTCGTTGAATCTTGTACAAATATTATTTTCTATTTTATGGTACGATGTCTCTTTGGTTGATATATAAACCCAGTATGTTTAAAATAAACGATTCATATAGCAGAGGCTGTTATTGGTGTTCTGGACTCCATTGGTTCGGCTAGGCAGAAAGCAGGACCGGCAAGTACTCTAGACTGCTCGTATGGGTTTCGTGTGTCATTGGACCGATCGATAAATTCACTGCTCTCTAAGTGGCGACAGGCCACAAGTTATAACAGCTTCGAATTCGTCTTAAATAATGATAGCACTTACTTCATGTGTATGATACTAAGTTACAAGAACGAAGTACATTTTGTGTTTTCAAAACACCAGTTTTACTGTCAAATTTATGATAGAATATTGATATTTGTTTGAAATAATCGAATATTGCGAAGCTCTACTGAAGATGACAGTGAAACTTATGATTTGTTTTTTAAACAATTTTAAACGTGAAATAAAACATAACAGGAAGTAATAATTAAATTAAAAAAAACCTTATGAAGCGAAGATGGATAGTGAACAGCAGTGGAATCCAGGACGCTCGTTTCGTCCTATTTGGGACTCGTCAGCTGGATGTACCTGCATCTCAGAGTTGATGTTAACTCTAAGACGCGAACCCTGTACCTTCCGCTTCAAACACAATCGCGTTATCCACTCAGCTACTACTCATCCATCTTTGCTTACAATACTTGTAAATTAAGGCTATATCGAGGCGATACGCACAGTATGCACATATGCCAATAAGAGACTGACCAGTTGCAGTCCTAAACATCAATGGGAAGATTCAAACAAGTTATACTAAGTGAATTTAAAATCTTCTAAAGTTATTTAGTGACTATACGTTTGCCGAAGTTGAGTCATGATCAATCCTTCATTGTTTATCAAGAGAGTGATGAAAAAGAGAACTTTTAGCTTCAATATATCAAACTTAAAATCCACAAACTAAAGATTTTAAGTGACAAAAATTCAGTGTTAGAATTTTAGAAGTCTTTATAACCTACATGCATCTATGAAATTTATTATTGATGAATAGCCATTACTTATCCTAATGCGTAGTGATGACTAGAATAAATATTTCATAAGGTTAAATGTGATCATAACATTAGTTTACGAAGTTGTTGAATATCAGTAGGGCGAAATTTATTTATTTATTTATTTGAACACATAGATATTGGTACAACGGGGCACCAGATATATATGCGCCACACTAATCTCATTCGATTTGTGTGAGGGCTGTGATACTAATCAGGTACCTAGACCGAAACAGTTGGTATTCGTAGGGAGCCACACCCAGAGCCTTTGACCTGAAGATCTGATTCACGAGGCAGTGGAGCATCGTAAGGAGATGCAGTCCCATGGTAGCCAGTGAACAACGATTGATTAATACGCCATTTTTTCCATCAGGATACTGGAGCCCATGAGCAACATTGGTTTGGAATCAGGGTTTTACAACTCCCCTAGGTAGACTCTGCGTGTCCACTAACGCGTTTAAAGAGCTGGACATTCGCTTTTCATCCTCTCACTTTTGTAAACAACACCCCCGCCACGAGAAGGCAGTGAGTAGGACTTCCCTGTCAGAGGCTATATATTCGCTGGCCTTATGAGAGCATTTCGAGAGGGAGAGGTGACTCTCCCCACTCTCGGCCGGACAAGAGCATTTGGGGGCAGTTGTGCGAAAAATTAGAAATAAATTACATGTCAATATCTTCAGGCTGATAATTCTTAAATGACATAGTGTGAAAATTGATCAGGGCTAAAAAACTTAGTTCATTTTCTATTTTCTCATAGATATTTCATTTTATTATCATTGAACAACCTCATTCCAGAAGTTCATTTGTTATTTACAAGCTTATAGTCTTTATCTCTAGTCGTCTTCTCACTATGATTGATACTACTGTTACTCTTAATTTTTCAATTTTAATTTTCCATGATCTGACTATTATAATGTTAATGTGTACAGTAACCAATAATCTTCATGTTAAGCTATTCCAGACCTAACATTCTTTATGAATGATTGATTGATTTTTCATCTGCATAGTTCGCATTCTAACTCTGATATTTAATTACTTACTTACACCTGTTACTCCCAATGGAGCATAGGCCACCGACCAGCATTCTTCAACCCACTCTGTCCTCGGCCTTCCTTTCTAGTTCTATTCAATCACTATTCATTCTTCTCATCTCTGTCTCCATTTCTCGGCCTAATCTGTTCTTTGGTCTTCTTCTTTTCCTTTCGCCTTCAAGATTCCATGTAAGTGCTTGTCATGTGATGCAGTTGGATGATTTCCTTAAAGTGTGTCTTATCCACTTCCAGCGCTTCTTCCTGATTTCTTCCTCCGTTGATGTTTGGTTTGTTCTCTCCCACAGTAGGTTGTTGTCGATACTGCCTAACCAATGATTCCGAAGTATCTTGCTTAGAGAACTGTTAATAAACACTTGTATCTTCTGGATGATGGCTTTCGTAGTTCTCCACCCTCCTTTACCCTGACTTTGGACCGGCAGTAGCCCCCGGAGGAGCTACAGGCGGAGTTCTAACACTGTTATACATGAGCCTTAATGTTGATGAGCCACCATGTTTCATTATGGTGAGTGTGTTAGATAATTATCCATACTTCTCATTCACTATCGAAATTTCTTTATTAAAACTAATCTCTAGTGTATTTACTTAAATCCAACTAGTAAATTACAACATGATCATAAGTGATTTTATTAGGAGTCTTATCGAAAAAGTGTAATTTTACAAAAACCGACTAACTGATCTCTTTCATCATTAAAACCAGAGCGTTTCATTATTTTTAAAGATTGAATCTGTTTATCAATGAATATGGTCTGTTTTAATTTCTTACCATTGGTTCATCTGTATTCTTTTGAAATTGTACTAAACGTACACGTGTTACTTGTGGTTGATCTGTATCTGATTCCATATGATCATCTTCATCACCATTTAAAAATGATGATAATGGAGGTGGAGTAACACGAATAGCTTCAGAGCCATAAACTTCTTGAGCTATTACATCATATGTTTGTAATAATGCCTGAAATAACGAAATTTATCATGTTAATTGATATAATGAAAATAGGGAAAATTGAATACTGAAATTATTGAACATTTAAACAATAAGATTTTGAGAGGGGTAAAATGTTCGTAGAATATGTCGTTTCTTTACCAAAGCCCCATGAAAGAACCACAGTATAAGTTTTGTTTCGTTAGAGAATTATATCGACTGATAAAGATCTAAAGAGATACTTAGTGATTATTTCACTAGAATCATTTTCAAATTTAATAATAAACTCAATGAACATAAAACGACTAAACGAAACAGAATGTCAACAGCTAACTGAAATTCTAAACGAAGTAAATACTTTTACAATCGATTGATTACTAGGAGGGGATCAATGTCATATATGTCAGGTTCTTCTTAGTTCACATCGAATCCTATCGACCAAGATGAAATATGGTCACTAGTCTACGTAACTCGACATTACGTGCACTATGTTAAGATAAGAGAGTGGTTGAAGGTAGTCAACAGGAAACCCCGGATTTAGTTTTCGTGCTATTTTGGCACACTTAAGTAAAGTGTACCTCTAATCTTGAGAAAACTGATGCTCCCTGATGGATTAGATTCCATGTCACCCAGCTTCACAGTCAGAGACATTACCACTGGTATTCGATCTGCACTAAGAAGGACATAACACATATGACATTGATCACCGCCCAGTGATCAATCAGTTATAAACTTGTACGCTACATATGTTTTGTTTTGATAACCAGGATGATTGGGGGTAGATCTTTGAACAACATTTTTCAACTAATCTTAGTGGCATTATATGTTTCTGTAAGAGTTTCAAAAACGATATTGTTAGACATGTTGGTTATAAACTTCAAGGTTGTATCAATTAATCTAACATGTCATGGTTATTAACTACATCGAGACAGCACACTTTCTCTCCGTGACAATTTTACAGAGACTGGCAGGCAGATAAACCAAGGATGTGAAATACACTGTTGAGGAATCCAATATGAAACAAATAATTACTAGATTTAAGTTGTATTGTCTTTACTGGTCAGATATTTTATTCTTTGATATCCGTTTGTATTACGAGGGTTTTTGGAGTCTATGACTGAATGTTAATAATTGCTTAATTAAATTTGCAAACAGGGATTAGCTATCATTTATAGTTATCCGTAAATGTGTTGCTCACACAAGATCTCCTTTTACATAGCTGAATATGTTTGATTTGTGATTTCTATAGTTTTATTTTAAATGACAGGGTAGGAAGAGGAAAACATAGGAACTATTGTGGTAGTATTGCATCAGTATTGCAGTAATAAGATTTAAGTAAAATTGTGAACATTTTATGAAAGCCTGTAATTATACACGGCTATTGAACATAATTAAGTAACTAATGAAAGTATAAAACTAAAAAGTTTACTTTCTATGTTGAAATCAAGAGTCGACATAAGCTAGATCATAATTGGACACCTGGAAACATGTACACAAGACTAAAAGTCTTGAGAACGAATCTCGCGTGCGCGATCTTGTGTGTGCACTTCTGAGGAGACCCACACTAAGACAAATCAGCCGTCTAGTGCTTCCAGGTTTCCAATGGTGGTTTAGCTTAGATCGACTGGGAATTTGTATTATGAAAATATCATGATCTCCAAAAATTCTCATATTAATAAATTTAGGTTTTGAAAACTTTCGACCTAGAATTTTGGCTAGGTTTAGTTTATCTAAGGTATTTCAACTTGATTACAAAATTTATATTAACTCGAACGATTATTTGCATAACTTATGGTCATATAAACTAATAATTTTCATTTCTTAATGTAGTCATTCAGTTGCTACTTTTAATATTCCCGCTCTTCAACCAACCTGTCTGGCATGGTAGGACCATGAGGAACGATTGTTTCAGTCAGTATAGCTCTATTAGTTCATCACGATAAGCAAGCTCGACAACCACGTCAAAGTAACAGCAACGGTCGAGTTTTCTTAATGTAAGGATTTCTATCCCTTATATACAAAATAAAAATTAATGAATCACTTACACGAAAATGAGGTTGTTTCATATAAAATTTTAATTCTTCAACAGTTGATGCCATTTCTGTTTTATTCAATATGGATAATTCGGTTAATACCTGATTTGTTAAAACAAAATTGTAATAAAAATACAAAAAGAAGAACAGGAAAATTAATAAAAATGAACCGTTATTCTCTAAACATTGACTTGTCAATATGAAAATATGGATAAGATTATTATCAAAAGAGGTTTTGTGAATATTATAATAATTTTAAAAGTTGAGATTATGAATCAATCAAATCTTGCGAGGTGGGATCGTGGATAAGCACTGCTGAGGATTCTCACAAAAGGACGAAACAGCCATCCAGTTCTTCCAGGTTTTCTTTAGTGGTCTAGTTAAGATCAGTTCGTAATTTCAACTGTCAAAATAATGATGATAATAATAGTAATGAATTTTCAGTTGTGTTTTTTTTAAATGAGCTTATATAATATCACTATAGTTGTACTGATTACTATAGAAATAAGTTTGAGAGAGAAAAAATACATGAGAGTAGTCTAAGATAAAAAATCATTGACTAATTTTTTTAAGCCATTTCAAATAGTGTAGATAAACTGTCAAGACAGTTCTACTGTATGGGGCGGAGACATGGAGAACTACGAAAACCATCATCCAGAAGATACAAGTGTTTATTAACAGTTCTCTAAGCAAGATACTTCGGAATCATTGGTTAGGCAGTATCGACAACAACCTACTGTGGGAGAGAACAAACCAAACATCAACGGAGGAAGAAATCAGGAAGAAGCGCTGGAAGTGGATAAGACACACTTTAAGGAAATCATCCAACTGCATCACATGACAAGCCCTCACATGGAATCCTGAAGGCGAAAGGAAAAGAAGAAGACCAAAGAACAGATTAGGCCGAGAAATGGAGACAGAGATGAGAAGAATGAACAGTGATTGGATAGAACTAGAAAGGAAGGCCGAGGACAGAGTGGGTTGAAGAATGCTGGTCGGTGGCCTATACTCCATTGGGAGTAACAGGTGTAAGTAATTAAGTAAAGTAAGTAAACTGTTAAATAATTATAATAAGAAAATTATATCTGTGCTAAACCTAATATTATTTTCACTCATTTGTTTTTCATCTTGCTAATGTATATCTGTGTATTTGTTGATGTAAGGTATGGTAACATGAATAGAAAGCTATTTGTACCAGGCCCTATAATGACTATGTCCAATGACAGGAAGCAAATTGAATGAATTCCATTTAATTTCTAATTTAACGTTTAAGGATGGGTTAATATATCCATACCCTAACAATCTTGAGTTCAATCACAAGAAATATTCATGAGTTTGCGTATAGTTAAGAATTTAATCCAGAAAACCTAGAAGATGCTTTGAAAATGCTTCTTCTTCGTTTTTGTCATCTAGTTAATATGTTGGCTGGAATTTATAACGTTGATACATATCGTGGTCTAAGTATTTTTGGCAATTCCGCTTTCTGGCTGTCGATGAAATGTTGATATTTCTATATTCCATATTTGACAGCTTAATTAGTGGTCTGAATTTCACACTTATTGGTAGAACTTGGTGATGAAGACACTTATGGAGAAATGAAAATGTTCTTTCGTAAATGTTGGATTTCTGACGAATTTCTTGTAGTTCTGAATAAATAAAATTGTATTAGGCGCTTCTAAAATTGAATTATCCAGTTAAAGAAACTCAGCAACATCAAAAGTGTTTTGATAAAATTTGAAAACCAGATAAGTCATACATTTACCCAAGTTATAAATAATCATTCCTGTATGTATAAAAATAGCATTAAAACATACTTTAGCCCAAATTTCTGTTGCATCAGCAGGAACATGAAAATCACTGCCTGGTGAATGTGTGTTAATATGGTCATAGAGCTGTGAAAATAAACGGTATAAGTTGGGAAAAAAGAATGACAACATTTGAGATAAACGATATTGAGATAATAATATAAGGGATCTTCAAACGTTTTTTTCTTGAGGAAAAAACCAACAACATATGAGTGAGATTCGAACCTAGGACCTTCGGTCTCACATGCTAATGTTTTACCTATAGACCACTGAGACAGCGCCTTATCAGATATGAAGCAGTTACCCACTAAAGACACTGAAAGATCGTCGCTCAATATGGCAGATTGATTGAATTTAGACATCGATAACGTTTGATGCCATCTCAGTGGTCTAGGGTTTAGCCATTTTTGCGCAGGACCGAAGGCTGTTGGTTCGGGTCCCGCATGCACGATCGTGGATGCACTCTGCTGAAGAGTCCCGTGCTGGGACGAAACGGCCGTCCAGTGCTTCCAGGTTTTTGAATGTGGTCGATTCATGATCTTAATTGAAGCGCAATCCCCACAACCATACACTGATAATACCACATGTTTTAACATTGAGAAACGTATTATCCAATAAACTCACATATTATTGATATATGAACAATAAGTCAACTACTCATTGTTAATACAAGTCTCACAAAAACCTGTATAGATATTTTTCTTGCTGAGACACTGTTTCGTGTTGTTTTATAATCGTTCGAAGAATGAACAGATGTATTAAAACCAACATTCAAAAGGAAGAATTTAAGTTTCATATATTCTATTACTATACTTTTCAAAGGTATTGGAAGGTATTAGAAGTTGGAATGATTTAAATAAATCCGTGAAACTATTTTAAACCAGTTTTCCAGCCTTTTGATCCTTATAAAACAAACGCATAAGCAATACTGAAGAGATTATCTGTGCACTGAAAACTAAAAGTTGAGTTACTGCTACTGTATAGCATGTCTGATTAGGTTATCGTTCTTAGCGTATGTTCCAGAATATCCTCTTCATGACTTTATGTGAATCAAAATTGGCTACAAGTTCAACCAGAAAATTTTGTTAATTTGATATTAATGAGATCAGACATGACAAATCGGAGAGACCGCATACTAGCTACGCGAACACAATTATACACAGACGGTGAAGACTCATCAATTATGTTACATACAATTGCGACTACAAGAATACTGTGATAGATACAAAGATATATACATATGTATACTACTGAATTGAATGGTGAACAAAGGATTTTGAAAAGATTATCAATCAAGCAGAAAAAAACTCTTGAATAGTGAGTGATGAAAAATACTTACCTCTAATAAACAATGTAAATGTTCATCTTCAAATACTGGATGGAATAGATCAGAATCTTTTTCAAAACATTCTGTAAGACATTGCATCTCTTCAAAACTGTCCAATACAGCGCTGACAGCTATTTTGTTTGTGATTTAAACAAATAACAGTGTAAATTGGAAAAGTTAGCAAAAATTAACAAAATGAAATGAGAAAAAAAGTTTTAATACAGTTAATTGTGATGGCTTGTTAACCCAGTAGATAATTTTTTGATATACTTAAATTGTGGCTAACAGCAGTGAATTTGAGCCGTACGTTTCGCTCTCCTACAGGATTGTCATCTAAATGTATTTGGATTCTAGTGTTGATTATAGCACTGTAACTACAAGCTTACGTCTATGATTACATTTCACTATTTTAAATTTCAAATTATCTCAATAATTCATAATAGTTAAATATATAGGCTAGTATGTGTAGTTGGAAAAGAAAACAACGAAGTTCAATGAGAAGGGGGGTTTTATGGAGATCTTAGTAATTTTATAGTTGTAATCATGAGTCAATTGAAGCTAGATCACCATGGAAAGTCTGTAAGCACTGTTTCAATTGACTCATGATTTCAATTATAGAAGTTCAATGAATTCGTAGTATTCTACAACTAACATCATTCTTGTTTTATCTAAACCTTAAATATGATTGATTGCTATTGACTCTTATCCTATTATATGTGAAGAAATTTTTATAGCTTGTTTCAAACAAAAGATTATGACAATGTTGTTGTCAAGAAAGACTATGAAAAATTACTTCACGATTAAACTATATAGATTAGGGAATGCAACTTAATTAAAATCATCATCCTGAACAAGAAATCTTTACCATTGTTAGATATAATATACAAACTCGATAGTAATTAGGATCATAAGAAATAACAATGTTCTATTTAACTGTTTCCTTTTTTTCAGGAGTTTGATTCTTTGACATTTTATAACCCATAATCATTTCACTAAGTCACATATTGATTTATTTATAGTTGAGATCATGAGTCAATTGAAGCTAAACCACCCTAGAAAACCTGGAAGCACTGGAAGACCGTTTCGTCCTATTGTAGGACTCCTTAACAGTGGGCATCCACAATCCCGCCTCGCGAGATACCAACCCAGGATCTATCAGTCTCGTGAGCCACAGCACTTACCCGATAGACCACCGAGCCGGCTAGCATCCAACGGTGTTAATGTCTAACTTCAACTTGTTTGTAGAATTCGTTTATATCTAGCAAAACAATTGTTTCTTTTCAACGCTTAAATATAGTAGAAGCATAGGTTATCCATGAAATGAAACATGAACTCTATATTCAAAGAAAATAATTCCTAACTTAATCTGTCTCTATCATGGTCTTACTTCATTATTACTGCTATCACAGCTAGTACTTTCATTACACTTGGGTTTATTTAGGAAAATTTCTCTTTTTCCTAATTTTCCTATTCTTGATTGTTTCAGCTATCACTTCAATTAATCTCCCTAATGTCTACATCTTTTAGTGATGAAATCAAATATCATACATTTACTTTTTTAATTAGCTTACTTCACTTCATATTGAAAGATATACATATACCACCTTAGAGAAGTTGGGAAATCATAGATTATTTATAATATACTACAATGAATATCTATACGATATTATGATTATATCCTATTGTAGTGAACAGAACACTAGTTGGGGTCAATTGAATTTATTTAGGCAAAACATTACATAATATCTCATTAGAATATGAGAACCATATAATAAACCATTGATTTGCAAAATAACAATCTTAACTGTTCCTTCTGCAAATATCAGTCCATCTTTTCTGATTTCATTGTTCATGCATTTTTGTACTGATTGCGCTTCATTTCTGTTCGTTCCTTATCGATCTTCTACCAAAATACATTGTGTCTCTGATCATCATTATATTCTACTTATATAGGTATAAGTAGACTACACTACACTATATCTAACAATTTTAATGTCTCTTATATAAGTGATTATACAGCTTGATTAAGAAAAATTATACTTGGGAAAAAATCATTTTGTTGTATTTCAGGTCTTTGATTTTATTTTAATAAGATTGAAGAAAACTATTTAATTAGTTTAGTAAAGTGTTGTACCTTTGACTTCTTCAGAGTTAAATTAGTAATCTATGGATGAGAAATAACCCGATTAGATATGAATATGGGGTTTGAGAGTTCATTTTCGTAAACAACAAACTTGCTTTTGTTCTCGCTTGAAGATTTAAGACTATGTTGGTTGACAGTTACCAACATATGGTAAAGAATTTGTGAAATCTCCACTTGCCAACCAACATCGAGATGCTTACCATCCAGCTAACAACTACAGTCTCCGTATTCTTAAAGAATTTGTAATACTTATCACTTCCTTTGCCGAATAAGGCTTAATAAACAATTCTACATGTTATTGTTATTGATACCCATATATTGTGTTCGATTACCTTTTTTCACGTCTGTTCTATATACACTTTTTACTATTTCCACATTGGCATGTATATATTTTATTTTTTATTTATCTAAACACATAAATATTGGTACAAGGAAGCACCAGATAAATATGCGCCTCACAAATCTCATGCGATTTGTGTGAGGGCTGAGATACTGCCCAGGTGCCCAGACTGAAGCAGGTGGTTTTTTTAGGGGACCACACCCGGAGCCTTTGACCTGAATGTCTGATCCACAAGGCAGTGGAGCATCGTGAGGAGATGCAGTCCCATGGTAGCCGGTGATCAACGGTTGATTCGTACGCCATTTGTTCCCTCAGGATACTGGAGCCCATGTGCACCACTGGTTTGGAATCAGGGTTTTACAACTCCCCTAGGTGAACTTTCCATGTCCACCAACCCGGTTAAAGCGCCGGACATTCGCTTTTCGTCCTCTCACTTTCGTAAACAACACCCCCACCACGAGAAGGCAGTGAGTAGGACTTCCCTGTCAGAGGCTATATATTCGCTGGCCATATGAGAGCATTTCGAGAGGGAGAGGTGACTCTCTCCACTCTCGGCCGTACCAGGGCATTTGGGGGCGCATGTATATATTACTTTATATTATAATTAAAATTGATGAAAATCTGATTGGAAACAATGACGTTTGCTTATATGTATTGTTCTGTAAGCAAGTCGACGAATATATGATAATATACTGCAAAGTAAGCTCAAAAACAGATGCACATCAACATTGAGAATTTGTAGAAAGAAAAGACTCAAACCGCCATCAAATTATTTACTATACTATCCTATTTACTGGTAGTGCTATTATTAATATAAGAGAGAAAGAATTAAATCCATCACCGTTTCACATTCATATCAACTGATCTCAGCTTGGAAACCAACGAAAAAAGGACTAGCGTTTGTAGATATGAACAGTTAGTTGGCAACTTAATGGTCGAAAGAGATAAATAATGTGTTCACATAAAGATTCCAGAATTCAATGATTCTTGGGTACTCATTGCTGAGGGGTTCTGTAGCAGGGTAAGACATTTGCCCAATGTTTCCTTGGTTTTTAATGATTTATCGTGTTCATATCAATAGTCTTTGAGATAAGTGAAGCTTCATAAAATAAACGTATCTTCAAACAAAAACTGCGCGGGTTAAAAAAATATTTACATTAACTTACCAGCTGATGTGACTTCATCATCTTCATCTAAAATATCATCATCAGAGAGAATATTTGGCTCAGTGTAGAAGCTTGCCCATTTTGTACTTGAAACAGCAGCTAGAATAGCCCCCTAAATTGTTCGATTATTTTTGGATAATGTAAAAAAATTAGTGTAGTTAGATTGTACAGTTATTAGTTGTAGTAGAAAACTAGTAATTATAGTGGGACAAGTATTTAAAAAGTTAAACTCCGACTATAGAGAGACGGAAATCATACAACTGTTTCCTTGGTATCACAGTTCGATCACATGCGATCCAATATAATTCAACCTAAGAAAACAATCTGGTGTATTTATCTTCAGACATTACGCTAGCAATTTGTCTTGGTCCCAATAAAGAAATCTATACAGTTTTAAAATTGAGAACGGATAGATTATACTGAACAGTGGAACCTAGGAAGTGTTGCACGAAGTCTTTAATAGAATAAATTCCACTACTATAAACAGTTTGTCTACATTTTAAAAAGTATTGTGATATATAAGCAATAATTGAAACAATGCTTAAAGTACACACATATGTCAGTAATGACCAAATAAAATTCAGTCTGAAATATCAATAAAGAGGTAATTTAAACTGTTACCAGTGAAAATATGAATTTTAGAATGATGAAGTTTGAAAAAAGAGAACAGTTTTTAATCTAAAGCTTTCTTTCATTCATTCATTCATTAGATATTCAATGATGTGGAAAACATCTACCAACTGAAGTTTAAATTCCTTAACAAAAAAGACAATGATGACGAGTGATATTAACTACTAAGATTCAAGGAACAGAAAAAGAGTAAATTGGAAAATTTGGCCAAAATTGAACAATATATCCGATTAATTCGCATGGTAGTGAAGCTGAAAATCAACATTTATAAAATAGTTGAAGTCAAGAGTCAATTGAAGCTAGGCAACCATGGAAAACCTGGGAGCACTTGACGGCCGTTTCGTTCTATTACGGGACTCCTCAGCAGTGCGCATTCACGATCCCGCATCGCGAGATTCGAACCCAAGACCTACCAGTCTTGCGCCAGTGCACTTAACCGATAGACCACTGAGCCGGCCAGTATCCAACGGTGTTGATGTCTAACTCCAAACAATCCACGAAGTTTGAGCAACCGTCCAATTGTCTTCAGTGAGTTGATATCTCTACAACGGACTTGGTAGAACTCCACTGGTCACTGCTTCCCACAAAAACTCAAGGAAATATCTCTTGAAGTCAGTCACTTGTGAGCATTTGATTATAGAGCAGAAGGGGTTTTGTGAAGAATTAAGTATTTTCATAGTTTAACTCATGAGTCAATAAGTAATAATCATCTTTATTATTGATTTTGAAAGGTTTACGAAAGCCTCAAGAACGTCAAAGTTACACACATATTTATAAACATCTTTATTTTCTCTATCTAAAATAACTTTGAGAATAGAATTTCTTTCATACATATAGCCTTTTATTGATTGACTGAACCTCAAGTTTGAGAAATTTCTAGACAGTTAAGCATTTAAGTGTTAAGCAGTGTTAAAAATTTAAGTAGTAAATGTATTAAGAATTTAAACTCGACTCAGCAATACTCAACAACTGTAAATGTCTAACTTCAACCAATCCACGAAATCGAGCAACCATTCACTAATGTTTTCAGTAAGTTACTATCTCACAATAGACCTGATTGAACTTCACTGGTTACTGCTTCTCACTAGAACTCCATAAAATACTTCATGGAGCCAGCCACTAGTGAGTATATGATCATTATCAGAACGGAGTTTTGTGAAGATTTTAGTAATTTTATATAGTTCAGATCATGAATGCCGGTTCATTGGTCTATCGGTTAAGTGCTCTGGTGTGAGACTGATGGGTCCTGGGTTCGAATCTTGTGAGGCGGAATAGTGGATGTGCATTGTTGAGGAGTCCCAAAATAGGACGAAATGGCTGTCCAGTGCTTCCAGACTTTTCACGGTGGTCTAGCTTCAATTGACTCATGATCTCAACTATATAAAACTATGAATGTATTGTATTAATTTCATCTCATTTTTTTCCTTTAAACAATAAAAAAAAATTGACTTTAAAATGAACTCATTTTATTACATTATTTTTAATCTTTGCCAAATGTTTTTTTTTTCATTTTTTTCATTTCCCTTATTAAAATCTTATTTAATATTTTTATTTATTGAATATTTATAGTAATAATAATTATTTTATAGAATTATAGTTGGGAGTTAATCTGTAGGGGGAGGGGGGAAGAAATTTAATTCAAGACGGTTTATTTTTTGACTGGTAACACAACTTTGTAAAAAGAAAAAAAAAAGGCTTTATCCTGGAGAACAAAATTTTTTTTTTAAATCCCAAGGAAATTAAGAGAACAGATATTATCGTAGAATTATTCAAGACATGATTGATTTTATAGATTTTGTATTTTTCATTTAATGAACATTTATTTTGGATCAATATCGTTAATTAGGAATAAAATAAATGAAAAAAACTATGAAAAATACTAAATCTCCACAAAACCCCCTCTGATAATTAATATAATCATATGCTCACCAGTGACTTCGAGAAGTATAACTAGGAGCTCTAGTGAGAAGCAGTGACCAGTGGAGTTCAAAACCACGTCTGTTGTGAGATAGGAACTCACTGAAGACAATTGGTGAATGGTTGCTCAACTTCGTGGATCAGTTGAAGTTAGACATTAACACCGTTGGATGCCAGCTCAGTGGTCTATCGGTTAAGGGCTTCGGCTCGAAACTGGTAGGTCCTGGGTTCGAATCTCGCGCGAGCGGGTTCGTGGATGCGCACTGCTGAGGAGTCCCATAATAGGACGAAACGGCCGTCCAGTGTTTCCAGGTTTTCCATGGTGGTCTAGCTTCAATTGACTCATGCTTTAAAACTATGAAAAATACTAAATCTCCACAAAACCCCCTCTGATAATTAATAAAATAAATGGTCTAATGTTGAGCCGGATATGAAAATTCTACTCTCAGAACAAAGATTGAAAGAATGGTAACTCCTAAAACTAACCTATGCACTCAGTTATTCAGTCAGCTACAACGTAGGACCAGGCACATTTATGCATCGGTCCAAGTTGTCATACCTCGTTAGCACAACAAGATGAACACTGGATTCATAGAAGTAATTAATTTAGTGGTGGTAATATATAAAAAAACGGTTGTATATAAGGATATAGTATAGGAAGGAAGAATGTCATGAAGCAATTTTAATCTCAAGGTTTAAGGGAAGATAGAGAGTGTATACACCTACGCCATTGTGATCGATTCTGAGCCATGTCACCTAGAGTCTCCAACCATTGATTACGATAGTCACACGAACCCCAACCAAGTAGTCTGCATCTGCCAATATAGCTCAGACTAGAAGTTAGTGACTTCAAGCACTGATGCACTATTATTACACATATTTTTATCGCATAATTATTAAGTAGATTATTGTCCCTATATATTCTGTTTATCATAAGTTGCTGGTTGACGCATTAGCTATTGTCATACGACTCACTAGTTCTAATTTGTTAGCAGTTCATTACTCACCCTTCCTCTTATTCAGAGCCACTTATGGCTTATTCAGTTACAATTGTTACTTTCCTGTATGTCTGTATATAAACTACTTCTGTTGAAAAACAATTATAGTGTAAACTGGTTGTTGACTTTTAAACACAAGACAGGGCATAAAGAGGAGCTTGTGATGAACTTATTAGAACGTAGCTGTCCGCTCAAGATTCATAGTTTTTGTCGGGAGTGTGATTAGTGAGCTTGGATAAAATAGACTATCGAGGAAATACAAAACGCGAAATGGACCAAATTGGAATTAGGATTTTGATTGTTGACTTGGCACGTGATATTGGCCAGCCTTCCTAAAAACATAACACCTTGTTTAAGTGCTCATATACCACAGCTCATTTAAACCTTTTACGGGATGACTTCAATTCATGGTATTTAATTGGTGTGGAGTGTTTTTACAAAAATGAGAGAAAGAATGTATAAATTTAATTGTACAGATCAGATTGGTGAAGACGGAGGTGCCACCGATTTGAAACCAATGGTGTACATGGGATCTATAGTCACTGTAAACCATGTAACTACTCTAATAAACTGAAATTATTTGAACAAATCTATTGGCGTCAAGTTTCAGATTATTTTTTATGTTTCCCACCATTCAGAGGCGTAAATATTTTAAAATGACAGGTCAAAAAAAATCGTACACAAAATACAGAATAAAATTTACCTTAAGTTTACGTCTAGCATTAAAACGTCTCATTTCTTCAACTGTTTCATGTAGATGTGTTTTAGATGCACGAGCTTTTTGACTTATCCATGGATGACGTAAAGCTTCTTCAATTGTTAATCTTTGTGTTGGATCCACTTCTAATAAACGTGATACTAAATCTCTTGCTTCCGTTGATATCATATTCCATACTTGAGGTTGACGCTATAAGAAAAAAATTTGACGACAAAAATTCACTAGCAAAATATCGTTAGTTTTATATTCCCCAACTTTATTGTCAAATCTCTACTGGGTGGCTAGAAGATGTTTCGGATGATAAGCAATCTTAACATTAACCAGTATCTATAAACTTGAGAACAATGAAATTTGTTGTAGAGTTCTCAACCAGAACAACTTGCCTGAGATACCTAAGGACGTTATGATTTAGTGATATAGCTGATACTCATTGCTGACAAGTGGAAACTTAAAAGAAAACTATGTTCAGTGATTTACTCTATTGATTTGAGAGGGGGAAACTTGATTGTTTAAAATACTACATTATTTAAACTAAATCCAGTCGAGTGAATAAAAATAAACAACGACAATGTCAGGATCAACATTTATGATTGTGAACTTAGGGGTTCGAAAGTCGAAGAATCATCATCGATGACATTATATAGTAGTCATGTTCTATCATAAACAAAATGAAGTTAAGACTGTGGACGATAAAAATATCATGCTTTCTGGTAAACCTGTACGTCATGGATTCGATCACATTTAGGGTACTGTTATCCAGTGCTCTGGGACTTTATATAGATTATCAACAATAAAATGAAATTTTTTATATTTTAGAACAAAACACAGGAGCATACATGATAACGTCCGGAGACTATTTGTGTAAATAAAACATCTCGTGTTCCATAAAACGGTAAAGAACCACTAAGTAGAAGAAACAATAAAACACCACAACTCCATGCATCTACAGCTTTTCCATATGGTTCATGACGAATCATTTCAGGAGCCATATAATGTGGAGTTCCAATGCGACCTAAAGTATGATAAAAATAGAACTTGTATTGAGAATAGTGATAACAATCATCGACACAATAGTTCATCATTACAATGTTTGACATGAGTTTTAGTTAGTCATTACTTATCTGTTGACGCTTGTCAATAATCAAGTCAATTTTCATCTAACAACTTTAGATTACATAAAGTATTGAGGAACAACTCTATTATGCTTTAAAGGAATGAATTTTAATGTGAATAATATACCTTCTATCAAAAAATAGACAAGAAGAAAAATATGTTAAACAATGCTGCATCTCCTCCTAGCTGATGAGTACCAGTTTGTAACTTACAACGGATTGCCTCCAACAACTGAATAATAATTGTAAATCTACTCAAAAGATAATAATCTAAATTTACTGAAGGAATAATCAGTTTGACTTACATCTTGTCATAATAATAAGTAATAGTAATAATGAAAGATGAGTGGGGCATTTTGACTTACCACACTGATCAGAACGTAGAGAAACAAAAATTTCTTGATCAACCGTGATTGGTGAATCTGAAGGAGTTTAATATACAACAGAGAAATAATATGAAAGAGATAAGTAAGAAAAACGTGATTTACAAAGCATTATGACTGAAAATTATAATAGTCACGTAATAATACTATAGATCCTTGGGGGGGGGTGGCATAGTTAAACTTTGAACTAGCATCGATGAGTGGTCAATCTAACCAGTAAGGTAAAAAGGCCACCTCCACCATCCCGTTATTTTAACACAAAGGTTAATACAGGTCACCTGGCTTTCTATTCTTGCCTTTGAAGACTGAAGGCAACAATTTATTATCATAAATATCTTAGTCAAACATTTAAAGTATATAATTTATTATGTCTATCATAAATAAATCCGGTTATATGATTTACAGTTCAGCAGAAAGCATCAGTTCTCCCTATTTAGTAATTACTTTCTAGAATATTTGCTTTTTCTTTGTCTATGGGTTACACTCATTTTTAATGAACCTTATTTTTCATTGTTTATATTATTCTTCAAGATTATGTATTTTCTGTCACCAAACAATCTTTTCTGGAGACAGTGAAGTGTTTGCAAAAGGACTAACCTTTTATCTGATCATATATGGTATTATTTAACATTTGTGATGTCGTTTTGCAAACCCTTCAACCCTTAATTGTTGTGTTAGTCAAAAGTCGATGATCGTGATCTCATCACGATTGACAAAACATCGAGAAGAATTTAACTTAAGCAAGAATCCGAGTGTTAGGATATTCACAAGAATATCCCAAAAATTATCTCGAATGTAAAGTGGTATGTTTTCAGATTCTTCACATAATTCGCATGTTATTTCCTATTGGCCATTATTTACAGTTGTCCTAACTATGACTTTCATGCGTCGTTTCCCTATTGGTCAATTTTGAGTTGTCCTAATTATAACCTTTACGTGTCTTTCCTTTCCATTGGTTACTGTTAATAGTCATCGTAACTGTATAAATATGCCTTGTCTGTAAACCATTTTTGTTCTGCCGCTGACCGCATAAACAATTCTCATTTAACGGCTGTGTTCTGATTTATTGGAGTTGGGGAACAGTATTGGGGTCGAACTAGGATATCTGAATTTGGTCAATCGGTAGAAATTCGCTTAGTCCTATCGCAATACGTAATATTTGGGCGAACTTATATTACCGAGATGGTTTCCTTTAGGACTAAGAGTTGAGGTCTTTGAAAGTTGATAGTATAGACAGATAGCAAATCAATTGATGAGGTAAGTGGGACAAGTGTCACACATATTTAATCACCGCCTACATTAATGTATAACGCTGACGTGAGTAGATTCGAAGAAGGCTAAAGTAGTTCAAAATAAAACTTATGATGAGTCTATAAAGTCATTGTCTGTCGACCTAAACCGTGTTAGTAAGTAAAGCCTGTATGTTTGGAGCATTCGCGGTGATGGTACTGAGTAGTTGGTGACATCATACGATATAGTTCAGAATTAGGCCAAGGGAGGCAGGTGAATTCACTTTTTATCTTACCCTAGATCTTGGCTTTCAGTACCACTTGATACATTTTATTACTTCAGTAAATTTCAACCATATTTCGTACTTTTAGTTGTTTTTTACTATCAATGATAATGTTATTTCAGCCTCTTGGTTAGTTACTCGTCTTTTTTACTTTATTTCTATGTAATTAAACCATGTAGCAACTTGTGTCGACGCATATATATATGTCATGTCCTGAGTTGAATATAGCTGACCTCTTATAATGAAAAAGATCAGCTTCCACCCTATTATATGATTGGAGAATTTAACAATGACTTGACTTGAATGTTAACTGAAGAAACAATGGATTACTAGCATGAAAGGTAAGTTGTATTGCAAAATATCAATCCTAACAATATAAACTATGGTATACAAACAAATGAGAAGAGTATTAAAACTACAATGGATAATACAAATAATATTATCATACCTCCATTCACTTGATTTGTATCCAAATTTAGATGTATGGCTAGACCAAAACCACCAAGTTTAACCGGTGCTGAATTCTCTTTATTTGCCAAAACAACACAATGTGGTTTTAAATCACGATGAATAATATTATTTTCATGACAATAATGTATAGCTTCTAGAATTTGTCGTAGATAATGACTAAATTCCATAAACAGAAGAAGAATGAATTTTTGATACATGTTTACTTAGTAAAAAAAAACATTTGAATCATAGTTAGTAGAATGTAGTTGGGAGGAAGGCTTATATCTAGGTTTCGAGTCAGTTTTCTCAAGACTGACCTGAAATCTAGAGGGAACTGAATTTACATATGGGATTGGAACCTGGGTCAATCACCTTCACATTCTACGATATTTCAACTGAGTCACTCGGACTGAGACTGACCTCATGTAGTGGTTGCAACATCACGGATTATGAAACCAGTTGACCTGGACTGGAGTCACACAGGAAGCTTCAGTTCTTTCAAAGCTGAAGATTTTCCTGCTTATTATACTTAACCTTCCTTACGACTGTATCAAAAGCCATTTGATCCCACACAAAGTACATTACGATGTCGCGTTACCTACAATAAAGTCTATACTGGCTTTACGGAAATTCGATTGAGAAACAATAAAACATTAGTTTTTATTAAGTGATTACGTAGTTTAGATATTTAAGTTCTATAAAACGTCAATCAAGACACAAATATCTGAATTGCAGCGGTCCTGACAAAGACACAGATTGATACATATAAGTATGCTAGGCAGAAGTATCAATTCCATCGATTTTGTAGATATATATACCTTTTTGATAAGCAGTAAATAACACAATACTTCAGTTCACAGCTTTTACTAACCACCTAACATTCACTACCTCATGATAGATATGTTAAATGTCACGTAAACATCCTCATGCAGATTATAGTTATATTTACTGCAATACATCAAACGAAATACAGCCAGAGTAATTTATGATAGTAAAACTAAACAACTATGTAACGAGATAAATGACAATCATTGATGATCATACTGAAGTATAAAATGACATACTAACCTTGCCACTGCTTCACTATAAACAAATCCAGCTGTTGCACGTTTCACAATTTCAAATGCCAAGTCAGCACCTTTCATACTTTAAGAAGAAAAAAATATAATTATAAAGCAGTCAGATTCCTCATGATAATCAGAATATTTAGAGTAATTATTGTGCTTATTACAGTTAGAGAATCTACGATTTGTAAGCAAAGATAGATAGTGGCTAGCAGTGAAATACAGGACGCGCGTTTCGACCTATTTGGGACTTGTCAGCTGGATGTACCTGCATCTCAGAGTGGATGTTTACTCTGAGACTCGAACCCAGTACCTTTCGCTTCAAACTCCACCTTTGCTTACAATGCTTGTGAATTAAGGCTATGACGAGACAACACGCACAGTATGCATATATGCCAATCAGAGACTGACCAGTTGCAGTCCCAACACATCGATGGAAAGATTCAAACAAACAATACTAAATGAATTTAATCTACGATTTGGTTTAATGTTCATACTAAACAAGTATTACAGGAAAAAAAAATTTAATGACAATATCATTATAGGGTTGTGGAGATTATTACATTTTAATTGAGATCATGAACCGATTGATGTTAGGCCACCATTGAAAACCTGGGAGCAGTGGACGGCCGTTTCGTCCTATTCCGGAACTCCTCAACAGTGCGCATCCACTATCCCGCTTGCAGGATTCTAACCAAGAGCCTTCGGTTTTGCGCGCGAACGCATAACCTCTAGACCACTATATCGTAATCCAACGGTGATAATGTCTAACCTCAACTAATCCACGAAACGGCCATCCAACGCTTCCAGATTTTCAATGGTGGTCCAATATCAATCGGTTCATGATCTCAATCAAAAACTTAATAACAATATCTTGGTAGGTATTTGAATGATTCCATGAACATTGAGTAGTAGGTATATCTATTTGACAAACTCCAAATAGAATGAAACACATATCTTAAATTCTACTACCAATAACAAGTCATCTATTTCATAGAAATTTAGTAACAAAAATAAGTTAACTAACTCTGATTTAGAGAATTTCAATCTATTTCCGCATGATTAATCACTTTCCTTAATGAGTTGTTAGGGGAAAAAACTAGTTTACGTCAAATGGTAGATTATTTTAACAGAAGCCATTTTCATTAATCATATGAGCTTTATCTGAAACTAAATATAGTTAAAATATTTTCTACAAATATAATTATTATCAGAAGGGGTTTTGTGGATATTATAGTAATTTTGATAGTTGAGATCATGAATCAATTGAAGCTAGATCACCATGGAAAACCTGGAAGCATTGAATGGCTGTTTCGTTCTATTATGAAACTCCTCAGTAGTGCGCATCCACGATCCCGCCTGGGTTCGAATCTCGTGCAGGCTAACGGATGCGCACTACTAAGGAGTTCCAGAATAGGACGAAAAGGCTGTTCAGTGCTTCCAGGTTTTCCATGGTAGTCTAACATTGATCGGTTCGTGATTTCAATGAAATATAACAATCTCTACAACTCTTGGGAGTTTTTAAAGCTTTTCATTATCTTCAAGTAATTTATTATTAAATATTCTAATGTATGTATATATAGTGTACAATAGAATTTTCGATTATGCTTTATAATAAAGATTATTCATTGTATTACTTAATCTAACTGGGAAATTTGATGACATGATATAGACATTTCAACAATTTATTTCAACTAAAAATTAAATTTAGCGATGTATCGTTTAAAAGAGAGAGTGAACAATATTGAGGTTCGGCAAAGAGTTCCAAGTAAAGATGATAAATCAGTTAATGAGGTTTTGAATATTTATCAAAAGAAGTGCTTAGGACAGGTACTGTGATATATAACTATCTACCTCCTACCTTGATGTTGAATGTTTGCTGGTGAAGGAATAAGCTGTAAGCAAGCTAGTTATCTATAGTTATTTACATAGTTTCTTCGAGAAGTATTTGTCTGAACAGAAAAATAGGACAAAGACTGGCACGGTCATTAAGGAAACCCTTTATCTAAAACTCAATTTTAAAAGGGACATTGTGAAAAATATTTTTAGGTGTCGACTTAAAAGAACGCTTACGTAAAGAATCAAGGATAAATTACCCATAATGAGCTCCCTCAAGTATGTTTACTGATCCAACTGCTCTTGCCAAGATAGTTTCATAAGTGGTATTCAGATACATTTACTCTCATGCTCGTGAGTATGTACTGTGATGAATAGAGAAAGACTTCACAAGACTTATTAACGCTACCATACTTTCCCAGTTGGTAGATAGTGGACATATTAAAACAAATCAAGCCTTCTCGATTTTGTATCTCAAAACAATCTATCTCAATGATCAAGATTATGATTCATCAACGTGGTAGAAGCCATGGAGACTAATTGCAAAAGATTTAACCTATGCTTCCAAAGGAAATATGTTCAAACTTTATGTTTACCTCGATTCACAACTGCAACACTACATATTTAACCTATATATTGTAAACGCTTATAAATTCCGTATAAAAAAGAAGAGAAAACAGTTAGGAAGAAGGAAACAAACTTACTATTCAAATATCATGTATAACATTCCATCACTACTGTAAGTTTCGACTAATTCAACAATATGTGGATGCTTCAATAAGTGACATATACTTGCTTCACGTTTTAGATCTAAATTAATGAAGAAAGAGAACAACAACAACAACAACAACAATTAATCAGAGACAAATAATGATAGTCAGTAGAAATATATTGTGACTAATGAATTGCCAAGCAACTATAAATCAATTTCTGGGTTTTCTCAATGCCTTTTTTCAGATTAATGTCAAACTGTAACGAATATTGACTTCAGTAGGAAGGGAAAAAAAATTTTAAACCAGTCATTTTTTAAAATTCTTAAACTAATTGAGCAAAAACTGAGATTTGTTCTTGGAAAACTCTGACTCTAGAAGTTGATTGTGAAAGCTATATCTGAAGGGGTTTTGTGGAGATTTAGTATTTTCATATTTGAAAGCGTGAGTCAATTGAAGCTAGACCACCATAGAAAACCTGGAATCACTGGACGGCTGTTTCGTCGTGAATGAGCACTGCTGAGGAGTCTCATAAAAGGACGAAACGGCCGTCCAGTGCTTCCAGGTTTTCCATGGTGGTCTAGTTTCAATTGACTCACGCTTTCAACTATAAAACTATATCTAATTGCTCGATTAACATGTATATATTCTTCAGTGTATCATCAATAGCGCTGGAAATCACCCAAATTCGTCACAAGCCCTCACATGGAATCCTGAAGGCCAAAGGAGAAGAGGAAGACCAAAGAACACATTACTCCGAGAAATAGAGATAGACATGAGAAGAATAAACAAAAACTGGATAGAACTAGAAAAGAAGGCACAGGACAGAGTGGATTGGAGAAAGCTGGTCGGTGGCCTATGCTCCATTGGGAGTAATAGGCGTAAGTAAGTAAGTAAGTATTATAAATGGTAATAGTGGGAAATATACGTTCTTCAGTGTTTACGTATCTTCTCTATTGTTAGAATACTGGATACTACAATTGAAGAGCATATGGAACTCAACACAACTGTCAACCAATTTTAAAGTGATAATCTTCAATACGAATGTATAGACAGTGCTACTGTATGGAACTGAGATGTGGAGAACTACTTCAACCATCATCAAAACGGAACAGGTATAGATAAATAATTGCCTACTCTAAATGATCAATGTTTGTTGACTGGATACCATCAGCAACAATTTGCTGTGGGAGAGGACAAACCAACTTCCAGTTGAAGAGGAAATTAGGAAAAGAGGTTGAAAGTGGATAGGACATAAATTGAGGAAACCACCAAACTTCGTCACGAAACAAGTCCTAACTTGGAGTCCTGAAGGGAAACGGGAAAGAGGAAGGCCAAAGAATACATTACGCCGGTAAATAGAAGCAGATATGAAAATGATGAATAACAACTGGAAAGGACTGGAAAGGAAGGCTAAGGACAGAGTTGGATGTAGAATGCTGGTGGGCGGCCTATGATCCTTCACGAGGGCTAACAGGCGTAAGTAAGTAAGTAGTAAATCAGGATTTATAGTCGTTATTTTTAATTAATCGAATTTTATAGCCTTTTCTGTCGTATATATCACAAACTATAGATTACTATTTACAACTAATTGAGTGTATATAAACAAATATTAAAATTAAAAACACATTTACAACTGTTCTATCTGGGTGTATAACATATTTTTTCAAATTAATATTAACTCGGCTTTTATGGTGTTGTATCAAGGTGTAAAAGGGCGTATACTGAGGTTTATTGAAGCCTTAGCCATACGAAAATTCAATCCCCCTTTGTGTATTCAAAAACAGTTTGTTCCCTCCTTAAACCTACCCTGGTAATATTAGCTCACTATCCAGAGTGATTAGGTTACAAATCGTTTTCACATTATTATTATCCTTGTCTTCTCTTACCCCCCCCATATCCAGTCTAGTTGACCTTTTATTTTTATATATAAATGTTCTTAACAAGTATATGTGTGATCAGATTGTTCGAAATGTATTGCGCTAATATCTCATCACATAGTTCTGATAATCTTCGTCATCTTATTACATTATCGATATTTATCAAAGGGACTAATTGCTTCAAATTAATATTATGAAATCGCCTTTCTTCCAACAGTATTTTGTACAATTTCGGGTCTCAAAATGAAATGAATAATGATCAAATCGGATGAGAAGAGCCTGCCCTCCTGCACTAAATAGTCTTCTATTATCAAGCGTATATAGCCTCTGTCAAGGAGGTCCTATTTATCGTCTTCACACGGTAACGTTTTTTATGAAGGTGAGAGTACAAAAAGATAAAATTAGGCGCTTGAGCTGGTCCTCAGCTGGCTTGGTAGATACAGAAGATCTATTCAGATGGGGTTGGAAAAACCGTGCTTCCAAACCATTGATGTACATAGGCTCCAGGATCCTTAGGAGACGAATAGTGCACAAACTTATTTTGGTCTTCGGCTACCATGGGACTGCATCTCCTGATGTTACCGCATTCCAAAATGGATTAGTCTTCCTAGGCAAAAGGCTCGGTTTGAGAGTCTGTGTAGTATCTGTGTGCACAAGCAATCATTTCAACAAATTATTACATAGAAATTGTATTGAACGCTACAACAAAATGGTTGACCAATAAATCTTAATTGTTCAATGCTTCCATAACTGATGTCACTGATCATAATGAAAATGAAATACCAGATCGAGAAAATTCTCATAGTATAAACGAAGTAATAGTATCAGTAGTTATAAAAAAATATGATTTATTTTAGTAAATTATTCAAGCATGTATAATGATGAAAGTAGATTTTTCTAATAAATATTACTTCTCTATAAACAAAGATGAATAGTGGCTAGCAGTGGAATCCAGTTTGACGCGTGTTTCATCCTATTTGGGACTTGTCAGCTGGATGTACCTGCATCTCAGAGTTGATGTTCACTCTGGGACTCAATGCAGGTACATCCAACTGACGAGTTCCAAATAGGACAAAACGCTCGTCAAACTGGATTCCACTGCTAGCCACTACCCATCTTTGCTTATAATGCTTGTAAATTAAGGCAATATCGAGGCAATACGTACAGTATGCATATATGCCAATAAGAGACTGATCAATTGCAGTCCTAAACATCAATGGGAAAATTCAAACAAACAATACTAAGTGAATTATTACTTCTTTAGGCTTGAAATAATAATAATAAAGGTTTTTTTTACGCTCATTTAATTAGTTTCCAGTTCATTACTTTCATATAAACTCAATATAAATTGACTTAATGGTAATAGTAAGTAAAGAAGAAAAAAAAAAGAAAATCGAACTAAATCTTATGGTCAAAAGAGAGGATACCTTCTCACGGTTTCTCTTTTAATCTCATGAATGTATATACAAGGATGTGTGTGTATGTGCATGTGTGTGTGAATGAATGAAATAAAAAGGAAAGAATAAATTCTAATTAACAAAATGAATGTAAGATAGACAAGTAAATAGACAACGATAGTAGCCATATTCAAGCATTACTTTAATGTTTAAGGAAGTGAAGAAGAAGAAGAAAAAAACAAGTTTCCCTTAGAAACAAATTGACGGACGTTTTTTTACAAGAATACACGCACACGATGATATGAGAAAAGAGAGAAAGAGAAAAAAAAAGAAGTGTTATAGCCAAGAAGAAAAAACCTGTTATAAATGAATGAAAATAAGGTAAATGAATCATTTCGATAGTTAGACATATATAAAGATATATGCACTCATATTGATACGTTTACAAACGTACAGAGATAGGAATTAAAATATCAATTGAAATCATTAGCTGGTCGGCGGTCTATGCTCCATTGGGAGTAACAGGCGTAAGTCAGTAAGTAAGTAAGTAAGTTGAAATCATTAAATGAAGAAATTGTAATGACAATATAAGTTTGATAAAAAAAACCAAAAATTATGTCCTTTATGAAAACCTAATTTTAGAGTAACAAATTGTCAACTACTAAAAAAATGTGAGTTCAATAATCATTACTTAATAGCCAACAGAAGGAAATAAAAACAAGGGGTGTATGAGCAAACATATGTCTCTACAGTGATGTCTACAAAAGATAGTATAACATAGTCATGATCCTTTTAGTGAATCACTTGGTGTTATGCATAGATTGAAAAGTATTAGAATTAATTTTGACAGTGTTATAAGCAAAGATGGATAGTGGTTAGCAGTGGAACTAGATTTGATATACAATACAGGACTAGAACTCAGTACTGCTTAGCTAACAAGTCAAGACAGCAACTAGTTTATGAAATCGCGTAGACTTTAATTTATCATTTGTTAGTTATTTTAATTTTACCATTGTTGTCATTATCTTCCACTGATCAGGCTCTTATTAGCATATGTGGATTCTATGAGGATTATTTTGATATTACTTTAATTTACAAGTATTATAAGTGACTAGCAAATCCAAAACAGGACAAAACGTGCGTCCTGGATTTCATTTCCAGCTACTATCTATCTCTGCTTATAATGCTTGTAATTAAAAGCAGTATCGAGGTAATCCACTTAGGATAGATATATGCCGATGAGAAACCGATCGATTTCAGTTCAAAAAACCAGTGGGAAGATTCAAACAGCCAATACAAGATGAATTAATGTGGACCGTAACTTAGATGGACGATTACAGGGTGTGTCTGCATCCATAAACTTTAGTATACGACCATTTGTTGTAACTAATGTGAGTTGCAACTAATAATGATAAATGATTCGGTTAAGAAACTAGAGCGCAACTCAGTTATGCTGGATGTAGCTTTAGAATAATAGTAGGTATATTGCTTTTAAATTCTAGCATTCAAAATAGTGTTGGATGCAGGCTCAGTGGTCTATCGGTTAAGGGCTCTGGAGCGAGACTGGTAGGTCCTGGGTTCGAATTTCGCGAGTGCAGGATCGTGGATGCACACTGCTGAAGAGTCCCATAATAGAACGAAACGGCCGTCTAGTGCTTCCAGGTTTTCGATGGTGGTCTAGCTTCAATTGACTTATGGTTTCAACTATGAAAACTACTGAAATCTCCACAAAACCCCTTCTGAAAATAGTGTTTATTTGATTTTAGAGACCGATTTTCTTTTCGTTCTATATTTCAATATATACGACTTCTTTGTAAAAAGAAATTACAGCGATACTTATTTTGTAGAAATAAGCTCTTCTGTTTTTTCTATTTTTTCTTCCTGCAATATGTTCAGAATATATCTTCATCTGACTCTTTGATTAACAACCCGGATAGGAATTATTTTGAAGACAGCCAACGACACAAATCGACAAAAACTGGAGAACCAACGACAACGATAGAGTTATTTCACTCCTAATTAAGGAAATCTAAGAACGGCTCTCACTCGCAACTCTACCAAGGTAGTCAACCTCGTTGTTACCCTTTAACTACTGATCCTTAATCAAAAACCATATATTTCCAATTGTGATCAATTCATAATACATTATAATAATCTTACAATCAATCAATCGATAACTCCTTAACATCAGATATGATTGGACGCAGTTATTCATAACATCTCTGTAAGAATGTTGAGAATTAATTGTGAAACTAATTACCAGTGATCAAGGTTTATAAACAGTTAGTAAGGATTCACCTGATACAAATGAGTTTTTTATTTTGCAAGAAAGTGTGAAGGTATGTAAATGACTAAAGTATCCTTTCAGAATGTGTTTTTACATAAGCGCATTCGATATTCCAGTGAAACGATATATACCCTTTATGGGTATATATCTTACACTTGATACCGTGATAGAATATTTGTGGATTTATAACTTTAAAGTCTGACGAGGAGGTTACTAACGATAAATGTTCATGTAAATATCTATTATCCACTTTAAAAAGTTTACATTTCTTCGTTGTTGATGTTCAGAACTAGATTATTAGAATGAAACCATCCTCTTGTATTCCCTAAATATTCATATTCCAATAATACAATAAAATTTGTATCTATGAACAGTACTGAGCCATCCACTTATGGTTCATGTACGTTAACAGAAAGAAATCAAATAAAATCCTGGATATTAATAATGGCAAAATAGGAATGCGTGATAATATTATTACACCCACTAAACGAGCTGATGACTATATAGACTTATTAGTGCAGAAGAGTAACGCATTACAGTTTCAAGTTAAAGACACAAATGTGAATACAGACAAATTGATTGAAATCGACGTGAAAACAAGGATCAACGACTGTAAACGTCCGATAGCATAGTTTTAAACCGGTCTTATTAGCAGACACACTCATCTCAGATCTTCCTCTAGAACTTTGGTTCTATTATTCCAACATAAGTATTTCTTTCATTTCCTCCATCTAAGCATATCCAACTGGCGATAGGACAAGAAATTAAATAATATTGTATTTTCTATTTTTTATTATCTTAGTTTCATCTAGAATTTCAAATATCGGATTGAATACTGAATATTTTTACGAAGATATTGACGAAAATTATTTACCTGCTGTAGAAAGTCCTGGACTACTTGTAAACTTTACAACATCGACTATTTTAACTGCATACTCAGTACCAGTATCTTTACGAGTACATCGTCGTATAACGCTGAAAGGCCCTCTGAAAAAAATGGTGACAAAACACAGTGATTAAAAAAGGGTAAATGAGAAAAAAAAGCTGCTTAAAAGAATGAACTACACACCTCATACCTAACATTGGTATGCATATAGATTAATCTGTAATCTACATACATTTGGGTACAGAAAACCTCGGCTTAAAGATCATATACAGTGAGATCATTGAACAACAACAATAAAGTAGCTCAGTGGTGCTCAAAACGGTAGCTGGAGCTTAATACGGCTAAATTTGGATGGATATGCTTCGGTGATACATCACTCAATCTTACGATAAATGGTGAAGTGTTATCTAGGTTACTTACAGTAGCAGACTTAGGACTTAGGTACTCCTATGACTTGTTGTTTACAGAACAGGTATTGAAACACACTTCCAAGTCTCAACCTTTCATAGGTTACATGACGCGAAACATTTATAACAATGAGTCAAGTATTCGGATGTACAATGTTTGTTTTTGACTAATTCTCAGTAGTGCGCATAAAAGATAAAGGCTGGAATCAGTACAGAGACGATTTACACCTCGTATTCTTGGAACTGATTGTACCTTGACTTATTGTTCTAGATGTAATAAGCCTGGGCTCGACTTTTTATGGAAGAGGAGGCTAAAACTAAATCATATCTTTTTCTTCAAAATACTTGATAAACTATCCATTACATCCAGTCAAGTAATTCAATATGCAGAAACTTGTAATTATGACATTTGTAACCCTTTGTCACTAGTGAAACAAACACATTCTAAATCATCTCTCTACATGAATTAATTTGCCTGTAAATTTTCTAGACTCTGGAAAAGTCTACTACAACCTATCTATACTATAAAATCACTTCCATTATTTGTTCGCTGCATTGATGCATACTGCTCCTTTGAAAATGTATTAAACGTTCTAGCACCTGTAAGTGTATCTTACTACATAAGTGAGATTATAGGAACTTTAAATGTTTAATCATTCTGAGTAGTGAATTCCTTGAGTAAAACCACTTGCCTGTTGTCACTTTACGTTAACACAGTCCATAGCAATCTTAACTTAGTTGAATAATATCTAACATGAACAGTATATCATTCAGTTACATAACACATGCATTATGGTAGACCTGATTGATATACTTTAGCCATTCTTGCTTTGTTGTTCCATGCTCTCTGTTTTCATTTTACTACTATAGTTGTAGATAATTATCAACAATTCGTTCTGGCACAAGAAATGACCTTACAAACATTGTTCATAAATCAACAACCTGTTCCCTTAAGAAAAATTAAAAGTTCCCGGTTGATGCATTGGATTGCTGTAATAGATGTCGTAAATGTACTACGTAAACAATTATTGAACTAGTAAACTTAAAACAATCTCATATCACATGTGCGTTCTCTACATCTAATGTTACTATTTATATCAAATCCATCATGCATGTAAACTAGAGTGAATTCTGTAATTATTATTTTCAGAATATATTGTTATTTGTTTCTACGGCAGTCCACACTGCCAACAGACTGGAGAGACGCAATAATTAGTCGAGTGTATAAGGCTGTGAGTGGAGATTTAGTTAGTTACTCTCGACCTGTTAGTCTAACCAGTGCAGTTCTAAAACTAATAAAAAGATTACTCAGATGGCTGTTATAAACTATATGGGAGGGAATAATCTTTTAACCAAGGAACAACATGGTCTTCAGAAAGGCATCATGTTTGACAAATCTCATTGCAAAAGAAAATTGAGTTGAGACAAAGGATCGAAATATTTCTGTAGATGTGACTTTCATATATCTAAATAAAGCCCTCGACAAGGTCTCCCATTTGGGTTTTAAATTAAAACTGGAAAGTTTTGGAATCCATTATGAAGTCATAGACTGAATAAGTGACTTTCTCAATGATAGGAGACAGAGGGTAAAAGTAAATGGAGCCCTCACAGAGTGGGAATCTGTAAAAATGCCGTTCCCCAAGGTATAATCCTTGGTCCTTTTCCTTTTTTACGAATCACCAACTGTATTCAAGCCATCCGTTCTACTGTTTTTCCATGACATAAAAAATCGGAGACCCATACACAGTTTGTTAGATACAATAATATTACAGGATGACCTAAATTCACTGGTTGCATGGATAGGCGTGTATTCAATGGAAGTAAATTCTAACAAAAGTGTAGTGATGCAACTAAATAACTATGACGATTCATATCACTACACAATATGTAGAGTTGTGTTACCTAGAATAATAGACTACAAAGATCTAGGAGTCATATTAAGCAATAATCTCAAAACCACTAGTAACTTTAAGGCTGCTGCTGCAAAACGTTACATGGTATTATGGACCATTCGTAGGTCCAACCAGTATTTGGATAAAGAAATGTTTAGAGTATTATACCCGACTTTCGTAAGACCGCATTTGGAATACGGGATTCAAGCAGCAAGTCCTTGTTTCAAGTATGGGGTGGACATTTAGGAACAAGTCCAACAACGAGGGACTAAAATGGTAAAAGGTTTCTCTGACCTATATTAAGAAGACAGACTAAGACACCTCAACTTATTACCGTTAACTTACCGTAGATTACGCGGTGATCTAATATTGGCTTATCGTATCCTGAACGATGACCTTAGTATTAATATGTCTTATCTTTCCCTTACGACTGATCATTTGAGAAGACATTCGAAGAAAGTTCAAAAACCTAGATCAAATCGTCTACCTCTGGAGTTCCGTTTTTCGCACCGAGTAGTAAATTACTTGAATTCTCTACCGGAACACGTAATATCAACATTTTCTGTTGATATACTCAAAACGAGATTGGACCTTCACATTGTTACAAACTGTATGGATTAATATGGGTCGATAGACCACCTATCCGCATTACTGATAACTTTCGAACAAACCCCGAAATTCCCCCAACTTCATTCCAATAACAACAAGTGATACAATACTTACTTGAAGACGGTTTTCAGACGCAACAACGAAAACTAGTGTGCACAAATTTATAATTCTTAAATTTGTAAAGAAATTGTGAAGTCATACCCAATTTCCTTGTATTAGGTAGATTTTTCAGTTTTCTCAAAAAGTCGTGAAAGGTTTGTTATCTTTCCCCGAAATGTAATAAGATTCTGGGGAAATATTGGGAAAAACTCTGGATCTTCCCGACCATTTTGGAGGTTTTCCTCGCATATGGCAAACTTTTATGGGTTTTGTGTCATTTCTCTAAACCTTTTTCAAAGTTTTCTATTGTAGGTCCCTAAAATTTACCCAGAACGGACACGTTCTTCAAAATAGGGAGATTGACTAAACGTCAAGACCACAAGTCCTTCCTAGATATTTCAAAACTTTTGCGTCGACGAAACTAAGAGCGTAAAACAAAGTGAAACAGAAACTTAGTGAATCCTAAGGTTATTACTAATGCTTCCAAAATAAAATTACATTATATGAAATTTAAATAAGTGTAAATTATTCCCCATTTCATTTAAAAAACAGGAGCTGAGGCCTTTGAGAACAATTAAAACAACACGATATTTCAAATTACTTTCCAATAATTTCATGAAGTTCATAAACGTCATCGAAAAGAGCATCACTCTCGCTCATTCTGAAACACCTTTGAAAGCGTGCTTTCGCAAGGTTGCTTCATGAACTCCTAATAAGTACAGTAAAACAAATATACCGGTTGAAATTGAGCTTTAAGAAACAAATATAATAGTGTCTTCAGAAATTCGTGTTTAAGAACAGCTAGCAAACTGTTTTAAAAGGTGCATCGATTCACCCGCGCGCTATTTAAAAAGGACAGTGGTATTTTTCCTCGTTGAGTAAATTCTATTGCTTTGATCGTTATTAACGTATCAAGACAACTGTTTTTATACTTTGATTGAATTTCTTTCAGTTAAAGTATTCTATTAGAGTATCATCTTTGGTATCCTAAATAGTTTTATCGTCGGTACTCCAGAGTACCTTTGTTTTTCTATTGTGTCTGTTAGTACTTTGGTCCTAAATATTTATGGTTTTTTTTTCTACTTGTAGTCAACACTCAACTTCGCATCCTAAAATGACTGGAAGATGCAACAAAAGCATTTGCCACCGCCCAGGATGTCGATATCCTGTTCATAGCGGCATGCCGTGCGATGAGTGCAAAGGTTGGTACAACGATGTTTGCACGAATCTAACACCTGCAGCTTTCAAGCGGTTCAGTAAAAATGGGTGCGTATGGCTATGTCAACAGTGCTGTTTGGATGCAAATAGCCTGTTAACCGAGGCCATCTCAATAGTAAATGCCGCAAAAAAGTGTCTCGGCAAGCGCGGTCGGTATACATCAGTCAGAACTCAATCTGTCGACACGCAGATTGACACAAGGCAGGCCCAAGTGAGTCCAAAAACTGCCGACCCACACTCTACTAAGGAGGAAGAACATCCTCCAAAGAGGACTGTTGCAACCAGAAACTCGCGCAAAAAAGTCTCTTCTGTCCCTCGTATCAAAAATGGTACCCAGAAGGGAACTTCAGGAAGCCGAAACCGCAAGGCTAGATCGGTTTCCAGCGCGAAAGATGACCCAATCTCCCAAGTCGTCCTGAATCTTCCGGAATCCCACAGTACGCCTGACGCGACTTTGGTTACCACTCCAAAGATCGTTGGCGATTGGGTACGGGTCGTAAGAAAAAAACGCCAAAATGACGTAAAAGTAAATCATACCCCCACCAAAAGGGTCGACAAGCCGAGGTCTGATCACAGCGACAGATCAGTCATTCTCCATAGAGTCAAGGAGAGTGACAACTTAGAACGGTGGCGAAAAAGACCTGAAAATTGTAAATTTTCGGGTTGTGAGGCTTCGACAGAGGATGATGCCGAAGCCACTCTGGGTGAAGCACGAGGCCACCTAAATAGGCTTCGGATCTGTTATACCAACGCCCGGAGCTTACTAAATAAGTTTCCGGAACTAGGTGTACCGATTGACTCAACTAGGCCAGACATAATCGCAGTCACAGAAACATGGCTGACGCCGTCTATAGATAGTAGGGAACTTGATTTCGAGGGTTTTACATTAGTAAGGGCCGATAGAATACAAACGCGTAAAGGAGGGGGAGTAGCTCTATTCATTAGGAATGCTATTCCATTCACCATTATCGACAGTGTATCCCATGAGAGTGGGACGTATGAATTAGTTTGCTGCCGCCTGAAATGCAGGGAACAAGAGTTGCTACTTAGTTTGATCTATCGCAGTCCAAGCTGTGAGGCAAACGAGGTCCTGCTAAGCAGTCTCAACACTTTATCACGAAGTGATCGATGTCTAACCCTAGGGGACTTTAATGCACCCATGGTGGACTGGGGAAATCTGCGGACTGAATCGTCAGCAAACTCCTTCGAACAGGAACTAGTTGATGCGGTAATCACTTGTGCTCTAGTGCAACACGTGAAGGAAGCAACTAGGTACGACCCGGGTTCTGCATCATCCTTACTAGATCTTATATTGACTCATTATGAGGATGATGTTGCAAACCTGGATTACATGCCACCCCTAGGCAAAAGTGATCATGCAGTTTTAAGCTTTGACTTCCATATAACTGTCGATCACGAGTACGCTTCAGCTCAATCCAGACCTAACGTCTGGAAAGCAAACATACCAGATATCATGAAATCAGCATCATTAGTAGATTGGAAATTAGACCCAGAGTAATCAATAGAAACGGCTTGGGACATATTCCGGAATTTACACTTAAAAGTTACCACCCCCACATCCCTTGGACTACACCTAAGAGACCGAGAAACTCCCCACCGTGGTTCAGTAGGGAGGTTCGCATCCTTCTCCGTAAAAGAAGGAAAATGTGAGACAGATTTAGGTTACTGGGGACTGACGAGGCAAAATCTCAGTATCAAAAGACTCGAAATACCTGTGCCTCGACCCACCGTAAGGCCAGAAAGCTGTGCGAAGAGAAAATCGTTAGGGAATCCATAGAATGCCCTAAACGCTTGTATTCGTATATAAACCAAAGGACAAAAAGAAGAAGAAATGTTCCTTCACTATGGGGAGACAGTACTGCCACATCACTAGTGGAGGACGACTTTGGCAAAGTTCAAGTATTCTCTAAATACTTTAGCGATGTATACACCATAGAAACACCCTTCTCACCAGTCCATGAAAATCCATCCACACAAGCACTGGACAGCGTAACCATTAAAGAACTCTATGTCTTTGGTCTGCTAGTTGGTCTGCTAGTGGACTGTCTTGATCATAAAAAAAACGTGTAAAGGATAGGGACTACCAACTCGGTGAACATCGTATAGGTAGGCTACCTGTCCACTCACACACGGCTCATATAGTCAAACAAGAAGAGGCTCACGCGTTCCAAATTGAAAGCATAAACTGCCTATACACGAACGCCGCGAGCTTGCCAAACAAAATGGATGAGCTACGTGAACTTAGCAACGCTAATGATGCCCATCTGATAGGAATATCCGAAACTTGGATAACGTCTCAGTTTACGGACCAAGAGTTAGCAATAACTGGGATGTCTTTATTTCGCAACGACAGAAAAACAGGAATGGGGGGTGGGGTAGCACTATACGTACGGTCATGCCTGGATGCGCACCAACTTCACAATCAAAAGTTTCACAATCTTGACGAGTCAGTATGGTGCTCAGTAAGATTATCTACCACCTCGAGGTGCCTAGTTGGGGTCGTTTACAGGAAGCCCGCTGCCGACATCGAATATGACAAACGTCTGCTGGAAGGATTAACTCGCTCTACGCGTCTTGGATTCTCTCATATCCTGATTCTAGGGGATTTCAATCTCCCTAGAATCAACTTCGTGGAACATACATACATTGGTGGTGCCAACTCTACTGAAGCTCTGTTCTTCAACCTTATCGGCGACCTGGGATTATTTGAAAATGTGAAGTCGGCAACCCGTTGGAGAAACAGTCAGACGCCGTCACGCTTAGACTGGGTATTCACAAACGAAGAATTCCTAGTTGACGACCTCTCAATCCTGGCTCCCCTGGGCAAAAGTGATCACGCCGTCTTATCATTCAGCTCTGTCAGCAAGACGGAGCTACGATATCCTACTAGCAACAAGCGCTGGAACTTCAAACGGTTGAATGTGTTAGCTTTACAGGACTATCTTCAACAGGTGGATTGGAATGTTCGCCCTGAAATTGAAGTGGATGCTCATTGGGATTTTTTACTGCACACGATCTTATGTGCTACTGAGCATTCAGTTCCTAAAATGGTCCCAAAAAGCTACAAGCAACCTGCAATCATCAAGAACCGCACTCGTCGTTTGCTAAGCCGCAAAAGGCACTGTTGGGCTGAATATAAACGAACGGATAACAACGGCGCGTACAGGCAATACAAACATATAAGGAACACATGCACAAAGGCAATAAGAGAAGACAGGCTTCAGTTCCAGACCAAGCTTATCGATAGATTCGTCTCCAATCCGAAAAGCTTGTTCACTTATGCAGCTTCTCTTCGACAAGGCAAAACTGGAGTTTCCCAACTGCTTGGTCCTAATGGCCCGACCAACAACGACAGTGATGCCGCTAACCTTTTGGCTGAACATTACTCCCGGACATTCCAACTGACCCACATCAACCATACTGACGAAAGCTTCACCTGCACCTGTACAGGACTTTCCGAAGTGGACCTGAGTGCTGACTTGGTGCTCCGTAAACTGCAGAACCTAAAAAAAGACACTTCTCCTGGTCCGGACATGGTTCATTCCGCCGTATTGAGGGAAGCAGCTTCAATCCTGGCGACACCACTTAGCGTGATGTTTGCACACTCGCTAAGCAGAGGCAAACTACCGGAAATATGGAAGCTGGCTCACATCACACCAATTTTCAAAGGAGGTCGATGCAGTGAACCCTCAAGCTACCGACCAGTGGCCCTTCTCTCCATACCTTCTAAAATTATGGAATCCCTAGTATTCGACGGCATACTAGAACACTTATCATCCTCAAAGTTCTTCTCGCCTCAACAGCATGGTTTCAGAAAAGGTCATTCTTGTACGACCGACCTGCTGACTGCGGTGGATAAATGGACAACCATCCTTGATCGCAAGAGGAAGGTTGACGTCATTTACCTGGACTTCTCAAAAGCTTTTGATAGGGTCAACCATGCATGTCTTATCAAGAAGCTTGGACGATTGGGTATAAAACCCCCTTTAATTGACTGAATCACTTCATACCTAGAAAACCGACATTTTAAGGTCAGGGTTAACTTCACTCTCTCTCAGGCTATGGAATGTCCTAGTGGGGTCCCCCAGGGTTCAATACTAGGACCTCTTCTCTTCTTGATTTATATTAACGATCTTCCTCAACAAGTTTCATCTGATTTATTGCTTTTTGCTGATGATGTGAAACTTTGGAGAGAGATACGTACTCACAATGATATACTAGTTCTTCAGGAGGATCTGACTCGACTTCAAAGTTGGGCAGACGACAACGGACTTACCTTCAACACTTCAAAGTGCAACGTAGTCCATCTGAGACATGTTGCAGACTATAGTTATAACTTAGGTAACTCACCTCTAGAAGTTTCCCAAGTTGAAAAAGATTTAGGAGTGTTGGTACCCTACGACCTGAAATCGTATGCGAACTGTGACAAAAACGCCTCTCAAGCAAACCTTGCACTGGTAACATTGAAGCGCATTTTTG